TCAAAGTTCACAAAGTACAGATGAAATTCCCGGATGTGTACTTGCTCTGGCCCCTTGGCCAAGGATGCATCGAGAGATGACTTGTGCGAACTTGCGAAGCTCGTAAATCCCAGAATGCATTGCAGCGTATTCAGCAAGCGATAATGGCGGAGGACGAAACCCGCACGGTTTCAAAAATACTCCTTTACTGTGTCACAAAATAAAGTTTTAGGAGTTTTTCAGGCGAGAATGTAGCTGTTTAAACTCGAATCGGCAGTTTATTCACAAAGATAGTGTCAGCGGGAGCTCCGTCATCAGCTCCCCTGCCAGAGCAGCTTTACTTCGGCCAGTTCATCTCGGACGAAAACACGATATTTAATACATCTTGTGAATATCTAACGGACAGTTTTTGGTCTTATAAATCTATTGTTTGTTCTCAGGTGTATTATTTTGGCAGTGTTATTTTGTTACCTTTTATAATTGTCTTTAATTATGTTACCCTGTTGTACACTGCTTGTCTTTGTTTACCGAATTGCTTGATGTAATCTTTATTTCTTATCGTGCATGTCTTCATTTCATATTGTGTGTATAATTACCATTGTAGTTTAATAAATCTGATAATCAAACACATGTGTCAGTGTATAATAACTCATTTTAATTCACATTTATATGAATATATGTGCACATTTTCTTAAATCAAAAATGTAGATTTATAATATTAATATAATATTAATTAAATCATTTTATTGTTAATGTACAGTGAAACTGATGAATCCATGGTGAGGTAAGTGACGTTATAAAGTACACTGCTGTTCCATTTGAAGAAGTACCCGACTTGTGTCCTCGCGTCCTCGGGAGTGCGTCCTCAGGAGTGGAAGTCTGAACTTCCAAGGACGCAAGTCCGAATTTTGCGTACTTGGTATTGAGAAACTTGGTATTTGTTCACAGGGCTTCAGGTGATCGTGATGAAATGGGTTTTTAGGTGTTTAGTTCAGTGTTTCCCAACCCTGTTCCTGAAGGCACACCAGCAATACACATTTTCAATCTCTCCCTAATCTAGGGGTCACCAATCTCGGTCCTGGAGGGCCGGTGTCCCTGCAGGGTTTAGCTCCAACTTGCTTCAACACACCTGCCTGGGTGTTTCAAGTATACCAAGTAAGAGCTTGATTAGCTTGTTCAGGTGTGTTTGATTAGGGCTGGAGCTAAAATCTGCTGGACACCGGCCCTCCAGGAACAAGTTTGGTGACCCCTGCCCTAATCAAACACACCTGAAACAGCTGATCAGCACATCAGAGGAGACTCCGAAACCTGGCAGAAATTGATGAGGGAGACATCCAAAATATGTACTGTTGGTGTGCCTCCAGGAACAGGGTTGGGAGACACTGACTTAGGTCTTCTACTGGGTAAACAGTAATACTAATCAACAACAACAGCAGACTGTCTCCTGCAAAGCAGCTTTTATAAGCAAGTGTTCAGAATAACTCTTTGCTCGCTCTCATGTTTCATGCGGCTCTGAGGGTGTCCTGCTGGATTACTGATGCCACATTTATTACTATTATCGGCCATCATTCCTGCCACCGATGAAAGATCCATCTTAGCATATTATTCATACATGCGCATCCTTGTCAGATAATTGTGCAAGACAAACTACTGGGTTAGCAACATGCCAAACACACACACACACGTGTGACTGCGGCAGTGCACTCTGTGTTCCTGACCTCTCCTGCCACCAATTATTCCGTCTTACTGTTCAGGACCCCCGGGGCTTGTGTTGTTTTGAAGAGAGCAGTGTTAATGGTGTTGAAACACATCCAGCCTTTCAGCACTTGATATCTGAACTGCTGTCGGACCTGTCCAGACCACAGGTTCTTGTAAATGGTTTGTTTGTTGGCCGCTGAGAGATCTGAGAGTCCCTCAAAGACAGATATGAATGGAGAAGGAGTGATTTGTTGGGCTAGGTTTTACTTATACTTTGATTACTGTTTACTACTTGCACTACGTTTTTAAGCAGGTAATGGTACTTTTACTTGAGTGTGATTTTTCACTGCTCATTCCACCACTGCCTGCAAGTTACGAAAGGCCCCCTACCGATCGCACTAGAAAGTGTTTTTTGGTCAAAAGCATCTAAAAGTTTTTGCTTTGACCAAGAATTTTGAATTCTGCTGCGTCCCAATTTTTTTTATGAAGACAGTTCCACCTTAAAAAGTTTTATATTGTACATTTACAACTATTTTTCAAATGATTTTTTCTGCGTGTGCTATCAAACTTTAAAACCGCGCACTCCTATCAGTCTTCATACTCGCATCCAGGGCTTTACATTAACACCCGCCAAATGTGGGTAGATTTCAGCTTTGGCGGGTTAGACAGACACCTCCACTAGCCACTTTGGCTGGTTGAAAATAATTTTTAAATTGTAGTTGTCCTAAAAGCAGGGTTCGACAATATAAGGATGACCCAATTATGCGTGCAAATGTGATCTTGGAATCGAGAAGTAAAATAATTGTGTTCACGCGAGCAGAAGAAAGCAGGTGAATACCGAATGACAGAATGATCGTCACTCGCGCTAACAGCTGATGTAATGCGCGCGACTTCTTGAAACGCGTGAAATCCCGAATCGTGAAGCAACCGTGTCTGGAGCAGGTTCTGGAAACAACTGTCATCGGTTCTCTTTCAAAGAAACTAGACAAAAAGTGTTGAACATGCATCCACAGTCCTGCTGCTTTAAAGAGCTCAAAATGTGTCTTTTTGTAAGCAGCACCGGTTGCTTTCACTTTGGACAGATTATTAAATTGCCTAAAGTTAACCGTGTGCATGTGATCATCCTTTCATTATAACACACGGTATGTGTCACCTGCTGCCATTTGCATACGGTTTTCTTTGCTTTCATTTTTGTTATAATGGTTTAATTGTCTTTTTTTACAATATTGCTTTAATGGGAGATGAACTCTCCATTCATGTGCAGTTAACTGGTGATGCGAGAGATCTTAGCCAGGACAGATTACCGTGCTTATTTTTGATACATGACAATAGTTATTTTTTAAAAATCAATTGCTTTTCTTTCTTTTTTAAGAAATGTTTTGTTAAATAAAAAGTATAGTATACAGCTATATTTTGCTTTTTTTGACACATTAAAAATTTGTGGCTTAAAAATAATTATTGTTGTGGTTATAGAGATAAATTTGGTAAATTGTTGTTTTTGAGCTTTAAAAAAAAAGTCACGTGAAATAAAAACTAATTGCAGTATAACACTATAAAACCATGACTCCTTTGCTCATGCTTTGAGCAAACTCATACTCGAAAAACAAAAAGTGAAATGAATGAGGACGCATGTGGACATAACACGAAATTTAAATCAAGTAATTTTAGCCTGTCGACATCAAATTTATGCATATAAAATATATTTTCCCAACAACAAACTTGTGGCTAGTCAAAATGCAGAGTGGCTAGTAACATTGGAAAACTACTAGCCACAGTGGCCGGTCATTAAAAAAGTTAATGTAAAGCCCTGCTCGCATCCGATAGCTCAGAGTTTGTCACGGGGGCATGACTGAAATGTTCCTGAATGAAAGTGAAACCGAAGAACTGCAGTTAAAGTTAAAAAACGGAAACAACTGAAACTAATTGAAACATTGGATAAACATTGGTAAACAAAGCAGCGACGGAACGCTAGCCCAGAAAGTCATGCGGTGTGAAAACATCTGTGATGTAACAACTTTAAAAACCCTGCAGTCTGAATTTGGCGTACAATACGATGTAGTTTCAGGCCCCGTTTACACTAGTGCGTTTTATTTTTAAAACGTCGTTTTAGATCAAAAACGATACCTGTCGACACTAGCGTTTCTGAACATATCTCCGTCCACACTACGCCACCAAAAACGTACATCACGTGACCATTCGCGCACTCTGGGGGCGACTCTGCATGCGTCTCGCTCGGCATTTGGTTATTGTTAGTCATCAAACGCCGGTTGAACAATGAACGCGATGGCAAAGAAAGCAAGAGAGGTATTTTTGTGGACAGACGACGAAGTCGAGTTGTTACTAAACATAACAAATAAATAACTGCACAATGGCGCCTAAAACAGACAATAGTGCAAACAACGCTCCCATTTCTGTGTCCATGTTGTTGTTTCCAGTGTAGGCTGGTCTGCTGTCTTCTGGTAGTGTTAAAGCCGTGTGCTATAGTCATGTGATAGGGACTTGACGAATAAGGGAAGGATACGCAATCACACAAAAGCCCCAATCAGGTAGCGAATCTCAGCAGCCCCGCCTCCGTTTTCAGATGTCTCCGTTTTCCCTCATCCACACTGAGACGGAGCAGCAGCGTTTCAGAATGAAGACAGCGTTTTTGAAAAGCTCCATTTTCTGCGCTCGTGAACTCCGGCGTAGTGTGGACGGATGGCGTAACAGTAGCAAAACGTATGCGTTTTAAAACGAAAACTCGTTAGTGTAAACGGGGCCTGAGTCAGTATCGATCTGCCCTATATGCGCACTATGCAAGGTGTGTAGGACCCTGCAAGTTACCAAAGGGCCGCTACTGATACCAGAAAGTGTTTTTTGGTCGAGAGCATCGAAAATTTTTGGTTTTGGCCAGGAATTTTTAATTCTGGTGCGTCCCTATTTTTTATGAAGACTGTTCCACCTTAACCGCCACCTTAAAAATATTTAATATTGTACATTTACAACTTTTCAAAGTGATTTTTATTTCCAATAATGACTCATTCCTTCAGTTTGGATCTATTTATTTAGTGTATCTCTGTGTGTGAAGTGTCAAAAGTAATTACTCTCATTATAATCATTCGGTGCTGTCCTGCTGTGCCGTTCCTCCAGAAAGCAGATCCATGTCCTGAAGCACAGCTCAGCACTGACTCAATGAATGAACGAACGTGTGTGCATGTCAAATAATGCTGCGCAGCACAGGAGGGATTCCCTCTGAGAGATCATCTCTCGGTCAGCATCTGAGCTCTAATCGTGTGTGTGTGTGTGTGTGTGTGTGTGTGTGTGTGTGTGTGTGTGTTCAGCAGAGGCTGCCGGATATGTGGATGTGTCTCTGAGCATCCCGCTGCTGCTGTCTCTGGCCGTGACGCTGGCCCTCGTGGTCCTGCTGCTCAACTGTGCTTCCTGCTGCAAAGAGCAAGAGATCAACTTTAAGGTGAGTCAATGGCTGCGTTTACATGGACAACAATACTCTTATTTCAGTACCATTAAGACAACACTGGTTAAGAGTCGACCATGTAAACAGAATTTTGATGACCTTAACCAGCTGAAGTCATATATGTAGTAAAAACAAATCATATTAAGATTAGTATTATTAAGTATTAGTATTCCTGTTTTAGTGGCATTATTGTAGTGCAGTAGAGACATTTAAACACCCTAATGCAAACTATTACCATCATGGAGGACTTTTAACTGCGTATTACAACAGGAGAATCCTTGCACACACAACTGTTTTTGTAAACTCTTACTCGAGTAAGAGTAAAAAAGTTTGTGTGTGTATGTGTATATACATATATATATATATATATATATATATATATATATATATATATATATATATATATATATATATATATGTGTATATACATATATATACAGTAATGGAGGAACACCACCTAGTGTAGAGATGTACGAGTACTGATTTTTCTCTAATAATTTACTTGAGTGAAAGAACACATTTTTAATTGTACTGAAAAAGTACATGTTACCCATTAATTTTACTCAAGTAAATGTAACGAAGTAATTGGTTACTACCCAGCTCTGCATCCGATAGCTCTGAGTTTGTCTCGGGGGCATGACTCAAATGCTCCTGAAGGAAAGTCGAAAAACGAAACCGTCGAAATGACATGAAACAATGGATAGTGTGGTGACGTGAATTGAACATGTTAAAGATGAAAGGAGCTTTCTGAAAGCAGCTCATATGAACATCTTAGTCATGTTAGTGCCCTATTTAGATTAGGGCAGATCATTTAAATAATAATGTCTTGTGTGTGTGATCTGTCAGGAGTTTGAAGACCACTTTGAAGATGAGGTTGATTTCACGCCGCCGGCGGAGGACACCCCGTCTATGCAGTCGCCCGCTGAGGTTTACACACTCGCTGTTCCCCCTGTGCACCTGCCCGGACCCCCACACCTCCAGCTGCCCCGCATTACAGGTCAGCAACACATGCACACTGTGAAAGACTGGGGTTTAGGCATGGGATGATAACCTGTTTCAAGGTTTGGCAAGGTTTTAAAACCGCTAAGTTGTACTGTTATACCGGTTCTGTAAATATACACTCACCGGCCACTTTATTAGGTACACCTTTCCAACCGATCGCTAACGCAAATTTCCAATCAGCCCATCACATGGCAGCCGCTCAATGCATTTAGGCATGTAGACATGGTCAAGACGATCTGCTGCAGTTCAAACTGAGCATCAGAATGGGGAAGAAAGGGGATTTAAGTGACTTTGGACGTGACTTCAGAGATGCTTTTTCAAGATGTAAAGTGTTTCTGAAACTAATGAAGACAGCAGAAGTCAATGATTTGCTTTAGTTATTCAGCCTGACATGTTTACTGCTCCAATATACTTTAAATGTGTCTTAAAACCAAATATATTGTGTTCAATGAGGGATAAAGGCCCAATCTCAATTCTACCCCTTAGCCCAGGGGTGTCAAACTCAATTCCTGGAGGGCCGAAGCCCTGCACTGCTCCAACACACTTACCTGTAGGTTTCAAACAAGCCTGAAGGACTCAATTAGTTTGATCAGGTGTTTTTAATTGGGGTTGGAACTAAACTGTGCAGAGCTGCGGCCCTTTTGGAACTGAGTTTGACACCTGTGCCTTAGCCCTTCCCCTTCCCCCTACCCCTCGTTTTGTGTGTGCCCGTGAAGGGGTAGTGGTGTCCCAATTCTCTTTAGCTTGAAGGCGTAGGGCTAAGGGCAAGGCGTATACACCCCTTCAAATGAAGATTTTTCCAACACCACACTCGAAACCAAGGGGTAGGAAAAATTTCCCAGAATACACTAGCTCCAGCTGCGCCCGGAAGTAAGGAGATCCGCTAATTAGTTTTTTTTTTGTCATTATTACCAATTTTTACAACAAACATACACGTTTTAATACATTCATAACCGCGTTCGTGTTTTACCGTCATGCTTTTAAAAAAAAAAAACGCTAAAATAAAAACTTTCGCGATCTATAATCCCCGTTCATAACTTCTGTACAGCAGTCCCACAACATTCTGACACTCGATGACACTGGAATACCCTGTCAGAAAAGTCTAGTGGCTGGGAATGGGCTTTTTACAATGTCTGCTATAATGTTAATTAGAGCTGCACAATTAATCGATAAAAGATGGCGATCTCGATTCCACCCCCTAGACCAGGGGTCTCAAACTCAATTTACCTGGGGGCCGCAGGAGGCAAAGTCTGGGTGAGGCTGGGCCGCATAAGGGATTTCACAAAAAAAAGTCCTCAAATGTCATTATTAACAGTTTTAATTATTTCTTCTGAACATGAAGTGTCCTGAACATTAATAGAACATTGAGTGAAGATTATGAACAGTTCTTCTGAACATGGCATCTTTTGCCTATTTCTTGCTGCCAGAGACTTGACAGCGCTTCTTCTCACAAATCTGAACCACATTTGGCTTTAGAGCGGAAGCAGTTGAGACCCTCAGTATGGCTTGAAGATGATCATCATTAAGTCTAGACCTGTACTTTGACTTATTGAAGTCCTAGGAAAAAAAGTGGGGGAACTCACTCAAAACTTCCATTCCCTCACCTAAAAAAAGGCGTATATATGTATAAATAAAACACCCCCACCCCACTCCAGTCACATCAGTCTGTACCAGTCTGTATCTACCTATAATATCAACACAATCTCACGGCAATTCGTAACTTTTTCATTTAGCGGCTAATTCGTATGAATTCGTACGATCTAATTCGTACAGTTTAGTACGATTTGCTTATCCCCCAATGACGGTTGGGGTTAGGGGTGGGGTCAGGTGCCACGCCTCCTTTTAAAAATCGTACCATTTCGTACGACTGAACTCGTACGAATTCGTAAATTAAACTGGCAAAACGTAAAATACCTACGTTTTCTCGTGAGTTCAGGCTGACAATATATATAAGATGCAGGGCAGGCACGTGCACACATAGGGCTCAAGTGCCCTTCCAAAATGATCCAAAGTGCCCCCGCGACGCGACACACCCTCGGTCCCGCCCTTCAGTGGGCGCGATAACACCGCTCTTGAGTACGCGCGCGACAACACAGCTGATCAGAACGCGCGCGACAACGTGCATTGAGTGACAAGCGCGCTGTGTACGGATAGAATCAGCGGAGCAGGGAGCGCTCTCTCTCCCCGCTCCGCTGATTCTGTCAGAGTACAGCGGTCGGCGCGGGCCACAAAATATTGCACTGAGGGCCGCAAATGGCCCGCGGGCCGCGAGTTTGAGACCCCTGCCCTAGACGATCTTAATCCAGCATTTCTACGATTCTGCCAATCATGTTTTCAAGTTCAGGAGAGAAGAAAACGCAGCTGCACGAGTCTTTCATTGTTTCACACACGTTGCTCAGTGACATTGACACCTCCAAATGATGTTGAATGAGTCACATACTGTATTTATAAGGTATAATTCACCTCAAAATGTCATTTTTGTCTTCATATAATGATGTTTTCGCGATCAGGAAATCACACGTGACGTGAGCTGCTGACCGCAAGCTGTTGTCACAGAAAGAGCGCACGCGTGTCTACTTTAGTGAACAGAACCTGCATATGTTGCGAGTAACAGCTAATACAGTTGTTAATAATATTCAGTTTGTGGCACAGAGTGATCGTTTAGGAGCTGCGCGTGAAGTATGAACAAGCACTTAGCAGTCAGAATGAAACCGAAAGTGTGCACTTCATTTAAATGATCATATCGCATTTTAAAGTTATGATTACGACAAGCATTTGATGTTTTTCTTTCATAGCGAACACACAGTTGTGCATGAAAATAAATGTTTACAATGTCAGTATAACTACTCTAGCCTATATATTGTTGAATATAATCTGATAATGGCAAATGTCTGATTTTACCAGTGAATTAAATTGTCTAATATGACAGATTGCAAGCATATATCCTAAACATAATAATTCAACATCAGAATTATTATAAGTAGAAAAGAATCGTTTATAGAAACCAGTAGACCTACATGTTATATTATTATCGATGTTGTGCCATATGTTTGTTTTTACCATACCTTTATTCTACATATACAGAATCGTGATCTTTATTTTAAGCAAAAAAAATCGCGATTCTCATTTTAGCCAGAATCGTGCAGCTCTAATGTTAATGTTGGTGTGTTTACATCAATGAATATGGCCACTTTGTAAATGCACAGTACTGTTACGATCTTATTGCCACATCAGATCATTATGATAGCATAATACAAGGCTTCAGTGATCTCCTGAAGATGAATACCAAAAAATAACACAACTGGAATCTCTACAGTAGCAGCTGTTGTTTTTTTAGCCAGACTTTTAAAAAGAGCATGTTTTAGAGCAGTGACCAGAATACCACCAGAATCTTATACCGGCCCATGCTTACTAGGGATGCTACATTTTAACTAATGTTCCATAAGAAGTCTTCTCAACAGTGCGTTTATATATTCGAAAATATTGCAAAAATAGACATTGAAGAACATTGGTGCACTTTTTATTCTTAGTCCTCCCATTAACCTACAGATCAACAATGCACCAGTAAAACTGACCAATAGCTATAATATTATAACATCGGCAATGGCTGCAATGGCAGTGGCTCATTGTAAAATGTGAGATTTACTGAAGGCTGTCCTCTGTGTTTGACGGTTGTGTTTTTCTTTCATGTTAGACGTCTCTTCCGGTCCTCACGTGGCACGACACTCTCTCAGTTACATTCAGGAGATCGGGAACGGCTGGTTTGGAAAGGTAAATCTCCTCTGTTTACATACTGTTTACACTGTGCACAATAAAAGCATGATGGTATAATGATAGACTTTAAAGCTGCAGGGTCCTGGAAAAAAAATATTGTTGAGTATTGCGATTATTACTAGTTCTTACGATACAACATTTCCCAAAAAATAAATACTGTTTTTATTATCTATGTTTTTTTAATAACTAATTTTTTATATTTAAATAAGCAGGTCAAATATATCTTTTAGGTCTAATTATTTCTAAATAGACTAAAAACAAGGTTTCAAGATGCAAATATATAGTCATTTAAACACTGAACGAGTGAAAACTGCGCAGAAATTCTGATTCTGATTGGCTGTTGTCATTTTCCTCTCTTGTCTCGACTCGTCTGCCCATTAGTGTTTATTTTCAGCTCTGGGTTCAGCGCTTCAGCCAATAGCAGAACAGCAACTACTAGGAAGGCGGGGCTATAGATAGGATGGCCCCATCTGATTGGTTAAATTTTGATAAACAACAAATGCATAGAATAAATGTCATGAGTCAATGTGATATGTTTATTGCTTATGTTTATCACGATAACAATAATTTTGTGATATACATTACCTGACAAAAGTCTTCTAAGAGCAACAACTAATAACTTGACTTCTAGTTGATCTTTTGAAAAGCTGACAGAAGGTCGATTTTTTTTTCGGTCAACTGCATCCCAATCATCACAAATACTGCAAAAGACCTACTGGAACCCGCGTGGAGCCAAGATTCTCACAGAAATCAGTCAAGTTTGGTGAAGGAGAACTCATGGTTTGGGGTTACATTCAGTATGGGGGCGTGCGAGAGATCTGCAACATCAACAGCCTGAGGTATCAAGACATCTGTGCTGCCCATTACATTACAAACCACAGGAGAGGGACAATTCTCCAGCAGGATAGCACTCCTGCTCATACTTCAGCCTCCACATCAAAGATCCTGAAAGCAAAGAAGGTCAAGCTGCTGCAAGATTGGCCAACCCAGTCAACAGATATGAACATTATTGAGCATGACTAGGGTAAGATGGAGGAGGGGTGTTAAAGATGAACACAAAGAGTCTTGATGAGCTCTGGGAGTCCTGCTGAAGGCTTTCTTCTTCATTCCAGATGACTTTATTAATCAGTGATGTGAGTCATGTCAGAGATGTATGGATGCAGTCCTCCAAGCTCATGATGGAGTCAGACTCAATATTCATTCTGTCTCCACTGCAGCAGGACTTTATATTCTATACTGGACATTATTTCTGTTCAGTGATGAGACTTTAGTCTGAGCAGAGTCAGACCGCACTGTCCTCATCAAATCATTAATAATCAAGGCATAATCAGATTTTATTGTGCTCAAATAAGCAAAATCTAGAGGCCTTCACCTTTCATATGACACTTCTGACACCACATGATCAACTAGAAGTCAAATTATTACTTGTTTCTAAAACCCTGGATAGGTGACAAGACTTTTGTTAGGTAGTGTATTGTGCAACAGTGTGTGAAAGCAAGCGTTGACTTCAGAAGTATTTGTGAAGGAGAAACGTGCGGTTTCTCTCGAGGATTAATCCTAAATAATCGCATTTGGTGCTCTTGTTGGTGCTCGCTCTGATCTCTATGCTATCGGCCCCCGGGGGGCCAGAGTTTGACGTGAGCGAGGGAGTGTGTGTACGGCACTGAAGACGTTCTCCTGCATGTGGATGTGTTTACTCAGATTAAGACTTAAGGGAAAACCTTGTTTCCTGGTGCTTTTTTCTGCTTAGCAGAGCCATGGGAACGTGCTCGTCTGTTGAGCTGAGCTGGCCGTCTCTCTAGAAACATAAGCCTAATGTTATCATTGTCTTCAATAACCACATGTTTGAGAAATAACAGTAAGACTAGCTTACTCATATTAATCTTTATTTAACATCTGTTTTTTTTTTTCAAATTATTAAATGGTGGACTTTAACTGCAGTTCGGCTCTTTGATTCAGGGAATTCATTCATGTCCCTCGCAACAAAACGAGATATTTGATTGGAGGAGCTGCTCTAAGCGTGTATTTTTCATGCAATGTTTGAATCCGCACGGCGAATGAGAGAAAAAAAACCCCCCGCATTTCCCGGAAACTTAGATGCACACGGCAGGTAGCATCAGAAAGCCGCGTGTGTTATTCCGGTCACTAAATGCGGTAAAAACCCTACACGAGGTTAAAGTTTGGTTGTGGTGCTAACATGTTTACACTCGGTGCAATAGTTAACTTAGTTCGATACGAACAAACTGAATAAACAAAGAGCACTGGTCGCTCACTTACCAAATCTGTAGAGACAGAACAATCACCAGCAACTAGAGCCGCGTCTTTATTAAGAGGAGATGAGCAGCGAATCCGGATCTCAGCGTTTGCAGATGAGAACAGCTCTCAGGTAAACAATAATCCTCCTTAGACACGTAAGTTATTGTTGTCGAGCGTCACGTGCACGGTTAATTTATTTTTCTTAGGAAGTACAGTTTCATTTGTGTATCTTTAAATGAATAGGAATGAATAATGTCATTTTTCCTGTTCAGAATTTAACGGAGCCTTTATTTGTCATTTATAAGGGATTTATAAAGCATGAATAGTCCTCACTTTAAATTAGGTCACAAAACTAGGTGAAGTTGAGTTAATAAAGCATTTATTAACATACATAGTAACCATTAATAAATGCCTGATTAATAAGACATATAAATGTTGATTTCAATAGTTTATTAATCATTTACTAACTCATTCTGAATGATCCTGAAAACCCTCAACTACTCTAAAATACAAACGGTTTGTAAATAATGTGATACTTAATTTAGTAATGAAAAATGAATCATTTACTAAGTATGAAAATACAATTATTAAGCGCATTTTAAATGTGGTTATAAGTCAAGAATAGAGCATTTGTAGCTGCAGTTATAAACTGCTTACTAACGCTTATTAATGTAGAGTTAATGCTTAACAGATAATGAATTCACTATTTGTTAATGCTTAATGAATGATTTATAGTGTGTAGTAATTATAAAGTGTTACCAAAGTTTTTAATATTGAATTTTTTTTAAAGTATGTACATTAATATGTATTTATGTATGTTTTATATCATCTTTACATCACATTTACAGTGTGTATTGGTGCAGGACAGTAGTAGTAGTCTTTTTATAGAATTGTTCAGAAAATAAAACTTTTTTTAAAAGAGAAACTCAAACGTATACAAGAACAAAGTACATGAAAACATTAGGAAAAATACACAGTGAAATAATACAATTTAAAAAAAAGGGAAAAGGTAAATAAAAAAAAACAAAAGATTTAGTGGTGAGTTGAGGGGGGGGGCTTAAAATTCAAGTATTTATAATAAATCTGTTTTTAAAATATGATAGAAAAAGTCTCCAAACTTTGAGGAATATTTTATTTGAGCCTTGGCTGCTATATTTGATTTTTTTTAGCTTTAGATATGCCCTGACATTTTCTACCCATTTACTATGTGTTGGTGGTTTACCTGACTTCCACTGCAAAAGTATAAGCCTTCGGGCCAAAAAAAAGAAGAGAAAGTCATATGTCAAACCAAATATTGCTATTACTGGATCTGGTTGTATCTCCTATGCACAGATGTAAGAAAAAGTCTCAAACACCGCAGACCAAAATGGTCCAGAACCAATGACCGAAGATGGCCTCATCTCTGTGGCACCTCGAACTTGTTGGATCAGTTTTTGGGAATATTCTTAACAGTTTGCTTTTAGGAAGGTGCAGTCTTTGGATAATCTTAAATTGTAATAAACCATGTTTGACGCAACTAGATGTTGAGTGAATTTGCTTGGCCGCAGGACAGTAAATCTGACGTTATTCTCTCTTCTATCTGCCGTCTCACACTATTGTTTTCCTCTTTCTGAAAGTCTTGATAACACCATCCTGGAGTTGTCCTGTCATTATTTCAGCAAATAGAATTGTAGTGTAATGATTTGTCTTACTGTCCCATCCTATGACCACTTCTGCTGCTGGGAAACACGCAGATGTGCAAAGAGTGCATACCTTCTGTCAGCAGAGCCTCCGTCTGCATCACCTGTATTGTCTCATTGTGTTGTTCTTCCTGAAAGTCACTGCTCTGCTTGCCTGACAGGTTCTGCTCAGTGAGATCTATGTGGACCCAGGAGTCGCTCGAGCGGTGGTCCGAGAACTGAAAGCCAATGCCAGCTCCAAAGAGCAGAACGAGTTCCTGCAGCAGGGAGACCCGTACAGGTCAGAGTTTTGCCCTCGTCTCTCTCTAATGTGTATGTTGCATGAAATCAAAACTAGCCATATTGGTTTTGTTAGCTCACATTGCTAGTTTTGTTGTGAACACTTCAACTGTGCGTGTCATTATGAAAAAAAAACATGTTTGCGCATTGAAAATGAAATCTAAAAATGCACTTCCTGTTTGTTCGGTGGTAAATTCTCAGATTACGTCTGTCTGAGGTAGTGGGCGTGGCTAACATACTTAACCACGCCCCATCAGCTGTCAGTTTTGACAGCAAACAGAAATGGTGAGGAGGAAGAGTCTGTTAGGTTGGAATAACTCTCCCCCGAACCCCTTTCCCCATCTTTCTGAATAAAACGCCCACTTAACTACATCCAATCAGCTCACAGTCGAAAAAACAAGCCACGCCCACTGTGTTCTCTTTTAATATCAATGACTATAGAATACACAAGACATGTCACTCGTGTAGTTTTGAATTGGGAAAGGTTTAACGGTCACTATGGCGAATAAAGCACCGCCTACTAGTACAGGAGCCAATCATCAATCGCTATAGACTGACGTTCCTCCAGGAGAGAAGCCCAGACCAGACATGTGCTTTTAGGACAGATTTTGTGCTCAGCAAGCACTGTAATCCCAGCGAATACTAGCTTCACAGACATGCTTGAAATCTGTGCTTTTAAATGAATCAACTACACTTGAAAACAAACGTTGTTTTGGTTTGTAATCTGTATGAAACGAATGCAAGGTACAATCCATCCTGTCAAACGCACTTAATAACAGCAGCTGCTACTCAAACGCACACAAACTTGTAAACAAAGAGTCGCTGTCATTTCTAGAGGAGATTCGCCATCAAGACTGAGCTGAGGATTACTTCAGAAGAGCAGCGTGATCAGACGATCATTATCCAAAGAATGATAATTGTGTAATAAATCAGGGTTGGTGTCGTGATCTCGTATCTTTTGAGTGCACATTGCGCGGGCAACCTGAAAATATGCCGATTTTGTTTTGACTTGAGCATTTAAAAACGACACTTATAAGATGATTGTTATTTAACTTTATTGGCGATTCCAAATATGTAATGTAACCATAAGCTTGGCAAACAGTTTAAGAGAATTCAATGTTTCCCCATTGAGACATGGGCCTGATCATACTGGCGAAAGGCGTTTCAAAGATGGCGGCCGAGTGAAATGACTTGCCTTAAAGAGACTTTGTTTACCATTTAGTTTTTCTAGGAACTGTGTCACAATACAAAAAAAACCCATAAAAAGGGGCATAACAAGTCTCCTTTAATTTAATGTTGTCTCTAAAACTGCTGTACAGTTATTCTGATCTGCATTGAATGTTTTCCTTTATTTGTCTCTTCACAGGGTTCTTCAGCATCCCAATATACTGCAGTGTCTCGGTCAGTGTGTGGAGGCCATCCCGTTCCTGCTGGTGTTTGAGTACTGTGAACTGGTACGTTTGATAAAAAATTTAAAAAAAAAGGTTTTTTAATGCACTTTTATTTGTGTTCACTTTATTGGGTCTCTTTTCATCGCATATTGTGCTTAAAACTCTTTTGACAACTAGCACATGCATATTTAGTCACTCATAGTAAATCTGAAACATAAGGCACAAGTGTTGTCATTTATTAATTTCCCTCCAGCTTAGTTCCTTATTTATCAGGGGTTGCCACAGCGGAATGAACCACCAACTCTTCCAGTAAATTTATTTTTACGCAGCAAGGTTATAATAGTTTTGGATTTTTCATTAGTTTTAGTTTTTGTTTTGTTTAGACTTTTTGTTTTCAAATTCAGTCAGTTTTAATTAGTTTTAAAGGCAGATTTACTAGTTTTGTCTAGTTTCAGTATTAGTTTTAGTTTTTTTTTTTCTAAATGAGGATATTTGTTGGGTGCAAGATTCAAAATCATCAGAATAAATATTGTAGAATAAAAACATTTTTTGAAACCTTCTGGATCTTTCACTTACTTCGAAGACACGACTGACTACGCTTACATGGACATCTGCAGTCTAGTTATTTGCCTATAATATAAATATAATTAAGGTGTTTACGTGAAGTGCTTTCATGTAGGAGTAATTTTGGGTGACTTTAACTGCATTTCGGCACTTTCCCCTTATTAGAATGTGTGTGTGCGTGCGTGCGTGTGCGCTGTCTTTTGCTGACAGCCGCGTGTGTGGATCTTGTCTGGAAATATGGTTTATTACTTTAGTAATGCCACTAATATCTGCAGACTCCACACGTCCTGATTCCATTTCTGTGTAGTTCAGTGATGACTTAAGTCGGATTAAGGTCATCAAAAATTTTTGGAAGCTGACAGTTCATGTTTAACTGAATACAGTTAAACAGTGAGTAAACACAAGCACATCTTATTGATCATCATTTATTTTCATCACCGATTATCAGAGTAGAACAGTTTTTCTACAGCAGATTATGATGCGTTGTGGAAACGGGAGATGGCTCCCTAGCTTAATGCGCCACCTGGCTAGAGAAACCAGTTCTCAAAGGCTTATTATTGGGCAGCACACATATTTTGAATGCCTTCCGCAGAATTCAAGTGAGCCGTTTTAATCTAGATTAAATCCAAGATTACACTGAGATTAATCTAGATTAAAAAATTAATCTATGCCCACCTATAGTGTTTACTAAGTTAATTAGCATGAAACATCTGCTTTCATGTATTATTTGTACTTTCAGTTATTAATAAAATAATAATTTGTTGTGTGTCTCTACGTTTTGCTCCGTTGGTTATAAAAATGCAGACCGATCTGTAAAGCGCTGATAGATAAAGCATGTGACGTATTGCTCCAAGTGATGTCACTTCCTGTGGCGGGAAACTCATCGTCATTATTCTTCTCGTTAATTTGTGCAAAATCTTTAGAATTCACCAATTATGTCTGATATTTCAGTCAGTTTAAAAAAACAACATTATCATAAACATAACATAAATATTGTTCCAAAGCAGCTTCACAAAAGATGCACATTATTACACTACTGTCGCTCATTAGCGTAGGATGGTATCTTAGTTTTGAATCTGCCACTATGCTGACACACGGGCATATATAGCTCCGCCCTCTTCTGAAGAGAGCACTATCTCATTTGCATTTAATGCGACAGTCACCAAAACGCCACAATTAGGATCAAAGCCTGAAAGGGTCAGTTACAGAGAGGTATTAAAGGTTATCTGTGTGCATTTATAAGCTGAAACTTCACACACACTCTAGAGACATCAGAGACGCATTTTACATCTTATAAAAAAGGACAATCATAGGTCCTCTTTAAGATTTGTGCTGGTCAGCACTGCGCTAAGCAGCTGAAGTGAAATCTTATTTCACAGCCACGCTCAGCATCTCAGATTCAACATTTACTCTCTGCTTCGTTTGTTCAAAGCTCTTTAATTAGGCCAGCTTCCGTCATGAGTCTCAGCCCTTTTGATTTATTCTCTGTTTTTCTTGGTCTATTCTGGGGCGCTCTGCTTGTGCCTGAGAAGGATATGAGCGGCGTAACTCTCCGATTCCCTCACATCCCAATAAAGCAACAGCACTCTTTTACTGGCACTGTCACTCTGCGATCCTGCTGCGCTGGTGCATTTCATCAGCGTGCTGCAGACGATACTAGTAACATGAGTTTTTCAGAGGACATTTCAGGTTTTTATCTTGTTTCTAGAATATTTCTAAAGTGCTCAAATAAAGAAGGGTTTTCTTCTGAGACCAGCAAAACATATTGTCTTGTTTTCAGATATAGACCGTCTTTATGTGGTCATGTCATTGGCCCATGAACATTTCCTGCTTGTTATCCATCAATTTCATAACTGTAACAGAAACAATTCAGTCATAACCTAATGTTAAAACGGCTCTCATCAGGTTATTTATCAATATGTGGCTCTTTTCAAGTTCTCGGAAGCTATAGAAATTAAATATGTAACGCAGGAAATACATTGGGACCATTGTTTTCGTTTACATCCCTCAGAATGGCCTATGATGAGTCAAAATTAGGCTTTTCTTCAAAACAAGCTCAATAATCTGCCAACGGGGTGAGTAAAGTAAACTTATTTTAAAGGGAAAAGAAGATTATTTTGCTTACCCCCATTGGTAGATTAAACTTTTTGGCAATAAAATCAATAACTTGTTTTTTGTTTGGCTCTGTGCAACTCTCACATGGTTGCCTTCCTGATAATGTCCGAGGCTCAGACACACTCTCTTAGATCAAAACTAGATCAAAGACCTATCTTTTTAGTAAAGAAAAATAAAATTTGTTGAACATCTACACATAGACATCACCTATATACTATATAACTGCAGGCTAGCTGTTTAAATATAGTATTAAATACAGCTATATATATATATATATATATATATATATATATATATATATATATATATATATATATATATATATATATATATATATATATATATATAACTGTTAAAAGCAATTAGTAATTAGTTAATAGATAATTAGTTTAGGGCACAGAGATTTTGGTAGTACCTCGGATAGCAAAGTCCACTAAAGGAGGTTGAGTGTTTTCATATATGGCTCCCAAATTCTGGAATAGCCTTTCTGACAATGTATGAGGATCATACACACTAAAACTAGATTAAAGATCTTTTCAATAAAGCAATATACACTTCATTGAACATCTACACATAGACATCACCTATGTACCATATAACTGCAGGTTAACTATGTTTATATGTAATAACTTTAACTGTTAAAAGCGATCAGTAATTAATTACTAGTTAATTAGTTTAGGGCTTCTGGTAGTATCCGAAATTGCAAAGTCCACTAAAGGAGGTTGAGCGTTGAGGCTCCTAAATTCTGTATGGCGTTTCTGATAATGTCAGAGGATCAGAAACACCCTCTCAGATCAAAATTTAAGACCTATCTTTTTAGTAAAGCAAAATACAGTTTATTGAACGTCTACACACAGACGTAATCTATGTGCTGTATAACTGAAGGCTAACTATGTATACATATATTATACTTACATATGTATACTTTAACTGTTAAAAATGATTAGTAATTAGTTACTAGTTAAATAGTTCAGGCCTGGTAGTACCTGGAATAGCAAAGTCCACTAAAGGAGGTCATTCGTTCTCATATATGGCTCCTAAAACTGGAATAGCCTTTCTGAGACTGTCCGAGGCTCAAACACACTCTCTCAGGTCAACATTACATTATAGGTCGTTTTAGTAAAGCAAAACACACTTCATTGAACATCTAAAAATAATAGCAAAGTCCACTAAAGGAGGTCGAGCAGTCTCGTATATGGCTCCTAAAGTCTGGAATAGCCTTTCTGATAATGTCCGATGCTCAAACACACTCTCTCGGGTTAAAACTACATTAAAGATCTTTTTAGTAAAGAAAAATACACTTCATTGAACATCTAAAAATAATAGCAAAGTCCACTAAAGGAAGTCATTCGTTCTCATATATGGCTCCTAAAGTCTGAAATAGCCTTTCTGATACTGTCCGAGGCTCAAACACACTCTCTTAGGTCAAAACTACATTAAAGATCTTTTTAGTAAAGCAAAATACACTTCATTGAACATTTATAAATAATAGCAAAGTCCACTAAAGGAGGTCGAGCGTCCTCATATACGGCTTCTAAACTCTGGAATATCCTTCTTGATAATGTCCAAGGCTCAGACACTATTTCAGATCAAAACTAGATGAAAGACCTATATTTTTAGTAAAGCAAAATACACTTTTTGAACATCTAAAAATAATAGCAAGGTCCACTAAAGGAGGTCGAGCAGTCTCATATATGGCTCCTAAACTCTGGAATAGCCTTTCTGATAAAGTCCGAGGCTCAAACACACTCTCTCAGGTCAAAAATACATTAAAGATCTTTTTAGTAAAGCAAAATACACTTCATTGAACATCTAAAAATAATAGCCAAGTCCACTAAAGGAGGTCGAGCAGTCTCATATATGGCTCCTAAACTCTGGAATAGCCTTTCTGATAAAGTCCGAGGCTCAAACACACTCTCTCAGGTCAAAACTACATTAAAGATCTTTTTAGTAAAGCAAAGTACACTTCATTGAACATCTAAAAATAATAGCCAAGTCCACTAAAGGAGGTCGAGCAGTCTCATATATGGCTCCTAAACTCTGGAATAATCTTCCTGATAATGTATCAGACACACTCTCTCAGGTCAAAACTAGATTAAGACCTATTTTTTAGTAAAGCAAAATACACTTCATTGAACATCTACACATAGACATCACCTATATACTGTATAACTGCAAGTTAACTACTGTATGTTTATATATAATAACCTTAACAGTTAAATCTATTAGTTACTAGTTAATTAAAGTTATTAGTGACTAATAATGTTATGGTCACTAATAACCTTTTCTGATTTTGATTGTAATGCAATAATGTGCACCTTTATTATTATTATTATGTAAAGCACTATATACTAATGAACTTGAATTGAATTGAAGTTAGAGGCGAGTGTTTGTGTGGCTGATTGTCTTTGTGTAGCCCCGGTAACCATTGGTAACCCTGACACAGTGCATTTTAGAGAGAAATATAGCAGCAGTCTGCAACTGGAGAGGCTCTGCAGAATGCCAGTTGCTCTGTGATTGAGTGACAGTCTCTCCTGTAGAGGCTTTCTTTAGGGAGCTGCACTCATATCTCTGTGCGTGTTTAAAGGCAGACCATGATGAGATTTAGATCCTGAAGCACTAGCATGTTTCCTAATGCTGTGCGCTCAAGGGGATAGTTCACGCAAAAATGAATATTTACTCAGTGCTTAGGAGTTTCTGCCTTCTGTAGAGCACAAATTAAGATGTTTTGCAGAATGCTGACAACTGGTAGCCATTGAGTTCCACACACATCATAAACTGCTTTTCGTGTTTAGAGGTTTGGTCTTGGTTTCTTGTCCGAGTATCTAAAAGTTCTTAAATCAGAGAGCTTTTTTCTAGACAAGTAACACATATGGTGTTGTTTTCAGAAATTATAGGTCAATTAAGTGAGGTTTTTCTTAAAAAAAGCTAAATATTCTGCCAGTGGGGTAAATAAAGTACATTTATTTAAAAAAAAGAGAAAACTAAATTATTCTGCTTACCCCATGTCAGATTATTTAGCTTGTTTAAACTAAACACTCACTTAATTTTGACTCATTGTATCATATACTCATATACTCGCAGTTATACAGTATATAGGTGATGTCTATGTGTAGACGTTCAATGAAGTGTATTTTGCTTTACTAAAAATATAGGTATTTCATCTAGTTTTGATCTGAGAGAGTGTGTCTGATACATTATCAGGAAGGCTATTCCAGAGTTGAGGAGCCATATATGAGACTGCTCGACCTCCTTTAGTGGACTTGGCTATTATTTTTAGATGTTCAATGAAGTGTATTTTGCTTTACTAAAAAGATCAATAATGTAGTTTTAACCCGAGAGAGTGTGTTTGAGCATCGGACATTATCAGAAAGGCTATTCCAGAGTTTAGGAGCCATATATGCTCGACCTCCTTTAGTGGACTTTGCTATTATTTTTAGATGTTCAAAAAGTGTTTTTTGCTTTACTAAAAATATAGGTCTTTCATCTAGTTTTGATCTGAAATAATGTCTGAACCTCGGACATTATCAAGAACGATATTCCAGAGTTTAGGAGCCATATATAAGGATGCTCGACCTCCTTTAGGGGACTTTGGTATTATTTTTAGATGTTCAAAAAGTGTTTTTTGCTTTACTAAAAATATAGGTCTTTCATCTAGTTTTGACCGGTGTGTCTGATACATTATCAGGAAGGCTATTCCAGAGTTTAGAAGCCATATATGAGACTGCTCGACCTCCTTTAGTGGACTTTGCTATTATTTTTAGATGTTCAATGAAGTGTATTTTGCTTTACTAAAAATATAGGTCTTTCATCTAGTTTTGATCTGAAATAGTGTCTGAGCCTCGGACATTATCAAGAAGGATATTCCAGACTTTAGGAGCCATATATGAGAACGAATGACCTCCTTTAGTGGACTTTGCCATTATTTTTAGATGTTCAATGAAGTGTATTTTTTTCTAAAAACAAGACTATATGCTTGCTTCTCTAGAAAATGCTTTTTTATTTTGTAGATACTTTTTTTATATCAATTATGATTAGAAATGTGTGCTAAATATTTCACTAAATATATTTAATTCACAAACATGTTATTATTTTGGATGTGATTAATCTTTTCCCAGCACTCATTTGTTTTTAGTAATGGATAGAGGAAAGGCAGGGCAGATTGCGGAGCCTCATGTTATGTGCAGCTACAGCTCTTTTAGCAGCTTGCTTCACAGGTTGTGTGTTTTGACAGAAAGTTAATGATATCTGACTCCGCTGGTCTTTCCAAAGGGAGCAGTTTGTCCTGCGTCGCTACGATATCAGAAGCCTCTGTAGACTTATGTAATAGTGCTCCACCGTTGAGCGAGAACTCTGGAAACACCGCCAGCGCTCTAATGACTTATGCATAATTAATATCTGCTTTCATTGACGTGTGTGTGTGTGTGTGTGTGTGTGTGTGTGTGTGTGTGTGTGTGTGTGTGTGTGTGTGTGTGTGTGTGTGTGTGTGTAGCTGCAGTACAGAGGTTTATTGTTGTGCAAGTTATATGTTTTTTTTTTATCTAAGTCACTTTTGCAAAGCTCCAATAACAGCATGAACATATGCTTTCACTCTCTTTTGGTTATGAAAGTTTCTGGAATATTTACAAATATATACATAAAATGATTTTAATAATGTTCTATTCCATGTATTAAAACATATCAAGCAATTTGTATAATTTTTAGTTTTTTCAGTAATGAAAAAAATCATTTATTTAGTTTTTTTTTCTAATTTAAAATGTTACTTTTCAATTATCAACATTTTTTGGCAAACATTTATTTAAAAATGTACTTTCCATTTATTGAAAATTTTTATATATATATATATATATATATATATATATATATATATATATATATATATATATATATATATATATAATTATTATTATAATATTATGTTATTATTTTATTTATTTATTTATTTATTTTTTGCAAATAATTTTTAACACTATATAATTTTACCCATCTCTGTTATTCAAATGTACATAACAGACCTTCAATAAAACATTCAAGCCTCCCAGATTATTGTTTGCTATTGTAAATTTTACTTTCAATTTATCTTTTACTTTCCATTTATCAAAATTTATTTACTTTCACGTTTTTTTTTTCTTTCATTTTTACAAATTTATTTTGTTTTGCCATTTAATTTTTTCTTTACATTTATCAAAATTTATTTTTGATATGCTTTTTTCTTTCATTTTCTCGCTAATTGATTTTGTTTGTCATTTAAAATTGTACTTTGCCTTCATCAGATTGTATTTTTTTCATGCTTTGTCATTTTTTGCTGATTATTTTTCGTTTTTCATTCAAAATTTTACTTTCCATTTAATAAAATATCATTTTTTTTCTGCGGTTTCCCTTGTTTTACCAACTGCTCTTCAGTGTTTCGGCTTTTGCCATTTACATTACACCAAACTGAACTAAAGCTGTTTCAATTTCCCAGAACTTCATCTATGTTAAGCTGCTTTGATACAATCTACATTGTAAAACGCGCTACAGAAATAAAGTTGAATTGTTATGTATAGTCTATTAAAAGGTGGTTAGATCATGCAAATTCAGCTTTTCAGTTAGTGAAAAGTCAGGCAGTTTGACATTTAGTCTAGAACGGGAACCCTGAATATAATATCCTCCACTTTTTTTCCAGAGCTAACCTGAGCTGTGGTGTTTGAGCCAGAAACCCAGCACAGCCGCGCTCTCCCCGTTACTGCTGCTTCTTTATTTTTAATTTACTCTGACACGGTGTTTATAAGTGTCTATTAAACTGCCTTTCCCTTATTTGGTTCAGTTTCCAGACGGCAGACCAGCGTTTGTTCAGACAGACAGAGGATACTGCCGCTCTGTGGCTGCGTCTGCAAAATACCCCCACACACACACACCTATTCCTATATCCTTTAATATATGGGCACAAGTCTGTTTGTGTGTCACAGTGTCCTAACCCTCACAGGAAACGATCAGCATTTTTAAATGTTCACAATACTTTATTCTGTATGATTGATCAGCATATTCACTCATGAGGATCTCAATGTTGACTCAAGTCCTCACAAGTCTGTGTGTATTCAGTTTTAGGTCCCCACTGGGATATAAAAACTTGTAACAACAAATCATTGTCTGGTTGAATATTAAAGGAGACCTATTCTGCCCCTTAATATAAGTCTTATATAAGTAAATGCCAGAATAGTTGGTGGTTCATTCCGCTGTGGCGACCTGTGGGACTATATGTGATTAATAATTTTCACAAACTTCAACAGAGTGTGTAAATCTTGATGCTACTGTGGGTCTTGTCTATCAAATCTGAGCTTTATTCTGTATTCTCTATTGGATTCGGATCAGGTGATTGGCTGGGCCATTCCACAGCTTGATTTTCTTTCTCTGAACCATCTTAGAGGCTGTGTTTTGGATCATTGTCCTGCTCAAATGTTCACCCTGGCTTCCTCTTCATCCTCCTGCTAATGTTGAAGTCGGACTGAAGCAGCTGATGTTCATTTACACTGAGGAAGGGCGGAGGGTTACTAAAGAACTAACTAATTCAGCTGCTGTCTGGGCTTTCCCTGCATTTCTACACCTTCCTTTCTTCATGTGTTCAACACTTTTTCCCTGTGTCATTTTAATACATATACCTTAATTTGTAAACTAATTAGACTTGATTTCTTTGCATATATGGATTTCTTTGGCTGTTACTAAAATCCAGTGAACATTTTAAGTCAACCGCACCTTTATAAAGATGTTTTCTGGAACGAATGCTGACGTTTTCAATATTTCATTTCTCCTCTGTATGAGCAGTGCTCATGAGTGTCCTTAAAATGTGAAGAGTCCTGTGTGTAGCCCTGACTGAGAGAGCGTCTGGCCTGCGGGGAGAAGCTGAGCAGGTCTGAACTCTTGTGTTTGTGTTTTGGTGTGTAGGGCGATCTGAAGAGTTACGTCTCTCAGCATGAGTGGCTGTACAGGAACGGAGAACTGCTGCAACTGCAGAAGATGGCCTGCGAGATCGCCGCCGGGGTCACACACATGCACAAACACAACTTCCTGCACAGGTAAAACATACACTTTATTACATACACTTTAGTGCCCATGACAAAAAACTCATCATGTTACAAGACATGATACATGCATCTCATATCCTGATAATGATATACATCACAGTAAAGCAGCATTCTTTCAGCTCAATCAATTATTAGTTATATTTGTATTGAGCACTATTGCTTTTCTAGTTTTTCAAGTATATATTCAGATGTGATTATATTTCTCCCTTAGTTTTTTTTATTATAAATGTAGAAATATAGAATATTATTAATATTCTGTTAAAATTTAATTATTTAAAATTGATTAAAATATATATATATTTTTTACCTTAGAAATAATCCATTTAATATAAAAAAATTTCCTAAACTATTACATTTACATTAAAGCCTAAAATGTTTAACAATTATTTATTAATTACTTAATTATTTATTGAATTTTTAACCTTATAAATTCTTTTGAATTTAATTACTTAATATTATTTTTTTCATTTATTTTTAACCGTTAGAAATGTGAGTTTAGGTGTTTAATATTTATTACATTTATTGTAAACTTTTAAAAATTCTAGTTTAATTGTTTAATATTTATTGTATTTATTTTTAAGTTTAAAAAAATAATAATTTTCATTATTTAGTATTGATTTCATTATTTAATAGATTTTGTACCCTCGATTATTTAATATTTATTTTATTCTTTAATTAATTTTAAACCCTAGAAATTCAAACATAGTTTAATATTTATTTATCTATTTTTAAGATTAACAATTTTTTATTCATTTATTTAATATCGTTTTAATAATTTATACATTTTTATAATAATTTAATTTTTATTCTTTTTTTAATTTTACATTTATTTAAAAAAAATGTGAAATTGTTTATTTAATATTTAAGTATTTAATAGATTTGTTTTACCTTAAATTCAAATTCAGTTGTTTAATATGCATTAAATAGATTTTTTTTGTCTCAATAAATGTTCAATTTAATAATTTTATATTTATTTATTACATTTATATTTAACCTTAAGAAATGTGGTTTTAAGTATTTAATATTTATTTACATTTTTTTATCCTAAAATGTTTTTTAATTTAAATATTTATTTAATTGTTAATTTAAAAAAATGTTTGTTATTTGATTTTTGATTTTTACCTTAAAAATTCAAATTTAATGTAAAATAAATTTGATTTAATATATTTATTTTAAACATAAAAAAAATAAAATTTAACTATTTCATATTTATTTGAGTATTTAATTTATTTTAACCTCAAAAATTCTAAAATAATTGTTTATTATTTATTTAATGGCTTTTTTAAACCTTAAGTTTAAATTCAATTGTTTATTATTTATTTATTTTATTTCTTCTTAAGCTTAAATAATTATTTAATTTATTTTTGAATCAGAATATTTGAAGAATTTAATTGTTTAGTATTAATAATAACAAATGAATGAGCTCATTCCTATGTGATTATAAATTCTCACATTTTGTTTATAACTTTTTGATTAAAAATGTGGGATAATAAAATAAAAATGTAAGTAAATTATTATTATTTATTATTGATTTTTATTGTATTTTTATTATATTTTTATTTTCATTGTCAGTGTGTATACACTGAAATATAACACATTAAACACATTGTTGTGTAATCAATATATTATTGTGTACACAAAATAAACAGAGTATATTATGAAGCTTTTCATTTTGTCCACCATATAAATATATATATATATATATTGCACAACCCTTACTCCATTTCTGATTGCTTAAACTCAATGCAAACATGACGTAAAGCTTCATGTTCAGCCTATAATTCCTCCAATGGTGTGTGTGTGTGTGTGTGTTTGCCCAGCCGTTCCTCCTCTCCATCGCCTGCCCTCTTTTATTTTTTCCCAAAAAAGGCGACGGTCGCTGTGAAAGGCAGCGTCTGCAGTTTGATTCTTCCCCTTGCAGTCTTCAGTTATCTATGGTGTCTTGCCATGCCGAGCGCGTCTGCACCCTCCCAATATGCAGAGCGGTGTCCCATTGCATTATTATGGGCTGTTGGCTGTGGATTTATGATGATTCTGCGGTTTGAGCGTAAGAGGATCTCCGGGGCGGACCCTCCAAAACCAGCTCTGAAACCAGGCGCTGGAGATTCCGGCCCGTTGTTGTGGCCGTCATCAAAATACTTGCCGCCCCCTTTATTATAACTAATACAATTATAAATGAGTATATATACAGTCTAGCCTGAAATTATTCACACCTCTAGTAAAGAAGTGTTTTGACTTAAAGAAATATTTATTGATCTTGTTCATCGTATCATTGTCCGGTAAAAAACTAAATGTGTGGCTGTCATGAAAATACTTGCATGCGTTTGGGTTCGGAGTTGATTTATTGAAACCCGCTGCTCGACACTCCCAAACAGTTGTTTGAAATGGCACGAGGCCCGATGCATCTTGGGGAATGGAGCTATTTCAGGAACTTTGCATGTCTTCATGCTATTTTACATGTGTGTGTATATATATGCCAGGGGTTTGAGTAATTTCAGGCTTGACTGTACATATTTTTTATAGCAGAGTATTCACACAATGTCCTTTTCTTGGTGGTCTATAATGCAGTGCAGGACTCTTGATGACACACTGATGAATTTGGTTATTATTTATTTGAGTATTTAATGGATTCGTTTTACCTTAAAATCAAATTTAGTTGTTCAAAATTTATTAAATAGATTTATTTATCTTAATAAATGTTTAATTTAATTATTTAATATTTATTTATTACATTTAGATTTACCCTAAGAACTGTGGATTTAAGTATTTAATATTTATTTAACTATTACATTTATTTAAAACCTTTTTAAAATGTTAATTTAATAGTTTAATATTGATTAAAACTTTTTTACTCTATTTTTTATTTTAATATTTATTTAATTGTTACATTTATTTTTTAAAAGCTAATTTTGTTATTTAATATTTAATCCTTTGATGGATTTTTCAACCTTAAAAGTTCAAATTTAATGTCTAAATTTGATTAAATTTATTAATTTTTAAACTTAAAAAATTTTAATCTAATAATTTAATATTTATTTGAGTATTTAATAGATTTGTTTTACCTTAAATTCAAATTTAGTTTTTTAATATTTATTAAATAGATTTTTTTATCTTAATAAATGTAATCTAAATAAATGTAAATTTAATTATTTAATATTTATTTAATTATTACATTTATTTGTAGTAATTAACAAAATAACAAAATGTTAATTAAATTGTTTAATATTGATTTAAAAAAAATTTCCCAAATTTATTTATTTATTTAATTATTTTAATATGTATTTAATTGTTACATTTATTTTTTAAAAGCTAATTTTGTTATTTAACATTTAATTATTTGATGGATTTTTTTAACCTTAAAAAATCTAATTTAATGTCTACATTTGATTTAATTTATTTTTAAACATAAAAAAATTATAATTTAATTATTTAATATTTATTTGAGTGTTTAACTTATTTTTAACCTTAAAAATTCTTGATTATAACTGTGATGAAGTGAAGTGATCAGTCTTTACTACATTTTTACCTTTAATCAGTGTTTGTTTGACGCTTTTAGTTTAGAATAGACAATAAATATGTGTGTTGTTCTTCATAGACAACTTTCACATCAAAACACGTCTAGATATCATCGGGAGCAACGATTAGGATTTGGCTTTGCTTGTGCATATTTTTTTCACTCTTTAAGTGCATCCCTAATTGCATACGTGTACTGTTGTATGCCATTTTGTAGTATGCATAGTGCAGGTACTGCATTCACAAGGACGTGTCTAAGAAATAATAAATGCACTTTATTATATATCACCCAGGTGATGAACTGAAATGTAGACATTTCGGCAACTGTGCATGTCTGAATGCTACTTTTAATAATTTGTATATATTGCTCATGTGCTACAAGGCTGCACAACTCTTGTTACAGTCACTGTTCACATTTCGAGCATCATAGGAGCACCAGTAAAATCCATTTATGTATTTTTTTATGAATTTGTTTACCCAAAGGGTCAACACTTTAGCACAATGACCCAAATCCTGCTGGTGACTCAGGCAAACGCACAGACACACACCAAACACCAGGTGGTGCTATAATGATGACTTGAATTCTTCACTAAAAAGTCAGAAACTGTGTTTCTCCTCAAGTCTCTCACTCAGTTCTAGTGATGTATTGTGTTGTCTATATATATATATATAATCATGTCTAAACATTTTTATTTTGTGCACCACATTTACTTATTTTAAAATTAGAGGAGAAATATTATCAGTGGTTTAAGGAACATAATAAGTATTGCATTTTGCATAAAATACCACCGAAATCCAGAGAAAGTAGCGTTATTTTCTTTATTTTAAGTCAAATGTAACAGCTCCCATCATGTTTTGCTAGTGTGCTCCAGTGTCGCTGATCTGCTAGTCAGTGGTGGAAGGAGCACTGACCATTACATTACCATTACTTGCCTAAAAATGTAGTAAAAGTAGAGTAAAAGTATTTGTTGTAAATATTAAACAAAGTAAAAAGTAGCCCATTCAAAAGTACTCAAGTGTAGTGTGTATTACTCTGTATAAAGCTGATGCATTTAAATGTAATTTGTCGATGTGTGTAAACGTAACATTCTGTAGTGCATCTAGTTATTGCCCAGCAGGCACACAACGCCTTAAGATGTTAATACTTGGTTAGATTTAGTTTGTGATGTCAGGTGACCAAAATTCAATGTGTAGCCAGCGCCTAAGAACAACGGTATTTTGATGTCCAATAACGACGTCAAAAGTGACTAAAATCCAACATCAAGCCATCATCTTTAACTAACGTCATGCTTGTGTCAAAAACATTTATTCATCAGTTATGGCGACCAAAATCAAACGTCTGATAGACGTCATAGTGGGAACGCCCACACAACGTGAAGCTGTAACATCATTAGATGTTTGGTTGATTTTAGGTTGGACGTTGGACTTTGATGTCGGCCTGATGTTGGGTTCTGATGTCCAAATGATTTTAATTTACAAACCAAATGCAGCGTCCCCATGAAGTTCGGGTATAACGCCAATCTGACGTCATGTTGACGTCTTGATCCCTGCTGAGTGTTTAAGGCCATTTCGGTCATCATACAGTAAACATCTATCATCTTGTCATCAGTGACAGTCTCTGGGTCAATCCGTGTAAAGATTTTGGATGTTTTCTTGGACACTTTTAATGCTTCCAAACAGTTTGCTGCAATTATAAATCACCTATGTCTTGAAGTCGTTCATCATGATGTGATTTACCTTCTCTGTGTGATCTGATTGGGCAGGACTGATTTTTCTAATCCCCTTAAATGAGAAATAATGCAGTAGTGACTGCAGGTTGAAGGAAATAGTGGAGTATAAGTACAGATACAGCCCTAATAATGTACTCAAGGCAGAGTTAAAGTAAACATTTATAAAATAACTACATTTGAGTATTCGTAATGTGTTACTTTACACCACTGATGCTTGTATACTGTAGTTTTGTAAGGATATTGTAATTTAATTTAAATTTAGTTAAAGTCTCATTAATGTTGTTGTCATAAAGTGTTTTGAAATGCATGCATGTGTGTGTATATAGGACAAATGCCAATATTCAATATATAATGTCATATTTACATGCGCGAAATTAATATTGTGGGCACTTCAATAAAACATCAATATTAATAATGATTTATTATTTACATTTTTGGAGTGGCTATTAGAATATTCATATTGTTATATCAGTTATTTTCAACATTTTCACATGTTAATCTGTTATTTTTACCACATTGAATGTTCTGTCAACTCTGTGTCAACTCTGTAGAGTAAAAGCCCATTTGTTAACAACAAAACAACATTTAAATAATTAAATTACATCTACAAAAGCATTTATTAACCTTTGCTGATGTAAATTTAATAGTTAATGCCAAATAATGCATTTAATTTAAAAGTTGTAATTGTTTTATTAAATTGAGTTAATGACTGATAAAACTCAGTTTTTTATTGTTAACTTCAACATGTAAATATGGTTTGTTATAGTTAATGCCTAATAATGCATCATGATTGACTTATTAAATGGAGTTAATAACTAATAAAGCTCAGTTGTACTCTATTATTAACTTCAACATTAACTTCAACAACCCCAATCTGCGAATATGTATTTTCCATGTATGGCCAAAAGCAGAGCTGGACTTCTCTGTGACCCGCACGCTGTACTGTATTTGTCCCTTTTGCCAAGGCCAGAGTGTAGTGTCTAAAATATCCGTCCATTTATCTTGCAGAGGTTTCAGTGTGCATGACAGTAGGCCTGCGCTGTGTGTGAGCACACCGCTAGCTCAGCATTTTTCAAGGAGAGGGTGTAAAACGGACACTACTCTGATGCTAAAATCAGAGCTGGCGTATTTAAGACTCTGTTTGAGGCACCATATATTCCTCGTCCCACTTACTGCCTGAGTTGGCATCAATCAGCAACCTATCAATCTCCGTTGTGAAGGAAATGGAGGAGTAACTGACACTGCAATTCATCAGCTGGCCACTGGGGGGCTGGCTACGAAGGAAAGCAAATCCTCATAGACTGCCATGTTAAAACGTCCAACTTTACAGCAGAATAAAAGGTGTTTACTTACCGGTACAAATAATATTTTGGTGTCTATGGATGATATTACCCTATATGACACCTGTGAGGGGGGGTGAATATTTATAACTTATCAGTTGCATTTATATTAAGACTTAATATTTTGCATAATTAAGAGCATGGCCGCTTGAGTGACAGGTCACCTCAGCTGATTTTCACATGTTGAACTCAGCATATATACACATATATTGTATTTATGCTTTATTTTTAAGTGACTCCGCATTTTTCAAGGAGAGGGTGTAAAACGGACACTACTTAGATGCAAAAACCAGAGCTGGCGTATTTCAGACTCTGTTTGAGGCACTATATTCCCCCATCTTACAGCCTCAGTTGGCAACCTATTGCTCTTCCTCGTGAGGCAAATGCAGAAGCAACTGAAACTGCAATTCATCAGCTGGCCACTGGGGGGCTGGCTACAAAAGAGAGCAAATCCTCATTGACTGCCATGTTAAAACGCCCAACTTTACAGCAGAATAAAATGTGTTTACTGGCTGGTACAAATCAGGTTTTGGTGTCTTTAGATAATACTACTCTTCATGACACCTGTGAGTAGGGATTTTGCTTATAACTCATCCGTTTAATTTATATTAAGCCTTAATATTCTGCATATTTAACAGCGTGGGCCACTTGAGTGACAGGTCACCCCAGATGATTGCAAATGCTGAATTTGACATAAATAAATGTCGTATTCATGCTTTATGTGTCTCAGCATTTTTCAAGGAGAGGGTGTAAAACAGACACTACCCAGATGCTAAAATCAGAGCTGGCGTATTTAAGACTGTTTGAGGCACCATATTTTCTTCATCCCTCTCAGAACTTCAGTTGGCAACCTATCGCTCTTCCTCTTGAGGCAAATGCAGAAGCAACTGAAACTGCAATTCATTAGCTGGCCACTGGGGGGCTGGCTACAAAAGAGAGCAAATCCTCATTGACTGCCATGTTAAAACGTCCAACTTTACAGCAGAATGAAAGGTGTTTACTGACTGGTACAAATAAGGTTTTGGTGTCTGTAGATTACGTTACCCTTCATGATAACTGTCAGTAGGGATTTTGTTTACAACTCATCTGTTTAATTTATGTTAAGCCTTAATGTTCTGCATAATTAACGGCGTGGCTACTTGAGTGACAGGACTTTGCTGCTTGCCATCAGGTCATCTCAGCTGAATCCACATGCTCGACATATTTATTGTATTTCTGCCCTAGTTTGATGTGGCCTATACACAGTGGAGTTGCCTCTCGTTACAATTAGGAAATACTTTGACAGCAAACAGGAAATGTTCACTGCAGGATGTCCGCTGTGTTTTTGCTCTGCCATTTTGATCTGTTTTTGTAAAGGCCCACCGGTTATATCTTCTTTCATTTTTTTTTTCACAGTGATTTGGCTTTGAGGAACTGCTTTCTCACAACAGACCTGACTGTAAAAGTTGGAGACTATGGCATCGGCCCTACAAATTTCAAGGTAACCTAACCACCCACCCCTCCCCCCATTATTAACATCTTTAATTGCATCATTAGTACAAATAAAGCAGCATCTTGCTCATTATTCCAGGAGGATTACATCACCACAGAGGATGACCAGTGTGTGGCGCTGCGCTGGCTTTCCCCAGAGTTAATTGGTGAACTGCATGGGGGTCTGATCACTTCAGAACAAACCAAACCCAGCAATGTTTGGTAGGTAAACTCTACTGTTGTCTTGTATTTACCTTATTAAACAGGATTTCTCCATTCCATGATTACTCAAAATCAAGCTATTTTGTAGAGCTTGCACATCTTTAAAAATTGCATATTCAGGGTGTCGGCGGTGTCTTAAAATGTCTTAAATTCACTAAAATACTGTCTTAATTTATTTTAAACGAGTCTTAATTTTACTTTGTTTATGTAAAGCTACCCAATCGACCCAACACACATCAAATCGCTGACAATACATCTCAATGAAGCTTTTAGCAAAACTACATTCATAAAGTTTTAAACATTTCTTTTAAAGTTAGGTTGAAAAACAAATGTCTGATTAAAAAAGTCCTTAGCGTTTAGCCCTATGTATCAAGCTATTTTGTAGAGCTTGTGTAACCCCGCCGGTCCTACGCCACTCAACCCGCTTCGAGCTGGTATCGAACTGGCGACCTTCCGCATGGGAGTCGGTTGCTCTACCAAGGAGGCTAAAGACCAAGGCCTCTAGCGTCTGTCGCTAGAGCAGCTTTAGAGGTCAGAGGAGTGAGGTTTACCTGCACACCACACACTAGCTAGCCTCTGTTACACTCACCCCCCAAACCTCACTCCCATCCGGGTCACGGCACCAATGTAACCCCGCCGTTCCAACGCCACCCTACCTGCTCCGAGCTGGTATCGAACCGGCGACCTTCCGCATGGGAGTCGGTTGCTCTACCAAGGAGACTAAAGACCATCTTTAATAGCATATTCAGGCTGTCTGTGGGGTCTTAAAAAGACTTAAATTTAAAATAAACTAAGTTTTAGGCCTCAAAAAGTCTTAAAATCTTTGAAATGTTGTCTTGTAGGTCTTAAATCTTTTTAAAAAGGTCTTATTTTTCATTTGTTTATGTAAAGCTACCTAATCATTTCAGTACATCCAATCACCAACATTACATCTCAATAAAACTCTACTTATAGCTAATATTATAACAGTGTGGTGTCTATACATTTAGTTTTAAACATTTTTTAAAAGTTTTATTGAAAAAAAAAAAAGTCCCATTAAAGAAATCCTTAGCGTTTAGCCCTATGTAAGTCTGAAATTTCATCCATAATGGTCTTACAAAGCTCTTAAAGTCTTGGTGAAACATGCTGAAACCCTGATTTTATATACAGAGGTCAGTATAAGTTTACCCCCTCTTATTTGACTTCATATTTTCTGTTAGATGCTTTATAAGTAATATATTTGTGCAGATACGTTAGATTATTCAGAAATAAACTAAATATTAGTGTGCAATTTAAAAGATTTAAAGACATAACTGACCATCTAATCTAACAAAAAAACTGATCACAGTCCAAAATGTGGTACACAGTTTTAATTACATTTGTAATAAACAGGAAAAATCTAGAGAAACATAAAAAAAATCGATTAATATATAATAAAAATGTAATATATAACAAACAAAATTGCTGTAACATCTCATTTGCATGTTGTTTTTTTTTGTTTCTAAAGATGTTTGTTGACCAAACTCTTATTATAATGCATATAGCTGTATAATAACTGTTTTGTTTTAATGCACCAAAATAAATTGTCTATATCAGAGGTGCCCAAACAGGCCAAAGCTGGCCAATGGTAACCTTTGATTTGGCCCAGCATCCCATCCGAGAAGAGAGGATTGATGATGGGAATGGTTTACAGATTGTCATTTCAAATCTAATGTAACCTTTTTTGTTTGTTTTATTGGTTAAAGCTAACTGAAGATAATTTTTTTAATGAAATGGTGTAAATGAATGAGATTAATTGTAAATGTACATACTGTCATCAACAGACTTTGAGCAAATCAAGGCAAAGCAAAAACAAGCAAAAGCAAAACAATAAAAAAAATAGCCTCAAAAGTGTGTGTAGGCCGGGGGAGAAGCTAAACAGCAGTGGTTATGTTATGTTGTCTCGCAGCAGTTGGCAGGTCTGATCCCTCTGAAAGCGAGCTATCTGCACTTTCATTTCAGGGTCATAAATTTAAAGGTCTTTGACTCTTATAGCCTCCGTGAAGCACTCAGATGATGGCTTGTATGTCAGAGTTTATTAGGAGCTCTTATTACAGATGTACCCCGTTTATGTTTATATGAGGAATGTGTAAATTGGATTTGTTGTGTCTTTACTGTATCGAATGTCAAAAATAAGAACCAGCTTGTGTTGTATTAAGCTTATTGGCAATGTGCTGTGGATATTAAGGGTGTCACGATCCTCCAAATCCTCGATTCGATTACATTTTCGATTCTGAAGGCACGATTCGATTCGATTTTCGATTATGAATAATTCATTAATTAATGACCAATTCATTATTTGTAGCCTACCGTTTAAACTACCTGACCTGCATGGTCTTTGTTTTACCCATAAACAAATCATACAGTAAATGAATAAAGGCAAGACACACACAAAATTACCACCTGTCAATCACTTTTTCTGCGGGACTCGTGAATAGGCAGTGATCTGTGTCGTTAAAAAAGACGCACAACCAACAGGAACCAGCCAACAGTATCTGAGGTGTTCGCTAAAATGACGAAGTACAAGTGAGTGAAAGATTGAAGCAGTCCTCTGACTGCCTGGACCTGCTGTCTCGAGCGCAAGGCTGCGTCTGTGTGGTCACGTGATGTGCATTTTCAGAGGTAGAGAGGAAGGAGGGCTGCTCAGAAATGCTACACGCCACTGTGGATGTCAAATCGTTGTCGTTCTAAAATGCCATTTAAAAACAAAGACAGTGTAAACAGGGCCTGAGTGTGTACTTTTGCCCAGCGGATTTGCAACGGTGGCGGGCGGAGGATCGCGATGCCGGTGTTGTCTATCGGACTAACCGTACATAATACGTACATAGCAGAGCTTGCAAAACTGTGTTTTTTTGTCGACAACACAAACGTTGTCAACATAACTCACTGGAAATCCAAAATGCTTCCACACCGGCGACTTCATTGAAAGAGGAGAGGGTTTAAGTACTGTCGACGGGTCTCCTGCGTCTGCAGTTTAACAAGCACTTCAACAAGCCTGTTTTTTCCCGCTTGGCAAGCCAAGCTGACGTGACATGGGGGCGTGGCAGCATCCACGATTCTATTTTTTGATTCGATAATCAAAATTCAGCATAAATTTCGATCAATTTCGATTAAAAATCGAAATCGTGACACCCCTAGTGGATATGGTATATAGGATGTCATATTTTGGTACTAGTCATTTTTAAAATTGTTTATTTCCTGCCAACATATGAGCCCAGGTTCTTAAACACAGCTGATTGGCCAACAGATACGGTTGTGATGCGTTCGCATGGATACAGGGACACTAGCTATGTTTACTTTCGAAAATGTGATTTAGATTCGTGCACAAAACTGGAATATCGCATAAAACATTTGTGAATAAAGCAGCGCTTCCATCCAATGAGAAACTAAATGGTCACTGATAAGATTGCAGAAATATTGATCAGAGAAATGTTGTTTAGCGCGTTGGGATTTGCCACTGTGCCGTTTTTTCTTCCTCTCTAATAAATGAGTTGCACCTCAGAAGACGAAATGCAATGAATGTGGTGGCTTTTGGAGGCGTGAGACGCTCTTTGGGGAGCGCAGACAGGTGCTCAAGACAGTTCTGGAGGAAATAATAATAGGACTGACGGCTGAGGGGTTTTAGAAATGATCAAAACCACATTTCGGATGCTTTACAATGTGCAGGTTTGTCCATTTTTTTAATGTGAATTCAAAATTTAGGCACATCTTGACATTTCCATTAAGTATTTCTGTAATGCGATATTCCAGAATGCACATAAACATAGATAGATGGAAATATACAGCTATTGTAGCATTTGAAAGCTGCGCCTATCAGAGGATCCATCTATGAGCTGGTATATGAGCAAGATAGACGTGGATTTTAGCATTTGAGTTTGGTGAAAAGCTTCAATTTATCATTTAGTTAGTTATGTATAATGTACTTTCTTTAAACACTACATAAATTCAACAGTTCTGTGTAAATCAAGTCGGTAAGCACAATAAATGTATTTTTGTTATGCTGTTTAAGCGGCACATGCTTAAGTTATTAATATACAGTCTAAATTCACAAAAGCAGAGATATTTTGCAGCTTAACTCAATTTTTTAATAAACGAATGATTGATTTGTCCAACAAATTAACATGCTTAAGAAAAATGAAATCTTTTAATAATTTATATGAATATACATGTTTGAAATATGTTGTCATGCATTGAATTGTTTGACTCAAATTAAAGAATTAAGGATTTGCAGTGATTTCTATTGTCTTTCTCAATAAGTAATTAAATTATTTATTGAGTAACTGAGTAAAATTTCTGACAAAGTAATTAGAAAATTAATTTAAACACAATTTTAATCATTTATTTAGTAATTATTTACTTTTTTTGACGTAACTAACCCAACACTGATCATGCTATAACAGCAGGACTTTTCTGTTTTCAGGGCCTTGGGTGTAACGATATGGGAGTTGTTTGAATGTGCAAAGCAGCCGTATCATCACCTGTCGGACAGAGAAGTGCTCCATCATGTGCTCAAAGATCAACAAGTCCGACTTCTCAAGCCACAGCTGGACTTGCCATACTCAGAAAGATGGTGAGTCCTTAACAGATGCTTGTTTTCTTAAGCAAGCTCAGTTTCTAGTGACTCTGTACCGGGTCCAGAGTGACATCTTCACCGGGTCCAGAGTGACATCTTCAATGTCTTTTGTTTGAATTTGTAAATGTGGGCCAACACTCCTATATATGGTACCATTTGAAACGTTACAATGTCTATTTTCTGCAGTTTGCCATCACTTTGACGTGTTTGTGTTACTGTAAGAAACTCATTTAGACTTAAATCTGCTTCTAGAGCTTACACTTTCAAAACGAGGTTTTAGAACAAAAACAAAACAGTGCCTAGTATTTAGTTGGTTCAAACATTATAGTCAGGTTATTTATTTATTTACATTTGTTCTATATGTAAATACAAAGGGTTTTCTGTTAAATTACATCAAAATTTTGCGTTTATACCACTCTATAGAGGTATGGGGAGACTTCAAAATTGGGTAGGCCGAAATTACACAAAGTTGGAATAAAATAACTCTTTAAAGTCCAAAAGCTCAAATTTATAGACTATAGAGTTTGAGTTTATGAAAAAAATCTAAATGTGTCTCTTTTTTTCAGGGGCTTTAATATAACCCAGATAACTTTTACAATAAGCTTTAGCCCTATCAGCACTGTTTTATATCATTTTGATGGGTTTCCTTTAAAATTTTTGGAGTTGCACCTTTGTATGTGTGAAGCTTTTTATTTTGGGTTGGGAAAATTCAAACGGAAATCCCCCAAATAGTGATACCAAAATTTTGGAGTTACACCTCTGTTTGTGGGATTAGGAAGCTTTTTGATTTGGGTTGGGAAAATGCAGACGAAAATACCACAAATAGTGATACCAAAGTTTTGGAGTTGCACCTTTGTAAGTGGGAATGGGAAGGTTTTTGATTTGGGTTGTAAAATTCAGACAGAAATCTCCCAAATAGTGATACCAAAGTTTTGGAGTTGCACCATTGTATGTGGGAATGGGACTGTTTTTGATTTTGGTTGGAAAATTCAGACAGATATCCCTCAAATAGTGGTACCAAAATTTTTGAGTTGCACCATTGTATTTGAGAATGGGAAGCTTTTCAATTTGGGTTGGGAAAATCCAGATGGAAATCCCTCAAATAGTGATACCAAATCTTGTAGTTGTAACTCTGTATGTGGGAATGTGAAGCTTTTTGATTTGGGTTGAAAAATCTAGACTGAAATCCCCCAAATAGTGATACCAAATCTTGGAGTTACACCACTGTATGTGGGAATGGGATTTTTTCGATTTAGGTTGGGTTTAAGGCTTTAAACATTATTTTTTTGCTTTGATATACAGGTATGAAGTTCTACAGTTTTGTTGGCTACCTGCGGACAAGAGGGCCACTGCTGAAGAGGTCCATCGCCTGCTCACGTACCTCCGTATGCAGGGTCAGAAAGATGTGGAGGATGACTTTGAGCAGCGCTGGAGCTCTCTCAAACCCAATCCCAGCACTCGACAGGCCACCGTCAGCCACTCCTCCTTCCCCATCCTGGAGCAGTTCGATGATGGCAGAGAACCGGACGAGGTTCTAACGGTCACTGAAACAAGTCGCGGGTTAAGTTTTGAGTATGTCTGGGAAGCGGCCAAGCATGACCACTACGACAGCCACAATCGATCTGCCATGGACACCACTCTGAATTACCACAGTATGTTCTTTCCAGTGCCACGGCAAGACATTCAGGCTCATTTCCCTGACACCACAGCGCAAGCCGCTGATGGTGGTAGAGTCCCGGAGACCTTGCCAGTGTTTGACGCCCATAAAGCATCCTCTGGAAATGACTACTTTATTAAGTTGGAGGAACTCGATGAGAGCGAGATTGGGATGGGCGACAGTCAAGGAGCTGAGGGTACTAATACTTCAGAGCAGAATCAGTACGTAGTCTTACAGGACGTCCGATTGGATGAGTCCAGTACAGACGCTGATTTCTTCCATCAGAGCATTGACTCGAAAGACTCTTTTCTTCAGGACAGCCACATATGGTCCTCAAGTGAACATGACAGCCCTTACCATACTAACATTTTTAGTGAGGGCGATGCTAAGATGGAAGATTCTCATTCATTTGAGGGAGGTTTTATGGAGCTCCCTGAGATGATGAATTTACCAAAGAGGGACTCAGATGAAGCTAATGGTAAAGAGGCAAGTTTTCAGACATCTTTTTTAGGGGTTGGACCTGAAGCCATTCATCTGGAGATCTCAGATCAGGGGAGTTCAGATGTAATGAAGCTTCTTAACACCGAGAAACTGTCTGATAACTTTATGTTTCTTAAAGATAACAGTCTAATGAAGGACAAGTCTGAGGTCTCACCGCCTGATTCAATTAATATCAAGAGGTCCATCATAGAGACCAATGTCTCAGATAGTGTAAACCTTACAGGTGAGTCTTTGAAATCGGCAGGCAGTTCTGCGCAGCTCAAAGATGAATTCTTAGACTTAGTCAGCCCAATTTTAGATGATTTTCTCTCACCTTTGAAAGGACGTGAAGCAATGGTGCCTTTTGATATATTAGTAACAGGTAGCAACCGCCTGCCAGACACAAATGGCTCTTTGCGTTCCCCCAAATCCAGGAATTACTCCTCATCTGAGTCTACCTCTGAGAGTGTTGAGGTCATTGTTGACAGTCCCTCAGACAGTCATCAGTCCCTTGAAAGTGCCACAACAGATACACTACAAATGTGCATAGATGCCAAACCCCCTAGCCTTGAAGAATGCTTCGTAGCCTCAAAGGACAATGGGCAGCATATAGGAATCAGCGATGCAGCTGAGCTAAGCTTTACTACTTCGCCTGTTGGAGAGTATACAGAACTTGGCCTCACCGAAGGTCTGACAAGTAGTGACTCAATGAGTGATATAATGGAGACAGCCAAGGATATCCCACCATCAGAAGCCATCGATCAAGATACTTTATTGGACAACCACGCAACTCAGGATATGTCCTCGCTGTTGGTTTTGGACTCCTGTCTTGATCAAATAAGTCAGGACAGCCTTCTCGATGATAGCACCTCATCAACTCTTCCAACCATTGAGAATTCTGCAGAAACGCCAGATTCGTTGGATTCTTTGGATGTGGCGCATGGACAGTCATTGGATATTTCTGTTAATAAGCTTCAGCCCCCATACAAAGCTGCGGACAGCGGGTATGAAACCGAAAACTTGGAGTCACCCGAGTGGAACTCTCAAACAGGTTTGAAGGATGAAGACAATGATGCTGCCGTGGAGCCTTCGGCGCTGGTCCCACCGGAAATTGTTGTGTCTGAAGTGGACAGTGTGCCTGATGTTCAGGTAAACGCTGGTGGAGTCGATCACCAACAGGAACCTGGTGAGTTTCCTTTAGGAGGAAACTACAGAGACTCCGCTTACTTCTCAGACAATGAGGAGCTGGACAAGAAAAGCGATGACGTCAGTGGAAACGGCTCTTCAATTTGGCTTCAGAATAATCAAGAAACTAATGAAAGTAGGGTAGCTCGCGCTCTTGAGGAGCATTCACGGTCCGAGACTTCCTCTCAATCTGCAGGTCCTACTGTAGAATCAACTATAACGGCCACAAAGACTCTTGTTCCAGAGTTGGTTCTCACTACCGAGGAAGATTGGAGCAAGGAAAAACCATTGACTGTTGATGACTCTAACCAGAATCATCCCTGCGATGTCCCAGAAACACCCACTACCTCATTACCACCTCCAACAGAAGTCATGCTTCATGCAAAACTAACCAGAACGTACGCTGGAGAAGGAACAAAGAAGAAGGAGCCAGATATGGAAGGGAGGTATTTGGGAAAGCTGGATGGATCCTATGGCACGGAGGACGGGATGGATGCCGATGAAGAAGATGAGAACAGTGACGATTCGGATGAGGATATGCGTGCCTACCGATTACACAGCTCCAGCTCTGAGTGCAGTGAGGATGAGGTTGTGCACCCGGTACCTATTATTATCTCAGACAACAGCAGTTCCCTCAACCTTAAAAGCCTGCTGAAACCCAAAACCCTTCAGACTGCTAAAGCCACATCAGAAGAGGGCAGAGATGGGGATAGTAGACGTGGAGTGTCATTCTTTGATGATGTCACCGTCTACCTGTTTGACCAGGTCTGGTGTTCTGCTTGGTTTTCTGCTGATTTTCTTTAACCCTTGTGTGTTGTTGGGAATGTTTTCATCCACTCTGGGGTGATTTTAAGGCTTAATTTGGCCATAACTTTCTCTGCGCTTCAGCAAATTGAATGACTTTGGTGGTAAATCTTATTTTGACACATATTTTGGGAACATGCTTTGGATTTTTTTTTTAAATTCAACAATACACTGTGGGTAAATTTACTACCCTTACGTTATGCTGATGGCCCCATTGACTTCCATTTATAAAGAGATTTTTTGATTGCAAACCCATTTCCCTGTTTGAAGAAAACAATTTCTCATATTTTAGTGTTGATATTTGAGCAAAAGACAAGGGTTAAAGGTAATCTGATTTTTCAAATAGAGGCATTTTCTACATCTGATTCCCTGTTTTTTAACCAAATAGGAAACTCCAACAAAGGAACTCAGTGAGCACACTCTTGACCCCAGTAGTCAATTGTCAGATTTCAGCAGTCCAGTGGCCTCCTCCAGCTACCTTAATAGATTTACCAACTCGGAGAGCTCCACCGATGAAGAAGGTAATGACTTTTTCTTTATCTTATAGAAGTGATATAGAGTCGTTTTGCTTACTTTTGGTCTAGATGTAACGTTAATTAAACCTAACAGGTTACTGTAAGCTTTAGGGTTGGGTTAGGTGTAACATTAATAGAACACAATAGATTCGTCTCAATCAATAGATTGGTTGAATCAATCAGAGCCCCAAAAGGTTTTACTACCCAAACGAAACTCAAGATCTGCCAATTTGGAGCTGGCTCTGACCTCCCTTTCTACCTATCTTCTCCAGTTTGGCACCCCTGACATGTAGGTTTTGGTTTGGGGCAGGTGTAGATATTAATAAAACACAATCAGTTACTGTAAAAATTAGATTTGGGGTAGGTGTAAATATTATTGAACTTTATTGGTCTGGTAGCAACTCTTTCACAAACCGCTGCTGGACTGTGACCAAAAAGTTGGCCATCCCAGTGTTTACTTTAACCTTTAGGGTTTGGGTAGGTGTAACATTAATAAAACACAATAGTTTGGACTCTGTGTCATGTACAAGACATTAAAATAATCAATCAAAAGCTCCAGAAGTTTTTACTTCCCACATGAGGCTCAAATCCTGCCAATTAGAAGCTGTCTCCATCCTCCGTTTTTACCCATCTTCTCCAGTTTGGCACCCTTGACTTGTAGGTTTAGGGTAGGTGTATATATTAAGACAATAAGTTACTGTAAGCTTTAGGGTTTGGGTAGGTGTAACGTTAATAATACACTATAGGGTTACTTTCAAATTTAGGTTTGGGTAGGTGTATATATTAATAAAACACAATAGGTTTCTGTAAGCTTTAGAGTTTGGCTAGATGTAACGTTAATTAAACCTAACAGGTTACTGTAAGCTTTAGGGTTGGGTTAGGTGTAACATTAATAGAACACAATAGATTCGTCTCAATCAATAGATTGGTTGAACCAATCAGAGCCCCAAAAGGTTTTACTACCCAAACGAAACTCAAGATCTGCTAATTTGGAGCTGGCTCTGACCTCCCTTTCTATCTTCTCCAGTTTGGCACCCCTGACATGTAGGTTTTGGTTTGGGGCAGGTGTAGATATGAATAAAACACAATCAGTTTCTGTAAAAATTAGATTTGGGGTAGGTGTAAATATTATTGAACTTTATTGGTCTGGTAGCAACTCTTTCACAAACCGCTGCTGGACTGTGACCAAAAAGTTGGCCATCCCAGTGTTTACTTTAACCTTTAGGGTTTGGGTAGGTGTAACATTAATAAAACACAATAGTTTGGACTCTGTGTCATGTACAAGACATTAAAATAATCAATCAAAAGCTCCAGAAGTTTTTACTTCCCACATGAGGCTCAAATCCTGCCAATTTGGAGCTGCCTCCGACCTCCATCTATACCTAACTTCTCTAGGTGTATATTAATAAAACACAATGGGTTACTGTAAGCTTTAGGGTTGGGTTAGGTGTAACATTAATAGAACACAATAGATTCGTCTCAATCAATAGATTGGTTGAATCAATCAGAGCCCCAAAAGGTTTTACTACCCAAACGAAGCTCAAGATCTGCCAATTTGGAGCTGCATCTGGCCTCTGTTTATACCCAACTCCTCCAACTTGACACTCCTGACTTGTAGTTTTAGATTTGGGGTAGGTGTAGATATTAATAAAACACTATAGGTTACTGTGTCGCCACAGCCATATCACCCTGCAGCCCAAGACTGGTTACTCACTGAAGCTAAGCAGGGCTGAGCTTGGTCAATACCTGGATGGGAGACCACATTGGAAAACTAGGTTGCTGTTGGAAGTGGTGTCAGTGAGGACAGCAGGGGACGCTCAACCTGTGGTCTGTGTGAGTCCTAATGCCCCAGTAAAAGTGAAGGGGATACTACACTGTTTCAGATGAGACGTTAAGCCGAGGTCCTGACTCTCTGGGGTCATTCTCGTAAAGAGTAGGGGTGTAAACCATGGTCTCCTGTCCCTTAATCGGCCCTTATGATCATGGCCTCCCAATCATCCCCATCCACTGAATTGGTTCTATCACTGTCTTTTCACTCCTCCAATAGCTTGTGTGTGGTGAGCGCACTGGCGCCGTTGTCCTGTGGCTGCCGTCGCATCATCCAGGTGGATGCTGCACACTGGTGGTGGTGGTGTTGAGAGACCCCCCCTCATGATTGTGAAGCGCTTTGGGTGTATGGCCATACACAATAAATGCGCTATATAAATACACACATTACATTGCTGTAAGCTAAAGGTTTTACTACCCAAATATAGCTCAAGTCCGGCCAATTTGGAGCTGCCTTCAACCTCTGTTTATACCGAACTCCTCTAGTTTGGCACAAATGAGTTTAGGTTTAGGTTTGAGGTAGGTGTAGATATTGATAAAACACAATAGATTACTGTAATGTTTAGGTTTGGGTGGGTGTAACAGTAATAAAACACAATCTGTTGGACTCTGAGTCATGTACCAGCCATTAAATAAATCAATCAAATGCCCCAGGAGGTTTTACTACCCATTTGGAACTCAAATCCCACTTATTTGGTAGCTGACCTACCAATTTCAGGCTGAATCCAAATTTCCAACTCCTCCAGTTTGGCACTCCTGACTTGAGGTCAATCAGGAATCAGTGACTCTTCAGGTTTTAAGCTTGTTTCTCTTCTCCAGGTGGTGCATTTGAGTGGGATGATGACTTCCCGTCTCCAGAGCCGAATTTCCTGTCAAAAGCCGCCAGTGATCATTCCTCCAGCAGGTCCAGCGGGACTTCGGCCGCTTCCAAGTATTTCTCTCCACCTCCTGCAAACCGCAGCCTGGATCAGAGCTGGACCAGCCCCTCCAGCTACTCTCGCTTCTCCATCTCTCCCGCCAGCATCGCCAGCTTCTCCCTCACACACCTCACAGATTCAGACATGGAGCAAGGGGGTAAGATGAGCCAGACGAATCAACGTTAGAGAATCGATTCAGAAACTGAATCGCAATGCATTGACGAATCAATTGAATCTAAACCGTTTCCGTTTGATCTTTCTCAGGAAGCGGCGAAGACGGAGAGAAGGATTAACCAGAGATGTTGGCTTCGATTGCTTCTCAGGCAGCATTTTGGTATTTATTGGAGGATATGAAGGCGTCTGCTTCTGGCTAGCCAATCAGATGCAGCTTAATGATCTGCTTTTCCATTAACTATGATTTGCGATGTTTTTCGTCAGTGCAATTCAGAGGAAACCTTTGCTTTCCGTACGCTTTTGAGACTTTCACGCGCTTCCCAAGTGTCCTGCCTCACCTGTTTTCCTTCTTAGTGTCCCCATTTTTACTTAAGGACGAGTTTATTTCAACACTAAACGAGCCAACAGACTCAAACGTTGAGTTGTGCAATCGAAAAAATCGTACAATATTTGCCTTTTACTTTGAACACACTGGATTTTTTGGGGGGTTTATTTTTTAAATGTGAAATCTTAAGTGTGACGAGCTTATTTATATGACGGATTAGATGTCCAGTATGAGTCTCCACAGATATTTTTTGTACAGTGTTTGGACGATTCATTCATTCATGTCAATGAACCACTTCACACGACTCGCATAGTTCTAGCGAGTTTGTATAAAATGAAAGGGGATCTGGGCAGCTGAAGGGGGTTTTTCGGACATAAGATGCTAATAAGTCTTAATGTAATGAGCAGTTTTTGTCAGTGCAGTCTAATTATGAGGAACACTTTGGGTTTTTTTCCCAGCACGAGGGACGCCTTGTATCTTCATGCAGCTTTGTGCACGCTTTAATCATCAGCGCACTGCAAAAAATGCCTGCTTCTGTCTTGTTTCTGCTCCAAATATCTAATAATAAAGTAAATTAAGAAGCATTTTTTAGAATAGCAATAAATATAGTCTTGTTTTAATGAAATAATGAGTCAAAATTAAGTGAGTTTTTTCTTAAAACAAGCTAAATAATCTGCCAATGGTGTAAGAGAAATAATCGTTGACATATGTTCATTTAGCTTACCCTGTTTGTTAGATTATTTAGCTTGTTTTAAGAAAAAATTCACTTTATTGTGGCATTTTATTGCTCAAAAAAGGCTTTTTTTTTGCTTGTCTAGAAAATGCTTCTTGATTTAAGAGTTGCTTCGACTATATCAAGACAGTAATTAAAGCGTTTTTGCAGTGTGCAAAGGGGTTTCTCACCCATCTAGAACATATCCAGGTCACATTTCAGCCCACTAATCAGGAGAACTGTACAATTAGGATTTATTTTCATTGCGTTTTTCTTTCATCATGACACTTAAGCACATTGTTTGGAGTGTGGAGAGGAAAAAATAAGTGATATTTAAAGTGTAAAGTATTTGTGTTATGATTGTCGTTTTCGTTTAGCTGGAATTAAAGAAATGGATGATTTAAAATGCTAATTATGCTGAATATATGCTTATTGGTCTCTAGAATTTGGATTGAAATGTGACCCAAACAAGACCTAAAGACTATATTTTCTGCTCGTCTAATAAAAGCTTCTTGATTTAAAGATTTTAAGATATTTGGGCTGGAAACGAGCTTAAGAAACAGAAGCATTTGTTGCAGTGTGCATCTAGAACATATCCAGGTCACATCTCAGCCCAAAATCAGCAGAAACAGACAATAAATGTCTATTTTTATGATGATAATGAAGCACATCCTTCTTCACAAATGGCTGTAAAGTGTGGAGACAAAAAGTATTTGTGTTATAAATGTCCAGAACGAAGGAAATGAATGGCTTAAAATGCAAATTTTTCTAAATATATCATTATTTGTCTCTAGATTTTGGATTGAAATGTGACCCGAATGAACTACAGACTACAAAAACAAGACTAGATTTCGTGCTCGTCTAAAAAAAAAAAAAAAGCTTCATGATTTAAAGATTTTAAGAGATTTGGGTTGTAAACGAGACAGAAACTCAAAGCAATGAAAGCATTTGTTGCAGTGTGCATCTAGAACATTTCCAGGTCACATGTCAGTCCCAAATCAGCAGAAACGTGCAATATTATAATACTAAAGCGCTTTGTTCTTCACAAATGACTGTGGAGACAAAAATAATAGCAAAGTGTTTGCTTTATAATTGTCATATTCACCAGAATAAAATAAAATAATGATTTAAAATGCAAATTTTGCTAAATAAATGATTATTTGTGTCTAGATTTGGGATTGAAATGTGACCCAGACAAGAACTACAGACTATATTTTGTGCTCTTTTAATAAATGCTTCCTGATTTAAAGATTTTAAGATGTTTGAGATAGAAACAAGACAGAAACTCTTAATAATTGAAGCATTTTATGCATCTAGAACATAGCCGGGGTCACATTTCAGCCCCGAAACAGCAGAAATGTGCAATTAAGATCTATTTTTACTGTGACATGATAAAAAAAATCAAGAAAAAAAAAGTATTTGCATTATAATTGTAATTTTCATCTAAGTGAAATGATTTGATGGATATTTATCGTTATTGTCTCTGGTTTTTGGATTGAAATGTGACCCTGATGCTCTTTAAGAGACTCTCCCCAACGTGTTGCGGTAAACAGGGTGCGAAATACAGGGGGGTTTGACCCCCTGAAGGACATCAAAACAAGGGGCATGGCAGGGTCAGCCCTTTAATACTGAGAAACAGTTTGCTCCGATCTGTATTCTAAATAATAACACTAATAATTAAACTAATAGAGCATATAAATACACATTTGACAGTCTGAAACTGCAGATGTTGACCACCGATAGACATCGGAAGTGTTCAAAAGACAAAAATAGGAGTTTGTTTCTCCTTACAGCCTAAAAGTAAAGCCAAAAAGATGCATAGTGTGTATAATTTGACCTACAGTGACTTCAAAATGAGCTAATCAGAGGACGCTGCTGGGTAGGATACACTAAATGTCCCTCACAACACTGTAATCTATATGCTTAAATGGATGTTAGATGTAATGTAATTCACTGAAGCATGTATTGCACAAACTAACTTGACCACCCTGCATAATTGGCACCATGGCGGTAGATCAGAATGAATGCAGACTTCTTAAAGCGAGCATTTTCCTCAAGATCCAGTGTTTATGTTGAGGTATTTCATTGTAAAAGCAATGAGAATAACCTATTAATACATGTTAAATCACTGCAGATACACACAATATCTCAATTTAGCAGAGAAATCCAGGCGACACAAGATTCAGCATCTGAACTTCATATTAAATATGAAACCCCGAATGACTAGCAACTAGCAGATCTTCCAGAGGCGATGGCTGCTTGTAGCATCGATAGGAAAAACACGACCTCCTGGACTTTCGGACTCCCTCGTGTTCACTTCAAGGAGCAGCTTGTGAGCACGTGAGGGACGGGAAACTCTTCTTAATATTATTATTTTGCGCATGTGTCATTCCTCCGTGAATCATTTCTATATTTGCCAATCTTGCTGCTTTTGTTTTGGTTGGGGGTTGACCGTGACGGAGATAAACTAATGTATATAGTCGAAATCAAGCTGAAGCTACACAATCAGAACCAAAACACACACGAAGAGCGTTGATTTTGTCAGTGATTGGGAGATTGTTATTGCTGGAAAATACTGATTATAAAAGCAGGCGAGTAGCAGCTTCTCTTCCCTTCGTAATGAATGAAATCTCTCTCCGTGTGTGACCAGCACTCGATCTCAGTTCCACTGGAAATTTTATCCCTTCGGTTTTATTCTACAGTATACTTTGCTTAATCTTGCACATCTTTAAGTGTAACTTAAATGTTCTCCTGTATATAAATGTTCAACTCTTTGTCTGTACATTGGGAATGATGTGAGGTGCGTGCTGTAGGACTGATTTTTGTAATTTAAAGCTAAAGACGCGTCACGCGTGAGAAGTGATCAAAAAAAAATGACTAATTACTGATGAGGTGAGCGGGGAAATGCAGGTCATCGTGTCCTTATAACTTGTAAATTTTAAAAATGGTGATATTTTTACTTCATATTGATGATGATGATGATGATCATGCCTAGTGTCACTGAAGGAATGGTTTATAATTAATTGCTCTGTTTATTATGGAATTAAATGACAATGAAATTCTGTATGTCTTGGATTCTTATTTTTAGAGGTTGATTACTTTAATGAAGTTGTTTATCTTTATTTTTGGCACCTTTGGCAGCGATTACAGCCTCAAGTCTTCTTGAGTATGATGCCACAAGCTTGGCACACCCGAGTTTCTGCCCGTTCCTCTTTGCAGGACCTCTCAAGCTCCATCAGGTTGGATGGGAAGCAACGGTGCAGCCATTTTCAGATCTCTCCAGAGATGTTCAATAGGATTACGGTCTGGGCTCTGGCTGGGCCACTCAAAGACGTTGTGAAGCCACTCCATTGATATGTTGGCGGTGTGCTTTGGGTCATCGTCCTGCTGGAAGATGAAGCATCGCCTCAGTCTGAGGTGGAGAGCACTCTTGTGCAGGTCTTCATTCAGGATGTCTCTGTACATCGCTGCATTCATCTTTCCCTCTATCCTGACTAGTCTTCAGTTCCTGCTGCTGAAACACATCCCCACAGCATGATGCCAACACCACCATGCTTCACTGTAGGGATGCTGTTAGCCTGCTGATGAGCGCCGCCTGCTGTTCTCCAAACGTATCGCCTGGCGTACACTCCAAACAGTTCAGTTTGAGTCTCATCAGAGCAGAGAGTTTAGTTTCTGATGCTCTGAGAGTCCTTCAGATGGTAAACTCCAGGCGGGGAGTGTCTTCCGTCTGCCCGCTCTACCATACAGATGCCTGATTGGTGGATTGCTGCACAGATGGTTGTCCTTCTGTAAGGTTCTCCTCTCTCCACAGAAGAACGCTGGAGCTCAGACAGAGTGGCCATCAGGTTATTGATCACCTCCCTGAAGACCCTTCTCCCCCGATCACTCAGCTTAGATGGCCGGCCAGCTCTAGGAAGAGTCCTGGTGGTTATGATGGAGGCTGTGCTCATTTCAGAGCAGCAGAAATGTTTCTGTCACCTTCCCCAGCCTTGTGCCTCCAGACAATCCTATATCTGAAGTCTACAGACAATTCCTTTGTCTTCACGCTTGGTTTGTGCTTTGACATGCTCTAAAGTGAGCACTAAACCAAATAAAATATCAACTCTCCTCAAGAATATCTCTATTTTAACTCACAAATGTTAACAGAAGAACAAGCTGCAGGTTTTTAACACGTCTTTATTGGAAAAAAGCAAACTGAAAGCATCATGTGCTTGTTAAGATCACAGTAGGGACGTTACAGCAATGTAGGTGAAATAAAACTCAAACAATATGCTCAAACCCAAAACATGGAACAGTCTTCAACAAACTACAGAAACACGTATATGTGACGTGCATGACGCAAAGTGACTCTGGTGAATAAAGCCGGGCTCACACTGTGCAATTGTAACCCCGTCGGTCCTATACCACCCAACACGCTCTGAGCTGGTATCGAACCAGCGACCTTCCGCATGGGAGTCGGTTGCTCTACCAAGGAGGCTAAAGACCATGGCCACTAGCATCAGTCGCTAGAGCAGCTTTAGAGGTCAGAGGAGGGAGGTTTACCTGTATAGCACTTCACTAGCTGGCCTCTGTCACACTCACCCCCTAAACCTCACTCCCATCCGGGTCACGGCACCAATGTAACCCCCGCTGGTACTACACCACCTAACCCGCTCCGAGCTGGTATCGAACCAGCGACCTTCCGCATGGGAGCTGGTTGCTCTACAAGGAGGCTCAAGATGGCCTGTAGCATCTGTCGCTAGAGCACCTTTAGAGGTCAGAGGAGTGAGGTTTACCTGCACAGCACACACTAGCTGGCCTACGTTACACGATGTTCATAGTCATATAAAGACGGCCATACAAACACTGCTCTTATTGTCCTGTCCGACAAATTGCACAGATTCAGAGTATGGGTCATCATATTTGGACACACGTCATGACTTCCCTTTTCCATGCATGTTTGACATCTTTACAGACAGCCAGGCGATTAATTACAGTCGCAATCAGACTGTGTCAGTGTTTGAGACACTACAACTATCATCAAACCAATAGGAGCACAAAAGAAACCGCTAGGAGAGAGCACGCTTTGGAAATAGACATTTCAGATATACAGCGGTACAGGAGTGTCCAAACTCGGTGCTGGAGGGCCGGTGTCCTGAGTTTAGCTCCAGCTTGCTTCAACACACCTGCCTGGAAGTTTCTAGTATCTCCTAAGAGCGTAATTAGCCGGTTCAGGTGTGTTTAATTACGGTTGGAGCTAAACTCTCCTGGACACCGGCCCTCCAGGAAACCCCTGGTATAAGCTGTTTGGCAAAACAAAAAAAAAAGACTGGCTTCAGGTCAGACTTGGGCCAAAAAATTTGATTAGCTGTTGGTCAAGGGCTCTAATATACGCGGACCATACTGCCAAACCACCCGGGGGCGCCGTTTGCTCTTAAATGTGAATCTGTTCTGTGCTGTCATTTATTTAGGCATGAAAACATTTTGAATAAAATATACAGATTCCCTTTTCCTTCATTACTGGCACCGTGGCCACTTCTACGCAGTCCTTAAAACAGTCTAGTGGTGTTTACATCCCTTATTTTCACATCCCACTGTTAAGAGGTGTGGACCAGCCATGGTCAATCATAAGCAGGGGATCCTCTGTAAATTATGAATACACTTCACCATCTAACGCCTTCATAGATGGAGATCTCACAGTGTGACATGAGGACAACGCTCGATGTCTGACAAGCTGCGCTCCTCGTGTACTATATTAAAGATGGCACCGTGTGAGCCCGGCTGTCAGATCACACACAGACAGAAATCAAAGTTCAGTCACACTGAAGAAATGACAGAAGTGGAACAAAAGATTTGCTCTTCAGGCAAATGGAGTCAGGAGAAAGAAAAATAAAGTCACATTTGGTTGGAAGAGGATGGAGACGGGTCGGGTGTCAACTAGGCATGGGCCGGTTTACGATTCTGACGGTCTCATAACCTTAGATGAAAATATCCTGGTATAGCAGGGCTGTCCAAACTCTGTCCTGGAGTTCAGAGTTTTACTTGCCCTGCGAAAGTTTTCACTCGCCCCACCAAAACACCAAAAAGATTATCAAAAAATAAATATCTTAAAGAGGCTAATAATATTGACCTTAAAATGGTGTTTAAAATAGTTAAAAACTGCATTTATTCTAGCTGAAATAAAACAAATCAGACTTTCTCTAGAAGAAAAAATATTATTAGACATACTGTGAACATTTCCTTGCTCTGTTAAACATCATTTAGAAAATATTTTAAAAAGAAAATAAATTTAAAGGGGCGCTAATAATTCTGACTTTGTGTGTATATATATTTTATTTATTTATTTATTTACGCATGCTACCGGTCAAAAGTTTGGGGTCAATTTTATAATTTTTTGTTTTAAAGAAACATTATCCAGTTCATCAAGGCAGATGAAAAAAAAATCTATTGTTAAATATTTATTAAAATTGTATATAACTGCTTTCTTACTGTAAGTAGTTTCAAATAACATGATTACTCCAGTCATTATTGCTTTTATTTCTATTAATATTAATGATAATAATAACAAAAATAATTAATATTAGAGTGATTTCTCAATGATTGCAGTAATGAAGATGAAAATTCATCTTTAAAATCACTGGAATAAATGATTAAATTAAATGCTAAACTACCTTTGAGCTGTTATTTTATAGAGCAATAACATTTCACACCTTTACAATATGTTCTGTATTTATGATACAATAAATGCAGCCTTGGTGAGCAGGAGAAGCTGATTTTAAAACATCTAACAACCATACTGACCCCAAACTGTTGACCAGTAGTGTGTCTATATATATATATATTATAAGTGAAAATGTGCACTTTAATTTTGACACCCACAGACATCATCACCAAATATAAATCAGAGAGATCAGACTCTCTTATACAGAGCCTCATTTCAGTTGTCAAGTTTTCCATCGGGCAGTCCTTATTGTCGAGCCCTGAAGTTGGAGCTAAACTGGACGCCGGCCCTCCAGGACCGAGTTTGGACACCCCATGCAGTGGTGATTACTGCTCTAAAATAAGTTCTTCCCTAATGTATAATCAAATATATTGCACAAATATACATAGATACACAGTAAAGCCGCTGCACTGCTCAGCTCTACAGGATGTTGGTGTATCAGTGATTTGTTTCTCAGACGTTTTGATTGTGCAGCTTTTGACGTGGAGGCTCATCTTCTGCTGGAGATGCTGCTGCCGTAAATAAATAAATAAAATAGTCACTTGGATGTACCTGTAGGAGCAGTGTAACAGAAGCTCTTGGTGGTTTTAAAACCTTGACTTTTCCACACCGCTGTAAACCTCGTCCCATGCCTAGTTTTTCCAACAAGTGCAAACTTTGACGTGCATGATGAAGATGAAGGTGTGCACGGGTCTAGCAGCCCACAGCATTGCCGTTCACCTGAATCTCAGCTCTGGGTCTGGGCATCGGGCTGCGAGGAGTCGCCCGCTGGAGCTCCACTGAGTTCCCTCTCACACACACGTGCTCCCATCCACCCTGATTCAAGAAGACACTCTCAGACATGCTGACGACGAGCCTGTACTCAAGATCTAAAACCTCTCAACCTCGTGTGCTTGTAATGTTTTCTGGATTTATTCCGAGCACAAAATAATCTGTCATGTTTTCGCATCTTCTTTAAAAGCTTAAAGTTCTCGTCAAAAGTTTTGAAATGTGCATTTTTTATTGGACTTTAATGTAATCTCAACTTTTTCACTTCACAGGACCTCTAATGCCAGATTTCCTCCAATTGTGTTGGTAAATAACAGCTATTCTAAAGCGAGAGGTAATGGAAGTGCTCACCCCGATGCCGTAGTCCCAGCTCAGGCCTTTGGGTTGCATGGGCTTCACTCCCAATCTGTGGCAGACCGTTCCTGAGCTCTCAGCTGGATGACCTGACACTTTATCAGCAATGATCCAGACCTGGACAGATCAAACCGTCACATTCAACCCACACATACAAATATTATGATCACAAGTTCTCACATGCAAGCTCTGGAGTTTTGCTACTGATTTACCTCCATACTAAAGGTGGATCTGGACAACATGAGCAAGCAAAGCTTTCCATAGATGAGGGTGGGGGAAACTTAAGCCACAGCAGGGAAAGTAAGTATTGAACACGTCAGCATTCGTCTCAGAAAACATTTCTAAAGGTGCTGTAGACTTAAAATGTTCACTGGATGTTAGTAATAGCCAAAGAAATCCATATACTGTATGCAAAGAGCACAAATCCAATAAGGAACTGTGTCAGTTCTGTGTAATAAAATGAAATGACGCAGGGAAAAAGTGTTGAACACATGAAGAAAGGGAGGTGTAGTTCGACTCTGAAAGCCCAGACAGCAGCTGAAATCTCTCAGTAGTTCTTCAGCAAGCCTCCGCCCTTCCTCAGTGTAAATGAACATCAGCTGCTTCAGTCCAACATCTACATTAGCAGGAGGATGAAGATGAAGCCATTTCAGCAAGACAATGATCCAAAACACAGCCAAGGAGACTCTCAGATGCTTTCAGAGAAAGAAAACCAAGCTGTAGAATGGCCCAGCCAATCACCTGATCCGAATGCAATAGAGAATACAGAATAAAGCTCAGATTTGACAGACGAGACCCACAGATTTACACACTCTGTTGAAGTCTGTGAGAAACTCACACCTGAGCAATGCATGAGGCTTCATTCTCCATATGAGAGTCGTCTTTAAGCTGCCGTCGTCAAATAAGCCTTTCATATAAAGTGTTAAAACACATTTCAGTAGTTCAGCACTTTCCCCTTCACTGTTATTACACAATACTCACTCTTCAGGTTATTTTCTTTGGCTTTGTCCCTTTATTTATCAGGGCTCGCCACTGTGCCACCCTTTCAGATTTGTTTTGTTTTAGTTTTATGTTTGTATTCTGTATACCAAAATCTGCTTCATTTCAATGTTAACAGCTCCTTTAGAGATATTATTCCCTGGGAAAAAACACGACAATGTGTTCAATACGTATTTTCCCCGCTTTATATAGTGAGGTGAAGGAGAAAAAGGAAAAAAGTAGCAGCCTAATATTTAAGAACAACAACGGGCCTAAGATCGAGCCTTGAGGAACACCATACGTTTCTGAGATCAGATTTTATCACTAATGAAGGTGACATTTAAAGTCAATTAAATATTTTAAAACTAAAAAAAAGTGTTCATCTTTGTTGTGGTTGTGTTTCTGTTTAAGACAGAATAAGCATGCGTAATTTAAAAGGTCTCAAACCTGGTCCAGCGGTCCGACAGACACCTTACACACATTATTGGAGATGAGCTCCCATGCTGAGCCCTGAGGATAGCTGGGTGTCAAACCCTGTCTGAACCACAGATTACCTGCACACACACACACACACTGAGATCAGAGATTCTCTAATCCACAGGTGTCAAACTCAGTTCCTGGAGGGCCGCAGCTCTGCACAGTTTAGGTCCAACCCTAATTAAAAACACCTGATCAAACTAATTGAGTCCTTCAGGCTTGTTTGAAACCTACAGGTAAGTGTGTTGGAGCAGGGTTGGAACTAAACTGTGCAGGGCTTCGACCCTCCAGCAATTGAGTTTGACACCCCTGCTCTAATTCATTAGAAATGAATGGTCATGTGCTCTCAATTTCTCATGCATCTAAAGAAAACGTCTGTAATTTAAATACGATTTACTCTGTGCGATGGCGACTACAGACGGATGTAAATAAATACAACTAAAACTACGCTCTCACCGCTTTCATCCACAGCGTAAACAGATGTTCTGCCCACTGACACCTGCTTGAGCGTCTGCCGCGGTGGAGACGGGATGTGGTACCAGCACTCGCCTGACAAAACCAAAGCAATTATGAATTATACCTTCATTCGATAAGTGCAAATCAGGAGTGTCAAAACTCGGTGCTGGAGGGAAAGTCCTGAAGAGTTCATCTCCAACTCGCTTCAACACACCTGCCAGGAAGCTTCTAGTGTATCTAGTAAGAGCTTGATCAGCTGCTTCAGGTGTGTTTGATTAGGGTTGGAGCTAAACTCTCCAGGACACCGGCCCTCCAGGACTGAGTTTGGACACCCCTGGTGTAAATAAATAAAATTGCCTAAACATAACAAACGTGTACAACAAATTAAGTTATTAAGCTGTTAAATATAAACATAGTTAACCTGCAGATTTACAGCATATAGGCGAACTCTATGGGCTCTATTTTGACGGTCCACGCGCAGGGCGCAAACGCTTTCAGGGCGTGTCAGAACGCATTTTTGCTAATTTAAGGACGGGAATATCCGCTTTGCGTCGTGGCACATGGTCTAAAAGTGTTGAGCTTATTCTCTTAATGAGTTATAGGTGTGTTTTGAGAATAAACCAATCAGAGTCTCATCTCCCATTCCCTTTAAGAGTCAGCTGCGTCACGCCAAGAGCGCATTCACTATTTACAGGACGCAAAGTAAGTCTAAGTGGAAAAACTGAGCATTTCACTAGCAAACAGTTCACAGAAAACTGTTAAACAGAGCATCTACTGGGTGAGAATGAGAGATAATGGATCTACTTTCACTTTCACTCTTGGATAGGGAAACCTTTACACACAGACATCAATTAGTCAATAAATAATTAATTTTGTTTGTTTAGCGCAAATATTCGTTTCAAAACTATTTCTAAATTCAGTTTTAATTTCCAGCAAACGAATAAATGAACAATAATAACGAAGTGTGCTCAAAAACATGAGTGATATCCTAAAACACATGCTGTGCCCCATATGATCTAAAACCTGACAGGTGGGCAAATCTAAGCTTGTTTTTAATAAAACAAATATAAATATGGATATAATAAATAACATTGCTAATAATAATAACATTATACAAAAGCAAATTGTTATGAATGAACTGAAAAAGCCTCCCGAGATGAAGAAGACATGAAAGCAGTGATTTTTCATATTTATGTAGGCTAGAAAATAATATGTTTTGTAATATTTTAATCCTTTATATTTATATTCTATATCTATTCTTATTATATCCTCTATATATCCTTAATATTTACATTCTTTCATGTGTAAAGATATTTGCCTATTGCTCTCTTGTGTGTATTAAGCAGTGTGTAAGCTCTGCGCAACTCTGCGCTGGAGTTTAGACCGGGTTGGTTTTGGTCTAGTGAAAAATCTATTATAGTTTCTCAAAATAGCAACGCGCCAGCGGTCCGCCTCAGAGCGCCTTCCTTTATAGACCAGAACGCCTATGAGCGCACAAATGAGCGCTAATGCATTTGCTATTTAAACAGCGCAGCGCAACGCCTCAAAACCACTCTTACGCCAAGCTGAAACTACCAAAAGACTACTGCGCCACGCCTTGCACCACACTGCGCCGGGTGTATGATAGGGCCCTATGTGTGCATGTTTAATGAAGTGTATTAGTGTATTAAGTGTGTGTTGTCCCTGATTGAATAATTGTAAGTGTAAAGACACAACAGGACTGATCTGACAGCTCACCTGCTGGATTATTGGCGGAAACGGAGCCCCGGTAGAAGACGGCCCCGTCCCGGGCGATGGCCCACACCTGATGACCTCCTCCAATGCTGATGGACTTAAAGGGCTGATCGGTGCCCACATGAAGCCACGAGCTGCCCTGAGATTTCACAGAGCCTGAGGTTAGAGGACGTCCCACACACTCAATATGAAAGCAAGCAGAAGAGTCATCATCGCTCTCGCTTCATGTGCCAGAGTGAGCCGTGTCCCCCGGGAGAGGGAGCACACTATAAGAGAGGTGCCTACTTTTCAGCGCGAGTACACGGCGCCTCTAAACAGATTATATCATACCTGCGAACATGTGTCTCTGAAAAATTCCAGGAGACCGGGGGGAGGGAGTGTTCGGGGGGAAGTGAGGTCACTGAAAAACACTGTTGAGTACTGGGATACAATGCAGCTGGTTCTGGGTGGCTGCTGCGATCGGATTCTGTACTAAAGTTGGCGACCCAGGGGTGTTCACATACTCTACCAAAAATGGAGGGGGATGAAATTACAGGAGTTTTCCGGAAAAAATAACAAAACGGGATGGTTGCGGGAGATTGGTCTGAAATGCTGGAGACTCCCGGGAAAAACGGGAGTGTTGGCAGGTGAGGATTATATAGAGCTGCGGTCTGGGCGACACTTTACACATTCACAAGATTTTATAATTCTCGAGTGCAGCCAGTTTCCTCTCGATTACTGGGTAACCCCGGTCAATCAGGAGGAGATTAAGCTCAGTGTCTAAAACGCTTGCTAGGCCATGCTCCCTAACCTGGAGACACGTGCACTCTCTCGATTCTGCTAGTAAGCTCCCCGTTTGGTGAACCCTAGAGAACTCCTCCGAGGCTCATTGGAGCAGCCGGGTGCCTGGCTCAGATGTCTGTTATGCCCACTTTTGAGGTTTGGTGCCAGCTATGCAAGGTTCCTAACGGCGATCCTATATGCTTCTTTCAGCAATGGAGTGTTCCCCTTGACCAGGCTGACCCGTGTCTTTCCTACCGGCAAACCAGCTTATCATATATAGCACTCGCCCTCAATAGACCTAGTCCATATGTTCCTATTTCCACCAAGTCTTCCCTCTTGAGAAGCAGGTGACCTCCACAGCGTCCTCCCATGGCATGTTTTCCTAACGTACTGTTGTATTTCTAATATCCCTCGTCTATATTAGCTAGGTAAAAGGACATTTACGACCCCTGATGTATATTTTCTAATTATTCCCATGTAATGGTAATTTAAGGGCCTAGGGGATGTTGGAAGGTTGCTCTCTTGGTGATGCTTGTGCGCTCACGTTATGCTTGGCAAACTTCACATCAGGAGTGTGACGGGTTTAGCTGCTGTGGCGTTTTCCATACAGTCTTCTATAGTCCTTGCTGAAAAGTCCAGCTTAAACCAGACTAGGCTAGTTGGCTGGTTTTAGCTGGTTGATCAGCTGGTTTTAGAGAGGTTTTGGCCATTTCCAGGCTGATTTTCAGTAATTTCCAGCCTGGTCTTAGCTGTTTAGGCCAGAAAATGACCAGCTAAATCCAGCTAAAACCAGCTTGGCCAGCCTGGTTTAAGCTGGACATAGCTGGTTTTGGCTGGGCTCCCAGCTTGGCTAGGCTGGTCAAGCTGATCTTAGCTGGTCATCTCCCAGCCTGGCCAGCTAAGACCAGGCTTGAAATGGCCAAAACCCCTCTAAAACCAGGCTGGTCAACCAGCCAAGCAGCCTAGGCTGGTTTAAGCTGTTTTTTGCAGTAGGGGTCTGTTCCAGACACACGTTGTAGTTCCCATGAAGGGGAACGTCCTGTTTGCATACGTAGCCCACGTTCCCCGAATAGGGAACAGAGAGGAAACAGTCTCCAGCTGTTAGCTGAGTGATCGGCTCTTCAGGTGGCACAAATTGTAATGCTCGCTTCTCAGCCATCAGCTGATACACTCTGCTAATGACTAATCGCTGACAGCTGTGGAGCTGAGCTCCGCCAATTCATTTGGCATTCATTGGCCCGTTTTCCTACTCATCAGAATGACTGGTCGTCTGGCGAACTCCCATAGTCTGTTCCAGACACACGTCTCCATTCCCTATTCAGGGAACGTGGGTTACGTATGCAACCAGGACGTTATTCAATATACAGTGTCCTTACAAAATGGTTGTCTATATGTGTAATAGATGTTCAATGAAGTCATGTTTGTGTGAGAGCTCACTGCAGGATTATCAGGAGTGACCCCCAGCCGGCACAGCACATCCCCCTTCTCACTGAGGGCCCAGACGGGCACTTGCTCCAGCCGGCACTGGGACAGACATGGCAGGATGGTCACATCGGTCAGAGCGATCGGAGGCACCTTCGTCCAAGGCCCCGTCAGGCTGAGTGCACACCTCCTGACAGAAAACACACAGCGGTTCAGGTAACATCCCTACATAATTCACACTACATCCCAAATCCTAGCCAATACGCACACCTAAACCCAGATACTACTTTAAAAACCATTAATAAGCAGCTAATTGGTAGCTTTTTAAGCTAAAAGTCTAAGTTAATGGTTTGTTCGTCGTGTGAATTGTACATTAAAATAAAGTACTTCTAAAAACATGAGAGTTTAGCATTAAAGCGTGTTTCAGTTGAACTAATTTTCAAAGCCAAAATAAGCGAATATGAAATTACTATATTAATATAATTAAATCCTACGTAGATCCTGCCCATCAGACTATTACAACTTCACTAGTGGAAAACCAGATCTCAAAAGATGTGATGGTGTTCCTCAAGGCTCGCTCTTCGGCCCCTTGTAGGTCTATAAATAAGCAGCTAATCAGCAGTTTAAAAAAGTCTGTTTATAAGAATGTTTGTTTTAATGTGTCTACTCAAGTCCATCAAATAATACACACACATATATTAGTAGTAGTCATTAGCCCCTTTCACACAGTGATACCGGTAAATATCTAGAAAATTTCCGGAACGACTTTACCGGTATATTCAAAAAAGCGCTGTTCACACAGGCGAGGACGTTACGGAAATTTTCCGGAAAAGAGCATTCACACATCCATTCCAAAACACCGGTAAATTCTGACATCATTCACCACAAATGAGCTTTAAACGGCTGCGCTTGTGTTTGTAAACATTTGACTAAATTACAAACTCTGTGGATGATCAATATTGTGAACAACTTTCGCAGGATCGCTTTCGCATGTCGAGATGTTCATAATATGTGCGTGTGCAGGCGCTCACAGGCGCACGCAAAGCTTGAAGGTAAACAAACATTGCCGGCAATTTTCCGGAAAGGTCTGTATGTGTGAAAGGGGCTATTATTAACTTAAAATATTGTAAATATATTATGTGTATAAAATAGACCTATACATTATTGGCAGCAATGTATTATCTAATTTCAATTTAGCATTTATATCTGATTTTATTTAAAATCTTTAACAAATGTTTGTATCAATTTATTAATTAAATTTACTCTAACATTGCAGAAAACACATAATGTTTACCAATCACCTGAACAATAACCCTAACCTGCTTCTTTTTAAAGAATAAAAATGGAGTAAAAAGTGTACTTATAAAAGGCAACGGACACAGAATAAAATAGGTTGCTCAGGTCAGAAAGACAGAGAATCGAGGATAACAGCAACAAACATTTTAAAAGAAAGAGGGAGAGACTCTGTTGAACTCATAAAATGCACAGACATACATTTAACATATATCTACCTCAAGGACAGGTCTTGCAGGTTTTTTTTATTTATTATTATTATCATTTTTTGCATCTAACCAAACAGATGGGAGCTGAATTAAAATAGCTATATTGGCATTTTTAATAAATGAAAAAAAAGTATAGAAACGAAAAGGTAAAAATTTACAGCTTCCTTGTTTGCATAATTTGAATGGTTTAGTGTAATGGTTGATTTTTATAATTGCCTATTATCTATTTGTATACTTTATTAATGCATTTATTTTCTTATTTTTTGTTCGCTTGTTGTATTGTTTATCTGTTAGAACTCCTATTGTATTGCTACCAAAAACAAGTGACACAATTTCTTTCATTCCAATCACAACAAATAATTCCTGCAAGTCCTGCAGCAATTATAATATCCTGCAGGATTTGACACTTGCTTGGATCCATTGTAAAAACCTGTAGGAAATTCCTGCACATATTGTCAATGTGTCCCACAGGATTTTTGAATTCCTGCAGGACAGCAGCTTTTCTGAAGGGAAAAAAAATGAATCCTTCAGGATTCCTGCAAAAAGTACTGCATGATTGTAAAACCTGTAGGAATTGCCTGCACATATTGTCAATTTGTCCTGCAGGATTTGATACAGGATACCAGCAGGGTTCCTTTTTGAGTTAAGGGTTTGTTAATATTGTGACTTTTAATTTTTTTTTTATCTAAATTGTAAACTTTACAAAATTTCACAATATTTGCTTGATTTTGAGCTAAACTCAGCGAAATGATGAAATCCTGGAGGGTGTGACTAAGGATGGTTTAAGGGCAGGGGCACCACTGGCCGCTACAGGCCCTATGAAAATATTTAGTGGATTTCGGGGCCGAAATTGAAGAAGGTGTGGGGGGGGTGGATCGCGGACGAAATTGGAGAGGGAGGTATGTTGGGGGGGGCAGTGTTCAGGTGGGCTCCTAATAGTATCTCTGGGAGCCCCAAAATGTTATGTGCCCTTAGAATCGGCCTACATCCTACCCAACCCTGCTGAACAAAATCAGTACGGTTAGTTTTATACTAGTGTACTTTAAAGTGACAAACATTTTACCCCCCTCTCCATTCTTAATATTAAATAAATAAACTCCCTGTCTTTCAATGTCTGTGATATAGCTTTTAAAAATCACTGATATTGCAGAAAGTCTATATGACTTAGTGGGAGCCCTGTACAAAATGAATATACACACATATCAGTGCATGTAAGAGTGAGCTAACCTTGCCCACTGCCGGCGCCGCACAAAGTCCTTCATCGTCTTGCACCCGTGAAAGCTCCTGTATGGACACATGTTCAAGAGTTCACACTCAGACATTGTTTGACAAATGTTTGGCACGCTATCCCAGGAGAGAACCCTGAGCTTGGAGATAATTGAGCCCAGGGCTCCCACCTGGTCGATTGAGCATGTAAGTGGAGTAAGAGATCGGGTAGTTCTCAAGAGCTCCCCGTGGTAAAGGAAGAAAGGGGGAAATGGGGTGGATGGGGGGTTTCTCCGGAAAACGAAGATAAGGGAGTAGTTTTAGCTGGGCTACTTATAGAGAGTTTGGATTAATCTGATTGGCTAACTAATGATTGTGGATGAGGGACAAGCTGTGGTCAATCATGTCACGTGCTCCTCTCGAAATAAGCTTGTGAAACTTCACTTAGTTCTTCAATAAACATATATTAAATAAAAATGCTAAATATTACATTAGCAACACTGTCATAAAATGAGTATTTTACGTATATTTGACATTTTTAAAGTGAAATGCTAATGGTCTAATCTGATCCAATGATCTATGCTAAGCTAAGCTAAATATGAAAAAACTCATCAGTTTTTTAGATGTTTTAGTTTTGTTATTAACAAAACCTCACAGCAAGAAGGTCGCTGGTTGGAGTCCCGGCTGGGTCAGTTGGTGTTTCTGTGTGGAGTTTGCATGTTCTTCCCGTGTTGGCGTGGTTTACTCTGGGTGCTCCGGTTTCTAAACACATGCACTATAGGGGAATTGATGAACTAAATTGGTCGTAATGTATGAGTGAGTGTGTGTGTATGAGTGTTTTCCAGTACTGGGTTGCGGCTGGAATGGCATCCACTGCTTAAGACATATGCTGGAATAGTTGGCGGTTCATTCCGTTGTGGAGACCCTTAATAAATGAGAAACTAAGCCAAAGGAAAATGAATAAATGATCATTTTAGGAGTGAAAAGTCTTGCGTGAACAAATATTAGCTTGTGTTGACAGTGCACATACACAGGGAAATCTGCAGCGTACTGCCAGCCCTCTTTATCTGTCCCTCCTGGGACACTGAAGTCCACTGTCCAATCAGAAACCTGCGAAAGAAAGATGCAAACATCACTTTTTGTTGCATAATAATAATATTATGAATAGTATTAATAATAATATTAATAATAAAGATAATTAAAATAATAATATTAATAATAATAATATGAATAGTATTGATGATGATAATAATAATAATAATAATAATAACAATATTAATATTATTATTAATGATAATAACAATAATAATATAAATAATAATTATAATATTATAAATAATAATAATATAAATAATAATAATAATAATAATAATAATGATAATAATATAAATAATAATAATAATTATTATATTAATAATAATATTATTATAAATAAGAATAATAATAATGTTAATAATAATAATATTATAATAATAATAATTATTATATTAATAATAATAATGTTATAAATAATAATAATAATAATAGTAATAGTAATAATAATCATTTTATTAATAATAATAATAATAATCCAGACAGTATAGTAGGCTTCTGCCAGTATCAAACTTTCATATTGTGATTAATTACGGAAGCTTCAGGCTTCGCATCAGGCTGTTGATGAACGTGTTTGGCTTTATTCTGCGATAACAAACTCCTTGATGTACTTTATCCCTAAACTATTGAATTACTCAATATCAGTATTTGTCTAAAGTGCAGTAAAACTACCACTGTACCCATGTCCACTGCGGTGACGGAGGTCTGGTGTTTTCTTTAGTGCTCTCTCTGAAGCCGGATGAGTCACTCCACATGTAGCGGTCAGTCGGCAAACCTCTGAGAAAACACATTATTCAGAAAACACACACACACATATATATTTGTACACCTATTACTACAGGCATCAAGCCTATATATCTTTATAATAACTATAAAGATAACGATAAAGACAAAAATCTCTGATGAGCATGTGTGTGTGAACTTTCAGCTCAAAATAGCACACAGACAATGTTCTCTAACTCTCTGAAACTGACCCTTTTAGGCTTTGATCCTAATTGTGGCATTTTGGTGACTGTCACTTTAAATGCAAATGAGGTTGTGCTCTTTTCAGAAGAGGGCGGAGCTACAAATGCCTATGCATCAGTATAATGGCAGATTCAAAAACTGGACTAGCTGTGTTGTTAGTGCTGGTCAGGTGTGCATGTGTTCTAGCGTGTTACTAGCATGATTCTAACATGAATCAGATTTTTTCTAGCATGAATTAGCATGTTACTAGCATATTTTTAGCGTGTTTCTAGCATGAATTAGCATGTTGTTAGCATTATTCTAGCATGAATTAACATGTTGTTAGCATGATTCTAGCATTAATTAGTATGTTGTTAGCATTATTCTAGCATGAATTAACATGTTACTAGCGTGTTGCTAGCATGTTTCTAGCAAGATTAGCATGCGTCTAGTGATTCTAGCGTGTTACTATCATGATTCTAACATGAATCAGCTTGTTACTAGCATATTTTTAGCGTGTTTCTAGCATGAATTAGCATGTTATTAGCATTATTCTAACATGAATTAACATGTTGTTAGCATGATTCTAGCATTAATTAGCATGTTGTTAGCATGATTCTAGCATGAATTAGCATGTTGTTAGCACTATTCTAGCATGAATTAACATATTGTTAGCATAATTCTAGCATTAATTAGCATGTTGCTAGCATGTTTCTAGCAAGATTAGCATGCGTCTAGAGATTCTAGCGTGTTACTATCATGATTCTAACATAAATCAGCTTGTTACTAGCATGAATTAGCATGTTACTAGCATATTTTTAGCGTGTTTCTAGCATGAATTAGCATGTTATTAGCATTATTCTAACATAAATTAACATGTTGTTAGCATGATTCTAGCATTAATTAGCATGTTGTTAGCATGATTCTAGCATGAATTAGCATGTTGTTAGCATTATTCTAGCATGAATTAACATGTTACTAGCATGTTGCTAGCGTGTTTCTAGCAAGATTAGCATGCGTCTAGTGATTCTAGCGTGTTACTATCATGATTCTAACATGAATCAGCTTGTTACTAGCATGAATTAGCATGCTACTAGCATATTTTTAGCGTGTTTCTAGCATGAATTAGCATGTTGTTAGCATTATTCTAGCATGAATTAACATGTTGTTAGCATGATTCTAGCATTAATTAGCATGTTGTTAGCATGATTCTAGCATGAATTAGCATGTTGTTAGCATTATTCTAGCATGATTTAACATGTTACTAGCGTGTTGCTAGCATGTTTCTAGCAAGATTAGCATGTGTCATGATTCTATCATGATTCTAACATGAATCAGCTTGTTTATATCATGAATTAGCATGTTGTTAGCATGAATTAGCATGTGCTAGCATGACTAGCATGTCACTAGCGTGTTGCTAGCATGTGTCTAGCAAGATTAGCATGTCAGTAGGATGTTAAAACTATAAGCATGTGTTAGAATAGCTAGTCACAGTCTATGGGACAGTTGCTAGGGTGCTGAATTGGTTGCTAGGGAGTGGCTAGTAAGTTTAATGGTCATCAGTGATTGGCTGCTGGCTACACTGAGTTGAATGAGGCCAGACGCCTTGTGTGTAGGACAGTCTGATGCAGAGTTATGAACTCACAAATTTTGACCCAATGTTAAGTCAATGGGACTTCTGGGAATTTTCTGGGTCATTTTTCGGAAAAGCGAAAGTCGGATCAGTTAGAAAAGACATAGCAACCCGAGTCAGACCAGTTTGAAGGTTTGACGAAAGTTTGAAGTATGTCACTTGAAAGTCTTAGGAGGAGATACACTTTAAAATTAGTCTCAGAAGACGGATGAAGAAGGAATTTATGTAGAATATCAGCTTTCTCAAGCCACCATAGTCCATGTTCACCATTAGAGGCTGGATATATTCACACACTACTGACAAACTGGGTTTAAACCACTTTATAGAAATGATTCCTGTATAATAGGTGCCCTTTACGGGCTGTCCTGTACATGAACACACACACACTCACTTGTCAGTGTATCCCGTCATTGGGTTCCAGCGCTGGTTCTCATAGATGCACACACTCCTCACATCACTGACCTCCTCATTCAGCTTCACAGGTCCAGACACTGGAGAGAGTCAAACATCAGACTGAAGCAGTCGCCTGCACTCTGAGGCATGAGATAAAGATTTAACACTGATGCTGAACGTGCGGCAGGACACATGAGAAAACACTGAGCCACATTCTCTGTCCTTGCATTTACAGATCAATCTTCCCTCACATTGTGTCTGCACTGTACAGCTGAACAGCCGAGTCAAACCCGTTTATTACACTTCATTTTATCCAGACGTGTGTGTGTGTGTTTACCCTGAGCTGATGACCCCCCAGTGTAGACCCAGGCTGTGTGATCGTGCCCGATGCCCCACACCACACCCAGACTGTTGCACTCCACACACAGCAGATGAGCGGGAACCTGACGCCAGAACCTGTGCCAGGGCAGGTACAGCACACAAACACACACACACACAGAGACACACACATGTACACATACACACACGCATGGACAGACAAACAGACAGACACACACACACGTGAAAGCCTTCACAATTGACCCAAGCATCATGTGAAGGTGTTTTCTATGTAGACAGCAGACAATACAGCATAGATAGATAGACAGACAGACAGACAGACAGACAGACAGACAGACAGACAGACAGACAGACAGACAGACAGACAGACAGACAGACAGACAGACAGACAGACAGATAGATAGATAGATAGATAGATAGATAGATAGATAGATAGATAGATAGATAGATAGATAGATAGACAGACAGACATAATGAAAGATAAACAGACAGGCAGACAGAAAGATGGACGGACGGACAAGCAGACAGACAGGTGTTCTTACATCTGATCGCAGGGTAAATACTGTGCCGGAGCCTCCAGACTGGGGGAGGGCTCATGAACCATGACATCCCCTGTACAGGTGACCGCCCACAGGGCCTGTGCAGACGGATGATCCCCCAGAGCCCTGGATCCACAACACGACGCATTCAGGACACACAACTGCAGACAGACAGACAACAACAACATCACTCACAGCAGAGCACTCCATTAATGTGCAGTAGAATTATATAGAGTTAAAGCTTTTTTCTACTGTCATTGCTGATTGGTCAGATTTTCCTACTCTGCTCTGATTGGTCAGATTGAATTGCTTTACTATCATTGGTCTAATGTCCCTACTTTGCTGTTATTGGCCAAAGATGGTACCAATCTGCTCTGACTGGTCAGATTGCCCCTACTCTATTCTGCTCGGATTGGCCAAAGACGCTTTTACTGTACGTGATTGGTCAGATGGCCTTACTCTGCTCTTACTGGTCAGATGACTTCACTCTTATTTGATTGGTCAGATTACTCTTCTCTGCTCTGATTTGCCAAATATACTCTTCGTTAACTGGTCAGATGGCTCTCCTCTGTTCTGATGGGCCAGATATACTTTTGCTCTGCTCTGATTGGTCAGATTACTCTACTCTACTCTGATTGGCCAAAGATGCGTTTACTCTGCTCTGATTGGTCAGATGGCCATACTCTGCAATGACTGGTGAGATGCTTCTACTCTTCTCTGGTCAGACTGTCATACTCTTATCTGATATGCCAGATGTTTCTACTTTGCTCTGATTGGTCAGATGACATAATATGCAATAACTGGTCAGATGTCTCTACTCTGTTCTGATTGGCCAAAGATGCTTGTACACCGCTCTGATTGGCTAAAGATGGCTCTATTCTGCTCTGACTGCTTAGATGACTCTACTCTTCTCTTATTGGTGAGTTTCCTATACTCTTCTTTGATTGGTCAAGTGCTTCTATTCTTCTTTCATTGGCCAAAGATACTTTTACTCTGCTCTAATTGGTCAGATGGCTTCAACTCTGCTCTGATTGGCCAAAGGTACTTTTACTCGGCTCTGATTGGTCAGATGACATAATATGCAATAACTTGTCAGATGCTTCTACACTGCTCTGATTGGCTAAAGATGGCTCTATTCTGCTCAGACTGGTTGGATGACTCTTCTCTTATTGGTCAGATTGCAATACTCTTCTCTGACTGGTCAGGTGCTTCTACTCTTCTTTGATTGGCCAAAGATGTTTTTACTTTGCTCTAATTGGTCAGAAAGCTCTACTCTGTTCTGACCGGCCAGATTGCTCTACTCTTCTCTGATTGGTCAGATGGCTCCACTCTTCTTTGATTGGCCGAATATGCGTCTAATCTATTCTGATTGGCCAAAGATGCTTCTACTCAGCTCTGATTGGCCAAAGATGCTTCTACTCCTCTGATTGGCCAAAGATGCTTCTACTCTGCTCTGATTGACCAAATATAGCTAAACTCTGCTCTAATTGGTTAGATGGCTTTACTCTCCTCTGATTGGCTGTTCATCTGGACAGTTACCCAGCTGCTGAAGTCTTGTTGAGAGGGTGTTGCCAGTAAAATGGGTTTTCTCTGTTTGGTTCTCTCTGGTGTGTACACCGCCACAGTGTACAGAGAGTCCCTGAACATGGGAACCAGCGCCGTCACCTCCTTTATCACAGCATACAGAAACTGACAGAATGAAGGAAGAAGATGCATTACTCACGATGATACAGTCTGATTATTAGTTTACTGATCCTAATTGTGGTGTTTTGGTGACTGTCGCTTTAAATGCAAATGAGATTGTGCTCTTTTTAGAAGAGGGCGGAGCTACAATGCCTGTGTGTCAGCATAGTGGCAGATTCAAAACAAGACTAGCGTTATCTGTGTACAAAAGGTCATTTCAAAGGTCAAGGTGATGGTGTGTGTGTGTGTGTGTTACCTTCTTCTCTTGCTGGTGTGTGTAGTAGATGTACAGTATGTCTCCAATTTGAGCTCCAGCACCGCTGACCTGCTCCAACATCACACACACATCCTCCCACTGATACGGCGTCCAGTCCCTCCACCAGCACATAGAGCCCTGCGTCACTCGCACACTCTGTCACACACACACACACACACACACGTACAACCCCAAATCAGAACAGGTTGGGACAGTATGGAAAACGCAAATAAAAAAGACCGTGGTGGTTTCTAAATTTACTTTGACTTGTCTTTCATTGCAGACATTGTTTAATGTGTTCATCGTTTATTTTTTTCTAAATAAGCAAGTATTCCAGTTTTGGTTTTTACAGCACATTTAAAAATAGGTTAACAGGAAAGAATTCCCCGCTTTGTATTGCTGCCGTTCCTTTTCACAACACCTAAAAGACGATTAGGGACTGAAGACCTCGAATGATGACGTGTTTCAGGTGTCATTTTGTCCCGTTCTTCCTGCAAACAAGTCTTAAGGGGGGCAACAGTACGGGGTCTTTGTTGTTTCAAAATATGCCACGCATTCTCTATTGGAGACAGGTCAGGACTGCAGGCAGGCCAGTCCAGTACCTGTATCCTCTTCCTCCACAGCAGGACTCTGTAATGTGTGCAGAATGTGGTTCTGCATTGTCTTGTTGACATATGCATGGGTGTTCCAGGAGAAGAAGGCAGCAGATTGTGCTCCAAAATCTCTGTGTGCATTTCAGCACTAATAGAGCATCACTGAAGTGCAGGTTACCTTTGCCAAAGGCACCGACACAACCCCATACCATGACATGACTTTGTTGACTTGTTACGTGTTTAAGTTATTAAGATAATTAATGGATGAAACGTAACAGTCAGTGAGTCTAATGATGCTGGATGAAAAAGGAGAAGACACAACTGCTGGATAAGTGAAACAAAAGTATTTATTTAACAGAGAATGTCAAGCAATGAATATAGGAAATGGCATTTAAATGTAACTCTAAATAATCGAATTAAACAAAGAAAACAGCAGTGTTGCCAAAACAAAGAAATACACGTAACAAAATGATCTAACTAAACCAGGGGTCATCAAACTTGTTTCTGTAGGGCCGGTGTCCTGCAGATTTTAGCTACAACCCTAATCAAACACACCTGAACCAGCTAATCAAGGTCTTACTAGCAGGGCCGGAGCAAACTGAACTACCGCTCTAGGCAGAGGACGATCACGCCGCCCTCAACCTCAATGTGAAAACGAAAGTGACCGGTTATGAAAATGAAGTGAGGTGTCGCGGACCTCTTTTCTGCCGCCCTATGCGCGGATATAACTGAGGACGTGCGGGTGCTGAGGGAGGGAGGGAGGGAGGGAGGTGTCGCGGACACCGCGCTCTCTATTCTGCCGCCCTATGCGCGGATATAACTGAGGACGCGCGGGTGCTGAGGGAGGGAGGGGGGTGTCGCGGACACCGCGCTCTCTATTCTGCCGCCCTATGCGCGGATATAACTGAGGACGCGGGAGTGTCGCGAACCTCTATTCTGCCGCCCTATGCTCGGATATAACTGAAGACACGCGGATGCTGATGGAGGTGTCGCTGACGCCGCCCTCTCTATTCTGTCGTCTATGCACGAACATATCTGAGGACGCGGGTGGTAAGGGAGGTGTCGCGGACATAACTGAGAATGCGGGTGGTAAGGGAGGTATCGAGGACACCGCCTTCTCTATACTGCCGCCCTAGGCGGCCGCCTAGGTCGCCTCAATGGACGCGCCGGCCCTGCTTACTAGATATACTTGAAACACCCAGACAGGTGTGTTGAGGCAAGTTGGAACTAAACACAGTAGGGTCACCGGCCCTCCAGGACCACGATTGGTGACCCCCGCACTTAAACTAACCTAAGAAAAATGCAAGAAAACAAAATCGTAATCTTCAGCACGTCACTTAACTAAACTTTATAACTACTTCAAGACATAATTAACACATGTGGCAACGCCTCCATAAACTAACGAACACATAGAGAGACTAAGCTGCTCACATTACTGGAGTTCTTGTAAAGTACACTCTGTTAGCCATTAGCAAAACAAGATCTCATATAATCCAATTCTCATAAAGATCGTTCAACTTCGCAATAGATAATTAGCTGAGCTGCACAAGCTTATCTAATAAATCGATCACTTAATCGAGAAAAAACAAGAATACAACAACCAAACTAAGCAAACAAACACAAGGGAACAGACCGGCCGACAGAAGTGAGGAGACTGGCGGTGAGCCAAGCGCTCTTGAAGAACAGCGCAAGCGCACAGGTTTTATACTGTGCAGAACAGCTCCTGATTGGCCAATTGAGTCATGATGGTGATTGAAAGCCCCTTCGACCAATGGTTGCACACCTAATACATGACAGGATTCACAAGCAGAAAAGTGAACGCAAAACAGAAAACCAACAACAAAACAAACGTGAAACGTAACATTCACAATCCTTTGCTTCTTTGGTCTGGAGCACACGGCGTCTATTTCTTCCAAAAAATACTACCTGAAATGTTGATTCATCTGCCCACAGTACATGTTTCCACTAAGTGATGGTCCATCCCAGATGCCTCTAAGCCCAAAGAAGTCGACGATGCTTCTGGACACTGTTAACGTAGGGCTTCCTTTTGGCACAGTGCAGTTTTCATCTGCATTTGTGGATGTAACTCTGTATTGTGGTACTTGACAAAGGTTTGCCGCAGTAGTCCTGAGCCCATGTGCTGATCTGACTAATAGATGAATGAGGACTCTTGATGCAGCGCCCCCTGTGGGATCGGAGATCACGGTTGTTCAGCTTAGGCTTGCGCTCTTGTCCTTTACACACTGAAATTCCTCCAGATTCCTTGAATCTTTTATTGATGTTCAGCACTGCTGAAGGTGAAATATCCACATGTCCTCCTCTCTATCTTTGAGGAACATTGTTTTAAACATTTCAATCATTTTCTCATGTATTTGTTGGCAAAATTGTCGATCCTCAGCCCATCTTTGCTCCTAAAGAACTAGACCTTACTTGATGCAGCTTTTGTACCACAATCACCTGCTGACATCACCTGTTTCACATCATTAGTTGACCAGTTTACCTGATAGCTAGCCTGTCACAACATTTCCTGGAATGTGTTGCAAGAACCAAAACTGAAATACGTGTTTATTTAATAAAATAAAAACAATAATAAATCATGAGGAACACATTCAATAATGTCTGCTGTATTGTCTGCAATAAGTATATGTGGAAATCCCTACTTTCTTTATTAATATGCATTTTCCATACTGTATATCAGTGTTTTCTTGAGAGTGTGAGTGGTCTAGCACAGGTGTCTGCTGGGCGTGTAGGTGCTGTACCTGGTCTGCGCAGGCGTCTCTGTGCTGCTGTGCTGCTGCCGTGTGTGTGTCTGCAGCTCTGAGTGCAGGAGTGATGGATGGAGAGAGCGGCTCTGCATCTGATACACAAACACACACACACAATTGTGATCGCTGCTCTAAAATAAGTCCTTTATTTTAAAGTCTGGGTAAAAAACAGCAACAATTTCCCTGATTAAACACTGCGGGCTCTACTTTAACTATCTTGGCGCAACGTCTAAAGTGCATGGCGGAGAAGCATTAAGGGTGTCCGAATCCACTTTTGCTATTTTAAGGATAGGTAAATCTGTTCTGCGGCCAGCGCATGGTCTAACAGGCTAGTGCTCTTAATGAGTTCTGGGTGTGTGTTGAGCATAACCTGCATTAAACCAATCAGAGTCTCGACTCCCATTCCCTTTAAGAGTCATGGAGGATTTGCTATTTACATGTTGGACTCTGTAAATGTAAAAACTGAACGCTTTACTAGCCAGAAAACAGTTAAACAGAGCATCTGCAGCGCGAGGATAAAGAACGAGCCACCTCCATTCAGCCTCTTTACCTTACTTTTACTCTTTACTCCTTTACTTTGCTGGAGTGAGGAAACCCTGGAAACTCACTCCAATGAACACATCCATCAGCCCACATGTTTAATTTCCTTTGTTAAACACAAAGATTTGCTTCAAAACTATTTCTAAATTCAGCTCTAATCTCCAGCAAAGGAATAAGTGAACAATAATAATGAAGTGTGGTCAGAAAACTGAGTTATATCCAAACACACGTCCTGTTCTTATCCACATATGCTGATGCAGACGACTCCAAAACCCCACAGCTGAACAAATCTACACTTGTGTTTATTAAAGCAGAAATAAATCTGCATATAATCAATAATACTGCTGATAATAATCACATTATACAGATGCAGATCGTCATGAATAAACTGAAAAGAGGTATGAAGAAGTCATGGAGGCGGTGGTGTTTACATTGATGTTGAAAATCATCATTTCTGGATTATTTTAATCCTTTGTGTTCATCTGTAAAGATATTTGTGTGTCCTGTGTTTGTTCAGCAGTGTGTGAGCAATTGGACCTGCGTAGGTGCATACTAACGCGCTCTGCGCTGGACTTTAGAGCGGCTTTTAGTTGGTCAATGTCGGCCTATTTCAGATCCTCAAAATAGCAGCGCTCCAAAAATGCGCCTTAACACCCCTCCTTTATAGAGCAGCACACACATGAGCAGGGCCAGACGGAATCTGCGGATTTTCTTTGCTATTTCTGCGGAGGATTTTGGTAAAAATCTGCAGATTTCTGCAGAATTATTTTGGGAGTATCCAGCGGAGTATCATAACTAAAACCTTAATATATTAAATTAAAAGTCATAAATTACAGAATAAAAACTGAACTAAATTCATATTTACACATTTACTCAAGTAAATAAATAGACTTGATAATGGGCTAAAAATCTCCAGAAATCTGTGGAAAATCTGCGCGCGCAGATTCCGTGTGGGCCTACACATGAGTCCACAAAGTGGCGCAAATGGATTTGCTATTCAAACAACATGGCGCAAAATGTGGAAATTACAGTTGCGCTGGTCTAAAAATAGCAGCAAATCGTGCCAAACGTGTCTTGCACCCTTATTGTGCCGGGTGTATGATAGAGCCCTATATATTTTATTTTAAGAAACATTTTTAATATTTTGGAGCTGTAAATATGTCCGGCTTAACAATTCAAATAAATCATTGACGTCTGCTGTCTTCATTAGTCTCAAAAACACTGATCAACATCTAGCCAGGCCCGGATTGGCTAATCAGGAGGACCGGGAGAATTCCCGGTGGGCCGGTCTGTTTTTTGGCCGTGAGGGCCGGTGTCCCTAGCTGCTTGCACTCTCAGCAGTCACACTTTTTTCTTCTATTTATTTATTTGACCATAGCTTCACTCTTTTTATTCATTATTTTGCCGCAGTGCCGCTCTTTTTATTAATTTTCTCGCAGCCCCGTGAGAAAAATGCAGCCTGCAGGTTAACTAACGATAATGATGATGATGTAATGCAATTATCGACCCCAAACAGCGGCACCTTAGTGAATATAAGAATTCGAATAAAATGAATATTACACCTGCTCAATGAAAATCAGATGATTCACTACATTAATAAATCTGACATAACTTGATCAGATGATCTAAAAATGGGAGAAAAAGATTGAGCCATCAAAAGAAAGTAGTGCTGTGTCTTGAGGGTCGCAAGTCATTAGTTATTTTTTACTCTCACTGTAATAGTGCCATTGTGGTCCAGTGGTGAGCACGTTGCGTCAGGGGCGCCCCCAAGGGGTGGCCAGGGGTGGCCGTTGGTAAACTCTGGCCACCCCTTTGGCCACCCCAATATAGTTTTGCTGTTGACATTATTGAAGTAAATTATAAATTCCCAATTTTTAAATAAATAAAATGCAGCCACTAAATTATTGTTGGTGTTACTGACGTAGCTGATTCATTGTCTCTCTCCCTTAGTGCTGTTTCAATGCTGAATGCTGGTGAAAGCAAACTGACGCATGCGCGCAGAAAACCATTCCCGCGCCTCACGCACTCCTGTGTGAATCCCGGTTGGTTGTTTGCATGCACGCCGACAAAATACGCGCCGCTCATGCGCCGTGAAACGCAGTAACAGCCTTTTGTGCAGAGGTGAAAGTCGACTAAAGTTTATATAATATGATGATGATGATGATGATGATGTTACTTTCACTAAGCATGCCTTTAAAAGGGATGATGAGTCAGGGAGGTAAGACTTCATAACATGATTTCTCAGCCATGATCTGGTCTAAGACCACAGATAATTCTATAATACATTTTTTGTATTCTTTAGAATTGTCATAATTCATTTTTATGCAAAAGTTTTCTTAAGTGATCTTGGCATGTCACTCCAGTTGTTGTTTTCCAGTAATATTTAGGATTGATTTCTGTTATTTATTCAGAACATTAATTGTATAATAATATAAATTTTATTTATTTAAAATAAATATACATAAATTGTTATATTTATTGAGTAACAAATCTAACAATTCAAGAGAGGTGGGGGTGTATATGGTGGTTCGCCCAGGGTGTCATTTAAACTAGAACCACCACTGCCCTCCCCGATCGTCGTTGACAGCACGCACACACCTTCAATAGACAGCAATGGCAATTTAATATTTACCTTAAGGTACAGTCTATCAATAGAAGAAGCTGCATTAATAAAATGGCTCAAAAAGTAACATGGATAAATGATATTATTAGGTATAGTGAGTGTGTATAGTAATGCCTTTTATTCAGTTTGTTCATTTGTTTGGGTAATTAATAAACTCATTATTCTTTCATTCATTTTCTTGTCGGCTTAGTTTCTTTATTAATCCAGGGTTGCCACAGTGGAATGAACCACCAACTTATCCAGCACATTTTTACACAGTGGATGCCCTTCCAGCTGCAACCCATCTCTGGGAATAATAAACTCATTAATCTTCATTAATTTTAGACATGGCATATACCGTATGATGTACAATAAAAGCACGTAAAAAGTTATTTATACAGTATATATATATATGAAAAGTGTTTTTAAACTAAACATAGATTTTTATTTGGTTTGCACATGTACTTCCTGAATTACTTCAAGGAATAAATACCAATATTTCAAGAAGAATTAATTAAATAAAAACTACATTATTACATTTACCAAAAACAAAAATATAACATTACACTGAATTCATAATTGTTTTTGTGTGCCACCCCAAGATTTGGTGCGGCCTCTTCTGGCCACCCCTAAGAAAAATTTCTGGGGGCGCTACTGCGTTGCGTTTCAATGCCGCGGACCCGTGTTCGAATCTCACCTGAAAGTTTTTATTTATTATTATTATTATTTTTTTGTTAAGACATATAATACTGTTAGGGTTGTTGAACGTTTGAATTTCTAAAGCAGCTGTTTTCTTGAAAAAAGACGCAATAGTGAAATTAGAAACTGAATTGGAATCAGTCGTGAACTGAGGTGGGCCGGTCTGGCTTGAAACTCCAGGGCTGAAAATGAGTCCCACTCCGGCCCTGCATCTAGCGCTCAGCATCTTAAATCTTTGAAAGTTTTAATATTTATTCATTCATTCATTTTCTTGTCGGCTTAGTCCCTTTATTAATCCGGGGTGGCCACAGCGGAATGAACCGCCAACTTATCCAGCAAGTTTTTACGCAGCGGATGCCCTTCCAGCCGCAACCCATCTCTGGGAAAGTTTTAATATTGAGATTTTTTTAATAATGTATGCACATTTATATGTATTTATGTATGTTTTAAATCATATTTGCATCAAATTACACTAAACGAATGAGTGCAAGTGTGAGGTGTGTGTAATGCAGTGTGTACGGAGGCATTATTCTCTCTTCCGGCTGCCGTTATCAGTCTCACACTATTGTTTTCCTCTTTCTGAAAGACTTGATAACACCATCCTGGAGTTTTCCTGTCATTATTTCAGCTAATAGGATTGTATTAGTCGTACTCTCCCATTCACTGCGCTCTGAGTTTACCAACTATGACCTCTTCTGCTGCCGAGAAACACGCTCCATTCGAAAAGTGTGACCATTAAAAAAAGTACCTGTGCTATGAAAGCACTGGAGGCCAGCGCAGGAAGTGATGTCACATCCTCCGGCGGTGACCCACGCCCAGGGGGGGGTCTCCTCCTGCAGCACACTGCTGGTGCTGTTCTGCATCTGAATGGGGACGGTGGCCACAGACGCCCGCTTCTCCTGCAGGTCCACGGTGCTCCACGGCGCATCAGAGGGGATGCTGGGTAATGATGGTCCAGGCTTCTGCTCTCCTTCAGGTCCTGTAGGGCGATCAGACACCAGCGCAGAGATGAAGCTGTCACTGCTGATCTTCGGGACGTGTGCTTTGGGGTTTTCGTCATCGTGGTCGTCCTCACAGCTCAGAACTGAGCCCTGCGACGGGGCGGTGACATCACCAGCGAAGACTGTGACATCACTGAGGGAGATATTAGAGATGGAGGGTCAAATTTTATCATGAAGATTTGATCATGATATATTGTGATATATCATGATATTGACTTACTTTAACGGGTATAAATAACAAAAAATACTCAGATTATTGCATTATTGTACAGTAAATTATTAGTTTTAATAAGTTTTAATAACTCATGTCTAATAACTGATTACATTTCTCTTTGCCATGACGACAGCACATAATATTAGACTAGATATTCTTCAAGACACTAGTATTCAGCTTAAAGTGACATGTAAAGGCTTTACTAGGGTAATTAGGGTAAAGTTAGGGTAATTAGGCAAGTCATTGTATAACAGTGGTTTGTTCTGGAGACAATCCAACACTAATATTGCTGAAGGGGCGAATAATATTGACCTTAAAATGGCTTTAAAACAATTAAGAACTGATTTTATTCTAGCCGAAATAAAACAAATCAAACTTTCTCCAGAAGAACAGATATTAGAGGAAATACTGTGAGAAATTCCTGAATCTGTTTAACATCATTTGGGAAACATCTGAAAATTAAATTCACAGGAGTGTGAATAAGTCTGACTTAGCTGTATATAAATGGAGAAATTCAGATAGAGTCAGACAGATTTGGCTCCATCTGCTGGATAAGCGCAATATTAATTAAAAAAAAAACTAAATTAAAGAAAAAATATATATTTTAATCTTAACTAAAGAAAATTTTAAATAATTATATTATGTAATAATAATAATATTTTTTTTAATTATTTTTTCGAATAGTAAATTAAATTACATTAAAATGATATGATATGAAAATGAAAGCACACATATTAAAAGATTCAACTAGAAACATGGTTAACTTGGTTTAATAAGATGTGATTAACATAAAATAAACATACTGCATAAACTAGAATGATTAAATTAACATATATTGCAAAACAACATTTGAATAGCACATTGGAAAAAAAAACAAATAAGGCAATTTGCTGCAAAGCTTTTAAGTACAATAACAATAATAATAATGATGATAATATTATTAATAATAATAATAGCAAAATAATAATAATAATATTAATAATAATAATATTAGCAATAACAATAATAATAATTATAATAATAATGATAGCAAAAATAATGATAATAATATTAATAATAATAATAGTAATAATAATGATAATAATATTAATAATAATAATAGCAATAATAATGATAATAATATTAATTATAATAATAATGATGATAATATTAATAATATTAATAATAATAGCAGTAACAATAATAATAATAATAATAATAGCAATAATAATGATAATAATATTAATTATAATAATAATGATGATAATATTAATAATATTAATAATAATAGCAGTAACAATAATAATAATAATAATAATAATAATAATAGCAATAATAATGATAATAATATTAATAATAATAATTGTAGTAATAATAATAACATTATTAATAATATTAATAATAATAATAGCAATAATAATGATAATAATATTAATAATAATAATTGTAGTAATAATAATAACATTATTAATAATATTAATAATAATAATAGCAATAATAATGATGATAATATTAATAATAATAATTGTAGTAATAATAATAACATTATTAATAATATTAATAATAATTTTAGCAATAATAATATTAATAATAATAATACATTTAATAATAATAATAATGATGATGATGATGATAATAATAATAACAATAATAATGATAATAATAATAATAATAATAATAATAATAATAATAATAATAATAATAATGATGATAATAATGATGATAATAATGATGATAATAATAATAATAATTTAATAAATAGGTTTTTATGCACGCCAGGATTTTGCCAAGTACAATGTAATCCTGGATTACCATCTATGTTGATCCTGGAACATCATATTTGTTTGAAAATGTAATCCATGTCCATTCCCCACCCCTAAACCCAACCATGACGGCAAAATATTCCCAAAATCAGAGGGGGAGAAAAGTTGGATAACAATCATGTAGACGTGCATAAACCTAACCGTTAACATGAACAGTGAACATATGGAATGTAGTTCCAGGATCAACATAGATGTTAATGCTGGAGCATGTCCTACCTGGTGAAATCAGGTTGGCGGTGTTTTTACAGTGCAGTTAAATGTAAATTACAGCTGTTATAGTCATGAACAATTTTTCTTTTCAGGTTTGAGGGGTCAAGGTGTGTGTGTTGATGATGTATGAGTGTTTTTGTTACTTACCTGGAATGATTTGTGCTTTGAAGGCCATCGAGCTGAGCTGACACCGCGACCCATGACCTGCCCGTGACCTCAGACGCTGTTACACCAGCACGAAAATACACCATCCGGTCATCACTGCCAACACCCCACACCTGCGCCCCACACACACACACACACACATTAACTTCAAACATACAGCTCAAGTCAAAATCATTCGCCTTCCTGTTTATATTTCTCAAATCTTTTCCAAATGATGTTGAACAGATTCAGGAATTTCTCACAGCATTTCCTCTAATATTATTTCTTCTGGAGAAAGTCTTATTTGTTTTATTTCGGCTAGAATAAAAGCAGTTTTTAATTGTTTTAAAGCCATTTTAAGGTCAATATTATTCGCCCCCTTCAGCAATATTAGTGTTGGATTGTCTCCAGAACAAACCACTGTTATACAACAACTTGCCTAATTACATTAATGTAAACTCAAAGCAGCAATAGCTGTAATAATCACATCCAAATACTGACAAACATCCTCTAAACATGGACACACAACCACACTGAACAAACACGACACCAAACAATCCCTGCGTCAGTATTTATGAGTTAGCCGGTCATGATCACGAGGTCAGGTCAGTTCAAGTCACTGGTGATTTACGGCTGCGTGAAAAAGTTTTGACCCCCTATTTCTGTATCAGGACATAATAAAAACTATACGGTCCCTTTGGCAGGACTTCAAACGTGTAAGCTAAAACCTCAAATCAACAACATCACATGACATCTCACGGTATTTATTGACTTGAAAAAAATAGGCAAGGGGTGGCTCAGGGGTTAGCACTGTGGCCTCACAGATAGAAGGTTGCTAGTTCGAGTCCCATCTGGGACATTTGGCATTTCTGTGTGGAGTTTGCATGTTCTCCCCGTGCTGGCGTGACTTTCCCCTACAGTCCAAACACATGTGCTATAGGGGAATTGATGAACTAAATCGGCTGTAGTGTGTGAGTGTGTGTGAATGAGTGTGTATGGGTGTTTCCCAGTACTGGTAGTGCATCTGCGGTGTAAGACATATGCTGGAATAGTTGGTGGTTCATATTCAAATACGCTGATGAGCTCTGTGTATACAGTCAAGCTTGAAATTATTCATACTCCTGGCAAATTCTGACTTAAAGTTGGTTTTGGTTAGCACACAAAAACATTAACGTTTTGCAGTGGCCTAGCCGGAGTCCTGACTTAAACCCAATTGAGAATGCTTTTTTTATTGATTATTGAGATTATTAAGAATAGGGTTTTCCCCAAGGACAAGTACTTGGACCGCTGGAGCTGTCCACACATAGGGAAAATGAATACTATAATATATGAGCAGCAAAAATTAAAGGTCCCATGAAATTACAATAAAAAAAATAGATGTATCAGTCTGTTAGTATTAATGATATCTATAAGCTAGAGCATATATGATAACCAACTTAAACTGACTTAAAATTGGTTATGGTTAGCAGACAAACACATGAATGTTTTGCAGTGGCCAAGCCAGAGTCCTGATATAAACCTAATTGAGAGTCTGTGAGAGTTTTGTTTCCACAATGATGCCTCTAGTACATCGTCTCATTATCTTTTGAGAGAAGCCTGTGTTATTTTCGATTTAAAAAAAACGTGGTATATACAGGGCTCAGAATAAATGAGTACATCCAATTATGAAAATGAATATATTTATCAATTTCTCAGAGAATATCGGTCATATTTTTGGTGCATTTAAACAAAACAGATTTATTGAACAGATTTATTTATTAAAATAATACTTTAGTTAGCCGAACATCTTTAGAAATAGAAGTATAACGCATTTAAATTCAAGTGAAATATTGCGAAAAACAAATTACAAACTACATAATTTCAACTAAATTTTATAAATGTTTTGCTTCTCTTGATTTTATTACTCTTTTCAAATGTTTATTTAATATGTTTTCCTAATATATACATTTATGTGTGCTCATTTGTGGACTATTATCATAAATTATTTTGTTAGATTAGCTCCAGATTTGGCTAATCTAATGTATATGCACAAATATAGTATTATAAAGCATGTTGTAGAAAATATTCATTTAAAAGATCATTTGTGTGTGGTGTACTCATATACGCTGAGCACTGTATATACAGTCAAGCCTGCAATTATTCATACGTGAAATGGTTAGCAGACAAACACATGAGTGTTTTGCAGTGGCCTAGCCAGAGTCCTGACATAAACCTAATTGAGAATCTGTGAAAGATCAGGGTGATGGCAAGGAAACCCTCCAAGCTGAAAGAGTTTTTTTTTTCCACAATGAGGCTTCCTGTACATTATCTTATTACCTTTTGGGAGAAGCCTGTGTTATTTCCAATAAAAACTTGCTGGTATGTACAGTGCTCAGCATAAATGAGTACACACCGTTTTATAAATTAATATTTTACTCTATTTCTCAGTGAATATCGGTCATATTTTTGGTGCATTTAAACAAAACAGATTTATTGAACAGATTTATTTATTAAAATAATATTTTAGTTAGCCGAACATCTTTAGAAATAGAAGTATAACGCATTTAAATTCAAGTGAAATATTGCGGAAAAACAAATTACAAACTACATAATTTCAACTAAATTTTATAAATGTTTGACTTCTCTTGATTTTATTAGACTTTTTAACATTTTTATTTAATATGTTTCCCTAATATATACATTTATGTGTGCTCATTTGTGGACTATTATCATAAATTATTTTGTTAGATTAGCTCCAGATTTGGCTAATCTAATGTATATGCACAAATATAGTATTATAAAGCATATTGTAGAAAATATTCATTTAAAAGATCATTTGTGTGTGGTGTACTCATATACGCTGAGCACTGTATATACAGTCAAGCCTGCAATTATTCATACTCCTGGCAAATTCTGACTTAAAGTTGGTTATGGTAAGCAGACAAAATGGTTAGCAGACAAACCAAGAGTGTTTTGCAGTGGCCTAGCCAGAGTCCTGACATAAACCTAATTGAGAATCTGTGGAGGAGCTAAAGATCAGGGTGATGGCAAGGAGACCCTCCAACCTGAAAGAGTTTTTTTCCACAATGACGTTTCCTGTACATTATCTTATTACCTTTTGGGAGAAGCCTGTGTTATTTCCAATAAAAACTTGCTGGTATGTACAGTGCTCAGCATAAATGAGTACACACCGTTTTATAATTTAATATTTTTATCCATTTCTCAGTGAATATCGGTCATATATTTTGGTGCATTTGAGCAAAACAGATTTATTAAATTGATATATTTGTTAAATTAACATTTAAGTCACCGAACATATTTAGCGAGCAAAAATATAATACACTTAAATTCATGTGAAATATTGCTTTTTTTTTTCATTTTTATTTAATATTTTCCCCTAACATAAATTTGGTCAACTAATGGACAGTTATTCTGAGTTATTTTGTTAGATAAGCTCCAGATTTTGCTTCAATACTTACTAATCTAGTGTATGTGCACAAATAAAATACTGTGTAGCTTCCTATCAAAAATATTAAATAAAAACAGATTTGTGAGAGGTGTACTCATATACGCTGAGCACTGTATGTACAGTCAAGCCTGAAATTATTCATACCCCTGGCAAATTCTGACTTCAAGTTGGTAACTTTAAGCAGACAAAATAATTGGCAGACAAAAAACATGAGTGTTTTGCAGTGGCCCAGCCAGAGTCCTGACCTAAACCTAGTTGAGAATCTGTGGAGGAGCTAAAGATCAGGGTGATGGCAGAGAGATGTTAAGTGTATATATAGTGTAATATCATTTTTTAAATGTCTAGATACTTTTCATTCACACTCTAAAGAACTTATCTTAATATATTAGTTTTTTATACGTGTTTATAAAGCTGCGGCCGCACATGATAATTGTGTACATGTGATATATGATAATATATTTATGAAATTAATTTTAGCACAAAAGTTTTGATGAATCGTCTTGAAAACATCCTTATTTCTTCGAGAGTTGGGTTGTGGCTGGAAGGGCATCCGCTGCGTAAAAACGTGATGGATAAGTTGGCGGTTCATTCCGCAGTGGCGACCCCAGATTAATAAAGGGACTAAGCCGACAAGAAAATGAATGAATGAATGAACATCCTTATTTCACGTATAGATTTGTGCATACGCATGCTTAGTGAATGAAACCTATTGGTTCTGATTAAACCAAATTAAGAAGCAGGATGAGACATGAGTGCCGCAGCTCCACAGCGCTCAGTGATGAAGTATGAACCAGTGGAACTCTTTCAATCTCAAATTAGATGCTCCCATATGGCTGTGTGTGTGTGTGTGTATATATATATATATATATATATATATATATATATATATATATATATATATATATATATATATATATATATATATATATACACACACACACACTCGCACAGTTAAAGTCAGAATTATTAGCCACCCTGTATATTTTATTCCCCAATTTCTGTTTAATGGAAAGGGAATTTTGCAACACATTTCTAACCATGTTAGTTTTTATAACTGATTTCTTTACTCTTTGCCATGATGACAGCACATAATCTTAGACTAGATATTCTTCAAGACACTAGTGTTCAGCTTAAAGTGACATGTAAAGGCTTCACTAGGGTAATTAGGGTAAAGTTAGGGTAAGTAGGCAAGGCATTGTATAACAGTGGTTTGTGCTGGAGACAATCCAACACTAATATTGCTGAAGGGGGCGAATAATATTGACCTTCAAATAGCCTTAAAACAATTAAAAACTGCTTTTATTCTAGCTGAAATAAAACAAATAAGACTTTCTCCAGAAGAACAAAATATTATAGAAGATACCGTGAAAAATTACTTGCTCTGTAAACATTATTTGGGAAATATTTGGTAAAAAAAAAAATAAAATCACAGGAGGGCTAATAATTATGACTTCAACTGTATATGGCTGGGCTGAGCGGGACAAGAAGAACCAAAAAAAGCTCAGTGAGAGAGGCTTTGCAGAGCTTGCAAACTCCACACTGAGACTCTAGAAATCAACACGCACCGACACCTGACGCCTTACATGCCGGAGGGCGGAGCCAGCTGCAGCCGAAGAAGCTGATTGGGCAGTGGGTGTTTGTGTGTATAAACATGGACTGTGCATACAGTTGGGTGTACATATTGGTCTGCGGATCTGAGGATCTAATGACAGCTAATCCTCAAAGCTACATGTGAGAACAGGAGTGTAATGAGAGCCGTCTGAAGGGTGTCCCCCAAGGGCAAGCTGGAGTTGCCCACACATGGGTAACCGATTACTATAATATATGGGCAGCAATGATTAAAGGTCCTGTATAATTAAAATAAAAAAACGTAGCTGTTAGTATCAGTCTTTTAGTCTGAAGGACATCTATAAGCTAGTGCGTAAATAATAACCAACTTAAAGGTGGCTATGGTTAGCAGAACAAAATAGTAAGCAAACAAAAACATTTGCGTTTCGCAGTGGCTTAGCCAGAGTCCTGACTTAAACCCAATTGAGAAGGCTTTTCTACTGATTATTGAGATTATTAAGAATAGGGTGTCCCCCAAAGGCAAGAACGGGCACCTTTAGAGTTGTCCACACATGGGAAAAATGATTACTATAATAGTAAGGTGCCTTGAAATTAAAAAACAAAAATGTAGATGTAAGTATCAGTATGTTAGTCTGAAGGACATGTATAAACTAGTGCGTTTATAATAACCAACCTAAAGTTGGTTTTGGTTAGCAGACAAAAACATTAACGTTTTGCAGTGGCCCAGCCATTAAGTCCTGACTTAAACCCAATTGAGAAGGCTTTTCTCCTCATTATTGAGATTATTGAGAATAGGGTGTCCGCTGAAGTTGTCCACACAATTAAAAAACGCAGATGTTAGTTTCAGTCTGATAATTTTAAGCATGTCTATGAGCTAGTGCATACACAGGGTGACTCAAAAAGAATAATACAACTTTAAAAATCTGTATTTAATAAAAAAAAAAATTATGAAACCTTGGGTAATTAATCAATGTGAGGAGTACTTAAAGTTTTTTTCAGAAGAAAACAAGTTCATTGATGTTCACTGGAGTGACATTAACCTGAAAGTTGTGGTATTCTTTTTGAATCACCCTGTATAATAAACGACTTAAACTGACTTAAAGTTGGCTATGGTTAGCAGACAAAAAAGCATTAACGTTTTGCAGTGGCCTAGCCAGAGTCCTGACTTAAACCTGATTGAGAAGGCTTTTTTATTGATTATTGAAATTATTGAGAATAGGGTACACCCCAAGGACAAGTACTGGGACCACTGGAGCTGTCCACACATGGGGAAAATGATTACTATAATATATGAGCAGAAACAATTAAAGGTCCCGTGAAATTACAATAAAAAAACAGATGTTAGTATGAATTAAGGACCTCTATAGGCTAGAGCGTATATGATAACCAACTTAAACTGACTTAAAGTTGGTTATGGTTAGCAGACAAAATGGTAAGCAGACAAAAACATGAGTGTTTTGCAGTGGCCCAGCCAGAGTCCTGACATAAACCTAAATGAGAAAGCTTTTCTATTGATTATTGAGATTATTGATAATAAGGTGTACCCCAAGGGCAAGTACTGGGTCCGCTAAAGTTGTCCACACATCTTATGACATAATGGAACCCAATCGACAGACTATTTGCTTGTTTTAGGGAAAAACTCACTAAATTCTGGCATATTATTTCTGAAAACAAGACTTGTCTAGAAAACGCTTCTTGATTAAAGAGCTTTTTTTAAATTCAGACTAGAAACAAGACAGAAACTTTGAGTAAGTTAAGAAATTTTTTGCAGTGTTGAAAGTATAAGATAAAGGTGTACTGATCTCACCTGGTCATTGGGCCCAATGCTGAGCATCACCATCTCTCCAGCAATACTGATCCAGCCTGTGCCAGATGGATTGTGGGAATTCACGCCCCTCCTGAACCAGACCTATATATAAACACACAAAAACACACCGTTACACTAATGTGCTCAATATGCAATCAAATATAAATCACCGCGCGTGTAGTACAGCCATAGTAGGAAAAACAAATAATATTGAAGGCCAATGGTGACAGTAATTTAAAAATATCTTAAATATTACAAAATAAACACGTAAAGGATGACTGAATTTTCATTGGTGTGAAATTTTAAGGGAAAAATGTTCTCGCTTGAAATTTACATTTACGTTTAGTCATTTAGCAGACGCTTTTATCCAAAGCGACTTACAAATGAGGACAAGGAAGCAATTTACACAACTATAAGAGCAACAATGAATAAGTGCTGTAGGGAAGTTTCAGGTGTGTAAAGTGTAAGAAGCAAAATATTAGAATTTTTATTTATTATTATTATTTCTTAGGAAGGGAAGTGGAGACTAAATAATTTAATTTTTAGTCGTTTCTTTAAGACAGCGAGTGACTCTGCCGTTCTGATGCAGTTAGGGAGTTCATTCCACCAACTGGGCAGATTGAACGCGAGAGTTCGGGAAAGTGTTTTCTTCCCTCTTTGGGATGAACCACGAGGCGACGTTCATTCACAGAACGCAAGTTTCTGGAGGGCACATAGATCTGCAGAAGTGAGAGCAGATAAGAAGGAGCAAAGCCAGAGGTCGCTTTGTAGGCAAACATCAGAGCTTTGAATTTGATGCGAGCAGCAACTGGCAGCCAGTGCAAACGGATGAGCAGCGGAGTGACATGTGCTCTTTTAGGTTCATTAAAGACCACTCGTGCTGCTGCGTTCTGAAGCAGATAAAGAGGTTTAATAGATTTAGCTGGAGGCCCGGCTAGTAGAGAGTTTCAATAGTCCAGTCTGGAGAGAACAAGAGCTTGAACAAGGAGTTGAGCTGCATGTTCAGATAGGAACATACACAAACAACTAAAAACAAGTCTAAATGTCCTCGCATGAATTGAATTGAAATGAATTGTACACTCATATTATAAATTCGAGAGTTGCTGGGAGGTAAAATCGGTGTAAATGTAATGAATAGAGTAAATGTGGTCTTACTTTGTTGTCTTTTGTAATGGCCCAAACCACGCTCATCCCCACCGCCACATGAATGGCTCCTTTCTGACTGGGAGGATGCACTAATTCCCAGGATGAGCCTGAACACACAAAACCTCATTTAAAAGGACAGTTCCCCCAAAAACGAACATTCAGGCACTGTTTACTCTCCTTCAAGTGGTTCAAAAACCATTTAAACCACACAAAAGAAGATATTTCGAAGAATGCTGAAAACCGGTAACCATTTACTTCCATAGTAGGAAAATACTAAATACTATGGGATTCAATGGTTTTTAGCATTCTTAAAAATATCTTCTTTTGTGTTTAACAGAAGAAAGAAACTCATAAATGGTTTAAAACAAGTAAAGGGAGAGTAAATGATCCATTGTAGGGTGAACTATGCCTTTAAATATAAGACTTTAACACTTGACATAGACAAGAAATCACTTTAAACAGAGTAATTATCATGGAAACAATATACTGTAAGAGAATCGATATATTTAAAGGGACAGTTCACCCAAAACTGAAAATTCTGTCATCATTTGCTTACCCCTCAATTGTTGTAAGTTTTTTTCTATTGAACACAAAGGAAGATACTTAGAAAAATGCTGTGGGAAAAAAGCCACTGACTTACTGCCAAAGTATTTTTTGTTTCTACTATGGATGTCGATGGCTACCAGTTTACAACATTCTTCAAAATATCTTCCTTTGTGTTCGATAGAAAAATGAAACTCAAACAGAAATGAAATCACTTGAGAGTGAGTAAATGTGAGTGATTTTTATATTTTTTAATATTAGTTTCAGTTTTAATTGTGTAACACACATTTATATTTATATATTCAGTGTGTGTGTGTGTGTGTTGATACCTCAGTCCTGCTAGTGACCCGGCCGTGACCATTAACGCAGTTTGACTGTAAATAGCATGTAGAGTCATGTACAGCATGTACTGTATGTGCTGCATCCTACATGTGTGTGTTCAGAGCGTGTGGGTAAATCTGTGTGTGTGTGTGACACCTGTAGGGCAGTGTTTAGTGATGCCACGTCTGCTCAGCATTTGTCCATCCCACAGAACGACCCACAGCAGGTCTCCGGGCCCCGAGGAGACTTGACAAACCTCCCGCGGGACCTGAACAGAGTCCCAGCGCTCGCCCTCCGGATTCTGCTGTCTGACACCTGACCTGAGCCATAACTGCACACACACACATAAACGCACGGGCGCATGTGAACACACAAGCATGCACATGCACGCACGCACAGAAACGCGCAGACACACACACATGTATGCATGCACGCAGACGAAAACACGCACACAAATAAAAACACACACACACAAACGCACATTCACACACACAGGCATACACACATATGCACATGCACACACACATGAATGCACGCACACTCACGCATACATTCACAGGAACACACACATGAACGCACACACACTCACACATGCATGCACGCACACATTCACACACACACACGCATGAACACACACATACAAGCACACAAACAGACGCGCGCACATGCACAAATGCACATGAACGCACATGCATGCACGCACACACACACACGCATGCACATGAATACATGCACGCGCACAAGCATGCATGCACAAATACATGCACGCGCGCACACACACACACACATGCACGCAAGCACAAATGCACACGTTCACACATGCATGCATACACGCACACACACTCAGGAATGCATAAAAACGCGCACGCACATGCACACACACACACACACACACACACAAATGCACACGCATGCATGCACACAAACACACACACACACACACAAACACACAGACTTGTTTGTTCATACATGTGACAAGAAAAACTGGCAGATTAACCTTGATTCCTCACTAACACACACACACACACACACACACACACACTGCCATTGGGGTAAGCAAAATAATCTGATGTCATAAGGAAAAACTTAGATTATTTGGCTTGTTTTAGCTAAAAACTCACTTCATTTTGACTCATTATTTCTAAAAACAGTACAATATTTTCTGCTTGTCCTGATTGATTTAAGAATTTGTAGATATTTGGACTAGAAAACAGACATAAACTTGACGAAAGAAAAGCATTTTTTCAGCCTGCTGATCAATCAATCAGTAAAACGATGCCATTTATAGAGCATCTTTAACATCAGCACAAGAAAGCTTTGCACAAACTGTCAACCTGCTTGATGTCATATCACTTATAGGCGACAAACCTTTAATTTTTACACTGACAGCACCAAAACTGAAAGTATAATTGTGTATTTTAAATATAATGGCTATTTTTTGGGGGATCATTTTAAACATGAGTTGAAACTGTGCTTAAATTTCAACGTCTAGTAATAAGAAAGCAGGTGAAACGGATCAAATTTCTGCTTTGTTAGTCTTTCTTGTGTTTTTCATCGTCCTCTACCTTTCTATAACCATATTAAACTATTTTAAATGTAATTCATACTTCCCTTAATGTAAAATAAGTCATATCTCTATGGTTTGCACTACAGTTTTGTCTGTTTCATATACATGTTTTGTTGCTCAGTTTCATAGTCATGCTTTTTACATATGCCATGTTGTTATTGCAATAACAAATAATAATAATATTAATAATAATAACAATTGGGTAATCATAGCTAGACACATTTCCAACAAATAAGTCTTTTAACACACTATAAAACAGCCAAAATATTCAGTGGGTGCTTAAAAAACCAAGTGGCTGGAGAACAGTTACATTTACATAATAAATATACAGCAGCAAATAAAAGAGCAACAGCGAGATCTAGTGGTCGCACACTGTAGTGCAGGCACAAGTCAATGTGGAATAAAGTGGAGATAACTTATAAACTGAAATAAAGCAACAAAAAATATAATACTAATAATATGTCAATGAAATTGTCCCCTTGCTGCTAAGTGAAATAGCATGTAAAATATTTACATAACAAATATTAAAAATATATAAATATATAATAGCATTTAAAAATATTGAAAAATAAAACTGGCTGAAATAAAAAAAAAAACCCAGAATGCACCTAAAAAAACACTAAATTAATTTATAATGACAGAGGAAAATATGAAAATCATTATCAGTATAATAAATATTAATTCATAAATAATAAATATAAAAGGAATGAAAAATACTAAATAGTACAATATATAAACACTAAATCAGCGACACAAGAACAGAACTGAAGAATTAAATCTATAGTTTTATGTAATTGTTCAGTGAGAACTATTAAAAATCATTATATAACTATTAGCATAAACTATTCTGAATAGTTAATAGCTAATATATGTTAACAACTGAATAGGAAAGAAATAATGGATTACAAATACTGAAATAAATTGATATAAGACAGTTAAAACTGAAATAAATGTTGAGAGTTATTCACAGTAAATATAACATTATTTAAGTTTATCCAAATAAAATATTATTAATAATAATAATAGTAATAGTAATAATAATAGCAATAGCAAAAATCCTAGAAATAATATTAGTAATAATAATAATAAAAGTAATAATAACAACAATAGCAATAATAATAGTAAATATAATAATAGTGATAATATTAATAATAATAATGATAATGATAATAATAATGATAATATAATAATAATAATGATGATGATAATAATAATAATAATAATAATGATGATAATAATAAATATTAATAATAAAAATAAATAATAATAATAATAATAATAATATGAAAATATATATTTTTAAATTATCCTAAATCTAAAACTACAATTCAAGGGTGAAAATATTATTAATTCAAAATAATAATAACAATAATAATTTTTAATTAAAACATATTTTATATTAATAGTGCTTTTGAATTGCATTATGGGATCTTGATCTTTCTTCCAACAACTATAACCTTTGATAAGTTGTATAAAGTGACTTTTATGAACATTTGTAATAGTCTGTAGTGTTATATTGTGTGTGTTGGTGTTGTATATTACTCTACAAACACCTTGTAATAAACTGCAGCACATTTGCTGTTATTTTAAAGACTTATATTCTCTAGATATTATATTCCAAACCACTAAAAGTAAAAAAAAGTCACTTTGTAAAACTGCAGAGTTTAATTTTCATCATCGAAAGTGGACAGAGCAGAGATCAACATCCCATAATGCAATTCACAACCACAAATAAACACAGAACAATTCATTAACTTCCATGGAAAGTTTCCAGCCTAGAAACTTCCGGTAGTTTTGCCTGACCTGACCTGTCCTTGCTGAGAAACGGCCCACAGATGAATGTATTTCTCTGGGTCGTCACTAATACTCCAGCCGCCGCAGCTAATGTCAATGAAGGGCTCTGGAGGGACTCGGCCTCGGTCCACACACACCTGAAATATAACAGTTTTAATAACTCATTTCCAATTGTTCATTTCTTTTATATTTGCCATGATGACAGCACATAATATTAGACTAGATATTCTTCAAGGAATCCATTGCTTTAAACATATGCTAAGTTAGTGGTTCATTCCACTGTGGCAACCCCTGATAAAATAAAGGGACTAAGCCCAAGGAAAATTAATGAATGATACTGCAAACAATAAAATATCGTCCATCCCTACAAAATGTCCCCAAAAGATGTTATTGTCAACACTCCACAGCCCTTATCCCAATAAAAAGAAAAAAAAAGTCAATCTTGTGGGGTGTGGACCTGTGATTGTACCTTAGCCCATGATCCCAGAGCTTTGTATCTCCTGTAGCGAAGCCATCGCCGGCGACGAACACATGAATTCCACTTCTTCTCTTTAGTGAAGGTTGCAGGAAAGTCCACAGCGTACTCCCAGCCCTGAACACAATACAGCCATTCTGACAACTAACATTCATGACCTTTTATGTGGAATAGGCATGGGATGATAACTGGTTTCAAGGTTTATCGTGGTTTAATACGTCCCAGGTGCTGCGTTTTTTGCAGTTTTTGTTTTCGCGACTCCACCAGAGGTTGATATGTGTACACTTTTTCATATCTCAAATTTATCTCACCAGTGCCATTCACGCCTGCTGTTCACACGTAAATCCACCAGAGGCCGCTGTTGACTGACTGACAAACTGTTCGACTGACCCACCCTTCTCCTTCCCTAAACCCAACTGATAGTGTTTTCAAAAGCACCGACTGACCCGCCCACCGCCTTCCCTAAACCCAACTGACAGTGTTTTCAAAAGCACTGACTTACCCGTCGACCCACTTCCCTAAACCCAACCGATAGTTTACAGAAGCACCGATTTGACCAGCGCCCACCCGCTACCCCAAACCTAACCGTTGGTGTTTAGAGAAGCACCGATTGACCCGATCACCCACTTCCCCAAACCCAACCGATAGTGTTTAGAGAAGTACCGATCGACCCGATCACCCACTTCCCTAAACCCAACCGATAGTGTTTTCCAAAGCACAGATTGACCCGAATACCCACTTTCCTAAATCCAACCGATAGTGTTTTCAAGAGCACAGATTAACCCGATCACCCACTTGCCTTAACCTAACCGATAGTGTTTTCAAAAGCACAGATTGACCCGATCACCCATTTCCCTTAACCCAAGAAACAGTGTTTACAGATGCACCGATTGACCCGATCACCCACTTCCCTAAACCCAACCAATAGTGTTTTCAAAAGCACAGATTGACCTGATCACCCACTTCCCTAAACCCAACCGATAGTGTTTTCAAAAGCACAGATTGACCCGATCACCCACTTCCCTAAACCCAAGTGACAGTGTTTAGAGAAGCACCAATTGACCCGATCACCCACTTCCCTAAACCCAAGTGACAGTGTTTAGAGAAGCACCGATTGACCCGATCCCCCACTTCCCTAAACCCAACCGATAGTGTTTTCAAAAGCACAGATTGACCCGTTCAACCAATTCCCTGAACCCAAGTGACAGTGTTTACAGATGCACCGATTGATCCGATCACCCACTTCCCTAAATCCAGCGCTTAATTTGTGCCTGAACACGTCGAATCCATACCCGGCACCTCTGAAATCTGATCCAGCACCTCATTTTACCAATCCCCCTCATCAAATGCCCTGTCCACTGTTCACTTTCACTTTCTTTTGCCACTCCCCAACCTTCTTCACTTTCATCCGCGACACCCCTCTGCCTTACACCTCCAACACCACCCTCCCCACTCTACACTATTGTGCGTGACACCTCTCCATTTTTGGGTAACATGCCAGATCCATTACCCCGATCTGTTACGGGACCTCGCAATTCACAAATTAAGCACTGCCTAAACCCAACCGATAGTGTTTACGGAGGCACCAATTGATCCGATCACCCATTTACCTAAACCCAACCGATAGTGTTTACAGAGGCACCGATTGATCCAATCACTCACTTCCCTAAACCCAACCGATAGTGTTTACGGAGGCACCAATTGATCCGATCACCTCCTTCCATAAACCCAACCAACAGTGTTTTTAAAAGCACTGATTGATCGATTGACTCTTAAAATAAAATGTGTTCAATTGGGAAAAAAAGATGTTGATTTTTACCCAGAAATTACTATTGCTATTATTATTATTTTTTATTTTAATCCAAGGTTATTATACTGTCAGAATATTATATCAGCCCATAGTGTGACCTAGGCATTAGTGGTATGTAAATGATGTGTAAATGTGTGTTGGTGTTCCTCACCCCGGTCTCGGTGGACTCTCTCCCACAGCTTTCGTCATCCACGTACCAGTCTCCCTCCCACTCCCAGTTAGCAGACGGCAGCTGGAAACTGTGCAGAGGCTGAGGGTTCGAGCCGGACTCATCCGTCCACTGCCAGCGGTCCGTCGGCAGAAGAGCATCTGTGTACCCATCCACCGGGTTCCACCTCTGCACAACACACAGATAACACCAGACTCACACTCATATACACTATATTATATACTATAAATGACAATAGTATATTTTCTCACCTGGTTCTCGTAGGTCTCCTCCTGGTGTCGAATAGGCACAGGACTGGGGCAGACGTTGAGGTAGATCTGATGGTCGCAGCCGATGCCCCAGCAGGAGAGCCTGGAGCCCGAGAGCCGCTTAAGCTCCAGCAGTGGGTCAGCAGATCGGATCCAGCGCCCCCTAGAGGCTGACAGACTGAACACCCGGCCGTACACATCCACCGCCCACAGCGAGGAGACCGACATCCCTGTGCAGAAGGGCGTAGGTTCAAAATATACACATTGACACCTATGAATTCCCCAAGGATTGAATATCATGTTTTGTTTTGATACGCTGCAAATACAAAATCACTTTACATTAACACCAGCAATGCTATTCAATTTATGTAAATAGGCATCTACTTTACTCCTTTTTCAAGATTTAATAAAAGTATTTTGCGTCTCCAGAATGTGTCTGTAAAGTTTCAGCTCAAAACACCCTTCAGATTATTTATTAGACCTTTCAGAACCTTAGAATTTTCTGTTCTGAATAACCATGAAGCTGCTTTTGTGGCCTTAAATGCTGGTTCTCCCCGCCCACCGTTCCCACATGCCTGTCAGAGTGTGCCTCTACCTCAGCCTTGGCTGTGTCAGATAGCAAACAGACATGAAGGAAGCAGATCTCACGTAACGTTTGTGAGAAACACTACAGTACGAACTTTCCCAATGATTATTTGATGTATTTGTAACGGAGTTAATTCAAGCCTTTCTGCAATGATGAGTCACACACAATATAGTTACAAAGTTCACACACAGACTCACATTTGACTTTGTTTTTACACGGCAAATGTGATAGGATACATGTTAAAATCCACTGCTGTATGGCCATCCGATATGTTAATGTACAAAATAAACCTGATCTAACGTCCACAAAACAAAATTAAAGCGGCTTTTTTTATAATTGCACTGACATGCAGCTGTGGTGATGAAGACGGTAAAATCGCTGTAATATATTACACACATGCACTGTTTTAAACACGTCTTAAACTTGTAAAACTCATTCTTGATCACATTTGATGAGATTCGGCAGATTTGGCTTCAATACTGACTAATCTAATGTACAGTTAAAGTCAGAATTATTAGCCACCCGGAATTATTAGCCAACCTTTTTATTTTTTCCTGCCCTACGTGTGCACGTGCCTGTGCGTATGGATGTTTTGCCAAGATGGGTTACGGCTGGATGGGCATCCGCTGCGTAAAACATGTGCTGGATAAGTTGGCGGTTCATTCCACTGTGGCAACCCTGGATTAATAAAGGGACTAATGGACAACTTATATATTTGTAGAATTTATTTATAATTTGATGTTTTTAATCAATTGTTGTGAATGATATCGACTTAAACGTGCTATTTCTGAAGTATTGTTTTCGCATAACAAAACTATTAAAGCTGTTCGTTCAACTGGGCTGAGGACATGGACAATGACAAAGTTTGCATTTGTAAAGTGTTTTGATAAAGAACAAAAATCTGAGAACCAAATGAATGACATATTCATTGAACAACTCACAGAAATCAACCATCACTCCATTTTATAAATGTTTGAGATGAAATTATTTTTATTCAGTGTATTTACAGTATGAGTATACAGTGACTTCTATAAGTACATGAACATGTTGCTTAGCAAATAATCGCCACATTAAGTAGAAAATCGCCTCATAACAAAGTGTTACATCATTATTACATAAATAAACTATTTTACAGCCTGCTTGTAAATAAAGCAAGCAAACCTGCAGTAATATAATAAATGATACAGACACTATAGTCTTGTGAAGTAAGAGATACTGTTACTGGACACCAGTTGGGGTTGCTGCTAAAAGGGATACAGCTGCGGTCCGAAATTATTGAGAATTATTTATATTATTTATAAAATGTCTCATTATATTGTATTTTATTAACGTCTATCTCTACACAACCCTCATAGTAATGTAAAAACGGTGATTATACACAGTATTATTCATTTTATTTATTAATTCACACATTAAATTGTATTTTAGTAACATCTACCACCACTCCAAACCTAAACCCAACACTATCAGTACTGTAAAAATACTAACTATTGTTTATTAATTATATATTAACTATGTTGATGTGCGTATCCGCAGCTGTATCCCTTCTAGAATTCACAACCAGTTGGTCACCTTGCGCCGATCCCAATGTATTGCTTATTATACCCACGCGATTATCTGCTTAATTTACTGTTATTTAATATAAAACACTGATTTGATGTTTGTTGTGATTTTTGATTTGTAAACATTAGATAATAACCGGACGTGATGAGTAAATAAATTCCGACACACACAAATACACACTCGCGTTATAAATGACGCATCGTAAACTTACCGTAGGTGGAGTTTAAGAACTGTACAGTGACTCTTCATTTACTCCGTACATTATAAACATCCCGTTTATTATCACTCCAGCATTATTCTAAGGCTCTCCGAGTGACGCACAGCAGGAAGTTCAGGGTATTTGCGCTCTGATTGGTCGGCGCTCACGGAAACGTCAAAACCTACGCTTCTGATTGGCCAGGCGGCGCGCGCACGCATGTTTTTCCGTCGAGTTCTCACACACGGACGTTCACTTGATCAATTATTGATTCTCTGCGCTCTTAATAATTGAGACTCAGCGGTGACACATGAGCAGCAACTTGTAGAGTTCACTTGTTGTTTCAAGACTGATGTAATGGATAGATAGAAGTAGATGGATTTCAGATGGCTGCATTGTTGTTATTTGAGCAGCTGTGTTTAGCTTTGGCTTTACTGTTTTGTTTTGTTTTTCTATGGCGAGTTCATTTAGCCAGTGTAGACAGACAGGATGTGTATTTTACACGAAACAACGCCCAGGTAAACACACACACACATTATTATTTAATTCATTCATTCATTTTCTTTTTGGCTTAGTCCCTTTATTAATATGGGGTCACCACAGCGGAATGAACCGCCAACTTATCCAGCATATAAAGAATACAAAAGAACTACCCCCCACAGCCTAGGCTGGTTTATAAGCTGTTTTTTAGTAGGAAGTCATCATAAATTGTGGAAATAACCCATCGAATGTTTTAAGAAAACGCACAATATGACATGAGTGGAGTCAACTTTCACTATTGAACGACTTGTTAAAAATAAAAACATTTTACAAGTAGCCTAAATTTTATTTTTAATCTTGAACATTATTCTTGAGAGAAAAAAAATGACCAATGAAAAGGTCCGAAGCACAAAAAGAAGCCTTTTAAAGTTCATTTTAATATTTATTAGGCTGCGTATAAAAGTCTAAAATCAAACAATATTCCGGCGGTAGCTTAAATAATGTGTCGGTGCTCTTTGTGCAGGAGATTCATCAAAATAAACATCAAAATCAATCCAAGGCACTCACAAAATGTGGAAAAAAAAAAATAAAAAGCCTTTATTGACATGGCTGTTCATTTAAGCCAAAGAGTTTAGAATGACCAAGAGGCGACACTCAATAGAACGTTCCATTGGAACAGCAACAGCTCCGGATTCCGCCATTTTGGAGTGATAGCGATTGCTGTCGCGATGGCAAGCAGCTGCTTTGTTTTTTATTTATTTATTTAAAAATCCCATTAAAGCTGAGATACAAGCTGAAAGACGACAATACAACACTTACAGTCACAATCATCAGCGCTTTTAATAGTTTATTTTACAGACTTATTATATGCTGTTGTTCTATTGGAGTTTCCATACCAAAATGCCCGCCGCGCCCTCTAATGGCTGTTTCCCAAATTGCACTAGAGTGTCGCCTCTTGGTGATTCTATGCTCTTTGTTAAAAGTGTGGCGTCAGGAGTTACCAAAATGTCTAAGCGCAGTTTGTGGTTTCTCTCTAGTGTGAATCCTTTCATGCGTTTTCCGGGTGTCGGACAGTCTAAATCTCTTGTTGCAGTGTGAACACTTGTAAGGTTTCTCTCCAGTGTGAATCCTCTCATGTGCTTTCAGGTTTTTGGACAGACTACATCTCTTGTCGCAGTGTGAACACTTGTACGGTTTCTCTCCAGTGTGAATCCTCTCGTGCAGTTTCAGTTCTGCAGCTGACATGAAGGTCTTCACACACTCAAAGCACAGATGCTCTCTCACACCAGTGTGGATCTTCTGATGTTTTATTAAACTCGACTTCAGTTTAAAACTCTTTTCACACACAGGACATGAATAAGGCTTCTCGCTTCTATGAACTGAAAGATGCATCCTCAGCTGTGAAGCCCTCAAAAATGTCTTGCTGCATTGATCACATTTGTAGGGTTTCTCTCCGGTGTGGATCCTCTTGTGTTGATGAAGGTGTGATGATTGGCTGAAACTCTTCCCACACTGAGTGCATGTGAACGGTTTCTCTCCAGTTTGGATCCTCATGTGTTTTTTAAGAGATGATGAGTGTCTGAAACTCGTCCCGCACTGAGTGCATGTGAATGGTCTCTCTCCAGTGTGGATCATTATGTGTTGATTAAGGTGTGATGATTTAGTGAAACTCTTTCCACACTGAGTGCAGGTCAAACGGTTCTTGTCTCTCTTTTTCAAAACACCAGAAATCTGTAATTAACGTTTTTTCCCCAGCTCCAACAGCACATTCCTCCTCTTCACTTTCCTCATCTTCTTCAAAAAGGTCTAAAATAAAAATAAAAAGTTCAGTTTGTAGTAAGTCATAGAGTAAATCTGATGAAAAGTTGAAAAGACAGTAAAAATTGCCTACGCAAGCTGTAACTTTGATGCACATATATTTTAAATACATCAGATCATATTCAGTTTGGGACTGCAGAATGACTGATAAGTGACGTTAAACCAAAACTCCACCTGTTAAGATCAGTTGTGTATATATGCTGGAGTCAGGAAATGGATGTTAGTTGCGAACCTCTTGAATGTAATTCTTGTATTGCATTGGGGTAACGTAACCCAGAGCTCTGTCATCAAATTATTCATTTGTATCTAATGAATTACTAATGTTTTTGGCATTGAAGAAAACCCTCTCCAGACCTTTTCTTAATAAACACGCATGGAATTGACTGGATATTCCAACAATAGTTAACTTCAGTTTATTTAACTAAACTTTCCATTAACTTTTATTAATTTTAGCTTCTTATAACGAATAAAAAAAAAATCATAGTCAATCTATTTGTGAGTCATGCTTGTTTTATCAAATGTAATTAATAATTAATATTATTGGGGTGTTTTATTAAAGTAATATTGAAACAGTAAAGGTAATCTGAATATTTTCACTGCTTACTTTAATCCAATAACTAACATTTACTAATGAGACTTTATTGTCAAGCGTTATCTTTTGTATTTTTTAACGATGACAATTTAACTCAACCGTTTAACAAAGTGACTTTAATTGAAATTTTAGTTATTTAAAATATTATTATGAAATAATATAGAGTCTGTAAAACAACTGAAAATGTTCTAGCAGTTTATTACAAGGCTTTTGTACTGTAATATAAAACATCAACCCAGACAATTTATCACTTTAAACTACTAAAAATGTTAATAAAAGATAAAAAATAAAAATAAAAAATTTGGTTTCAGGGTTAAAAGTTGTTGGAAGAATGATCAAGGTCCCATAATTCAATAAATAAATAGGGTAAAATAAAGACAGCCCAAAAATCTAAATTGGTCTTTATTTTGCCAATTGGATTTTGTCTAAATATAGCCCAAAAATTATGTTGAAATATTTTTGTTTTTATTCATCAAATTTGATCCACAATTAGCCCAAACATGTATATCTATGGCAATTAAACTATAATATTATTTAAAATATCCTAAATGCAATGCATAGGACAACAAATAAAGCTGAGGGCATCTTATATGATTAAAAAAGATTTGACTGTTTGGCATGCTAATTTTCAGTGGATGGCTGATGCTTGCAGTCCAACACGTCTGTTCAATTCTGAATATCCGATCTACACCCACCAATCCTGATTGCAGATGGGCTTTACACATTCGGTCCTAACTAACCAAAGATTGTCTAAAAATGCTGATTTCATTGATCATGATGTAACCTGTGAAGACTGAATATCGTGTAAACTGTGTATCAATGGACCAGTAAGCCCAGAAGTGTAGATTTCTCCAAAGGAAGTGATGATGTGACACCCATGAAAGACAGGAAGGGAGGTAAGAAAAAATTATATTATTGTAATAACCACTTAAATAAAAACAGTGAAAACAAAATCTTAGTATCTCACACTACCGGTGTATAATGACCTAAAATTTGCTTATATTCAATAGTAACACTGTTTTTTTTTCCCCATTTACAGAACTTTTATGGCAAAGCCGCTGGTAAGGTAATATACAATGTTGTTGATACTAATATTAAAATTTAGTTACTAATAATTCTCTCGAGTTTGTGTTAGCTAACTTTTAAAAAGCTGTTTCCATTTCTAAACATGTAATCAGCGCATAAAACCTCAAAACACAAAGTTCCACTACTACTGAAACGAAGAATAAAGTTCAATTTCTACAATTTCTTTGCTGTTTCGACAGGAACGCTCAAGGGATCTTGTTAACAGGTGATTCGTCAGTCCAAGTTCTCAGTTAACCACAAAGAAGAAAGTTGAGACAGTCCACAATCCAAGAAGGGGTCACACTTCACTCATTTCACATTCTAGAGCTAAACATTCAGCAACTGACACCAACAGAACATCACATGAATAAAACTACAGATGTGTATGACAATTTCACTCTCGTATACACTCTCATAGTTTTCACTTGTGGCTCGTTTCCACAGACTGGTACAGTGCTGTTCGGTTCGGTACATGTCTCCTTTATCAGGCTTCTGTTTCCACTATCAAGGGTACACTTTTGGTGGTGTACGACAGAGTTTCAGTCGACGTCATTTTCGCTCGAATAAATGTCTACAGCAAAGCTGTACAGGTCGTTCACAAATCATATGAGAAGCACTTCTCACAAAACAGACGCTTTATACACATAAATACTCGTTTGTAAATGTTTATTACTAGCCTTTCTATGAATCATCTTAACAATAACATTGAAACAAGAGATAAGGAAATACCTATTTTCATATAGGTATTAGCAACTTAAACAAATATTGTTGAGGCATCGTACAGCAGCATATTTAGATGACCGTCATCTTCACTGTTTACATCAAAACGGAGCCTATAACATCACTGCCTCCTTTCATTTTCTTCGAAAAATACAAAGCATATCCTGTTTTTTTTTTGCTGAATATCAGTTTTAATAATTGGTGATGGCCATTCCAAAAGTATAGCATACAATAAGTACATACAATAAAGGCAAGCAATCAGTCAAAAGAGCAGAATCAGTGTACACGGTTACATAAATTAATGTATTAACCTTTCTTTGTGCGCAGTCAAAATACGTTACCTGAGAACAAGTAATAGATTCAATGGACCAAAGAGTCGTCAGATAAAGACTAGATGAATTATGGCTCGCTTACACTGAGTGGTACGGTTCGGTACACTTTCATACACACACAAAAAAGGAGAAGCCGGAAAAAACTAAAGAGCAAATGTTTTATTCAGCAACCTATAAGATGAAGGAACTGCCACTATTATCATAGCCTTTAGGACTATTATGAAGTCTGAATGACGGAATTACTTTCAAACAGAAGCTACATGCGATACTGAAGATTACAGACACACATGAGAGCTTTGCACTGACTGTGA